ATTGAGATCAATTCTATTGCCAGGTCTGGTTTCATAATACGTAATATGCCAATCATTCCATCCAGTCTAAGCTCCACTGAAGATCTGAAACTTGTAACCAGCACTACGCTTCGGGCTTCTTAGCATAAGTAACGCAACTATGAACAGTTAGCCATAATCTCTCGCAGGAAAGCAAAACACTCACATGGGCCAATAAGCATGGATCTTGGGGTTATTCCAGTCCTGTCTCAGCTTCACCAAAAACACCTCGACCTCCTCACGGCTCCAGCCCAGTCCTCTCGTAAAAGGCGCCATAGTCAGCGCCTCCAGAGCTGAGGCTGCATTGACGTTATTCCACTGGCCAAGCTCCTTGTACTTCTTATCCTTGGGCCAATGGTTGGTAGGCCACTTGTAGCGCGTCTCAACAACATCAACGAATCCGACCTCTTTCAGCATATCCTTGAAGTTGGTGGTGCGTTCGAAAGAGCGGTTGAACTTTCCGGCTGCTTCGTCGAGAAGTCGGCACCATTTGTACATGGTATGATCTTCCTTGAGGGTGCCATCGTCGCTGCCCATGATGACATCGACATCCTGCAGTTCAACGTAGCCGCCTGGAGCCAGGTTCCTATTTGCGTCAGTATGGTTGATTTGGTGAATGGTGAGATTTGTTTTACTGGTAGATCTTGGTGAAGTACGACTTCCAGTTCTGAATGCTGAAGTTCATGAATCTGCTGTGAATAAAGTCAAAGGGTTCGCTGTATGTCCATTCCTCGTCGATATCATCGATCTCGAAGCGAACGTTCGGTGGCACACTATGATTCATCAGCCGATTCCACGGTTGACTAGAAGTTTCACTCATACAAGCTTGGCTGGCTCGGTGAGAGGTCAACACCAATGACCTGTCTTGTCAGCGGCTATTCTGGATAAGCTTTAATGGCGTAGCTCACTGTTGCCTCGGGATGCTCGTCGCCAAAGTCAATCGCCCAGATACCGGTTCCAGTGCCAACGTCGAGGACACGCTTAACCTTCGAGTCGGGAAGGTTAGGAGGGCTCAGACCGAGCTTGTTATCAAGAGTAAGCAAGAACAAGTTATGTTGCAGATCTGTATTGTTATTGTTATGCTACGTCTGGCGGCATGTGAGAGTACAAACCTAATCTTTCGTTCTCCTCATCATCGTTCGGGAGATTGTATTCTGCGATTGGACACGTCAGTGATATGGTTGGTATAGTAGAGGAGCTACATACTGCCGTCTCGAAAAGCATGATATGTTCTTCCATTTTCTTGACGGAAATCAAGAATTGAGCTTCTCAAGCTGTCTGTCGAGGACGCATTATCCTACGCCGTAAGATCAGCAACAAAGGTCTGTAAGACGATGGCCACGGGCTGATCTCATACCGCACCAAGTGACGAGTCTGCGTCAGAATGCTGGGGCCGTTAGCTAGCTTCAGTGGATCACTTCTAGCGGGAACTAACGTTATCGTCAGCGTCTACGACGGGGTGCGCTTCAATGGTCGTCATTGTCGATTGCAGATCTTTGCTCTCAGATTATCAAGAGCCCCAGAAACTATCGCGATTTGTTTTTCTATCAATGGGAACTTAAATGCCGCATATGGTATGCACATGATCCGAGCTTTAAAACCTGCATTGTTTTCTCTTTTCTCGTCCGATGCTGTGCTACAAAACTGACGACCAACATGCATGACACGAACCAACACAGCGTTGCAGACACTGCCAAATATGTGCAGTGAAGCGATTGCCGAAGTTCCGCCTGCTGTCATTCCTTGGAATACCCTGAAAGGATCCTCTCTTACTGGTCCCAGGCGCCGAGAAGTGGCCTGGTGTCAGGCCTTTGGACGGGTTCCGATTGGTGGAGGGCGGGGCCTTCCGGTGTCAGACCCAAAGAGGTAGAGTTCACCGTTAACCCCACGAACAGTTCAGCCATTCAGCTTTTGACTTGCATACGCCCAAATAGTACACCTTTATCAAAGCAAAATGCTCTGTAATAAGTGGTCAGTGGAAATAGCAAGATATTCATGTAGTAACACACTGCTCGGAAGTCAATGCTCTCCGCAAAGAATTACAAAAGGAGGAACATGACATCTTTGTTAGAGAGTGGACGTGAAATTCATCTGTTATTTTTTCCCTCTCGAGACCTGGATTTACACTTCAAGCCAAGAAAGTGGCGTTTGTTATGAAGCATAATGCCAGGTCTGCCTTTCGTTGAAATTTCTGCATCATGATACAAGGCGCAACTGCTGACGCGGCCATTATTGCGGACATCACTGCCAAACCCCTGGCAATCCCCACGATAATTGATTGATACGTTGATTAAAGCCTTTGATATGTCATCGAGATATATCAAGCTAACACATTAAAGAATCCCCGCAGAAGTCAAGCCTTTGAAAGACAATGTGTACAGAGGATTTTTAACACTTCATTTACGTCCTCTCTTATCCCGTCACCTGAATTCTTGTTGATGATCATTACAAGCTCGCTGATATCTGGACCAATACATGGTGGACATGACAATGGATGTGCTTCAAAGGAAATTGTAACTGGTCCCGGTCACAAAGGAGCAAACAAAGCCGAATGGACCAGGTAGTTATCTTGATACCGTTCTTGAAGTCACTTTCCCTCTCCTTACTAGAACACATCTACATAACAAAAGGCATGTAAAGAGTGATAGACCTTGGGATGAAGTTTCCATCAGCCTCAATTCTAAAACAAACAAGAGTTTCAAGTAGCTAAGAATACACTTACCTTTAAGTCTAACGCCTCTTACTGCCCATGAGGAGAGGTACGAGGCGTAAGTTGCCTGTCTTTGCTGATATGTGTTATTTGCGTTTATGTTGGAACTGGAGCTCTTTTTTCTACCCCTCCACTATACCGGTACCACATTGGCCATGTATCATCACATAAGATAATAAACAAAGTATTGGACACTAGTAAGTTGATGTTTCGAATAAGTGCCAGTATCTTAAAAAGCAATGAGAGGCTGACTGTAAAGATCTAGATTTTAGTGTATTATATCTGCAGACCACTCTGGAGATGTAATCCTTGTTTTCCTAAAACTACCTAGACACAACAAGGACTCTGTTACTGTGTTTTGGAAGAAGTGGTGGCGCCAAGATTGGAAACCGTGTATAAGAGCCGCGAAGGCGTCATCCAACACGAGGTATGAAGCTATATGCTGGCCATAAGGTTAAGCTCCAGGCCGCCAACATAGCTGATTATGACACAGTAGATTTCTCTCCCCAATGCAAGGTTGTAAGATCAGGTTGCATCGATTGCAGTACGCGAATGTGTCTTGATGGCTATGAAAGGAAGAGGCTGACAGGTATAAAGCCCCGACCGCGTTTGAATCTCTGGATCGGCCATCACTTGGATCAGCAATATCGCAACCAAGCGTCAAATTGCAACTGTAAGCTGCCTCAAACCACCTTCACTTTACTGCTACGCCTAAACAGTAACCTTCCCCACTCTGAAGTCGCTATGAAGCTCTCTACCTTCCTGTCTTTTGGAGCTCTCCTCCTCGTCGGACCATTTCCCGCCTCAGCTTGGCCAGAATTGCAATTCCGGCCCGAGATTCTCGAAAACAACACAACCTGGGTCGCACAAGGTGCCATAACGAAGAAATCTGCTGAAACTAAAAACCTACCTCTCCGCTGCCCAACTCCAAGGACTTCTTTGCTTGGTCGAGCTTTCACATGGATGCTGGGCCCCGAGAAGCCTAAGTGCAAGCAATTCAACATAGCTGCTGGAGAAACGATTAGTGGATTCCCCCGTTTCCAAACCGACCAAATCCATGGATTTACCTTCCCTAATCGAACTTACTTTGTCCACGCTGCCATAGAAGGAGTTTTTGTCCACGTGGAAGTCAAGAAAGGACTTTGGACCATGATTCCAGGAGCTATGACTGTCACCTGCTACGAGGGGAATGATGGCGCACCTCACTGCGTGGGCAGAATGTGAGATCCAATAAGGCTGGTTGGGACGCAGCAGCATGGAAAATTTTTGGATGTCAAAGTTAGCTGATGATGGGTAATTTCATTAACCCGATTTTCACCATGATGCCGCGTTGTTCCAAGTTGTGTAACCAACAAGCAGGAGTTTGAAGCCTCTGACGGTAACGTTCACTTCCGTCCCGTCTTTTATAAACTGCGAGAAACCATGAAGAGAATTTGTAATTCCTTGTACCATGTGACCCAGCCCTTCCTCCAGTTTCCTCTGCCAGTATAAGCTTCATGGATTCACAAGCAGCATAAAAGGTCGAGAGGGCCCAAGGCGGGGACAACAGTACCAAAAGTCAACATCCTAAGTGCATGTCACGCCTTGACGAGCAGGGACGACTGAGTTCTTTGTGCTGATATAAGCTCTCAGCCACTAGTTTCAACTACAAATAACGGTCTTTGGCTGTACATAAGCGGCTTGTTTGCAGAACTTGATCGTGGGGGCCGATTTGAAACGTGGGGACATGTTTATATTGGGCATCCTTCTCTCTGAGTAGTAACTGCGCAGTCATTTGTGAAGATGAAGGTTCAGTTGATAAGACCATTTCTTCTGCAGCATGTCTATCCTTGCCTCTGTAAGCCCCACTAAATAAGTTTCCAAGAGTAGCAAGCAATATGATATGCTTCATGAAATCACATGGACTTAGTGGCCGTTAGCTGTAGCCTTTGTGGCTCTGGGACGAATGTCCTCAATTTGGGTTGATGCTAGCCGTAACCGGCACATGATGGAAGCATTGGTGAATTAGGCAATAAAGCAGATGCACCCTGATGACACTGGCCTCAATTTGGGTCAAGCTTCTTTTTCCTTCACTTTGAAGTACTTGGGAGTTTTAGATATACCCCTCAGCGATCCCCTTGACTGCATTCCCGGCATGCTAAGGGAGATCAGACATGTGCTCTCAGACCCCTCGGGAACTAATCCCGCGTAGGCCAATCAGCGCTCTTCTTTCAGATATTTGATGTCAGAAAAACAAGAACCAATCATCCAGACCAGCAAGGGAAAAGGCTTTTGAAGAACCAACTCCCGATATCCCTTCACAGCTTATTTCTCTCTCATTTCACAACTCGTAATACTCGTGGCACGCATGGCACAATCCGAGGACCCGTCAAACAGCCATGACCCCAACCATGACAACAAAACGACTACAATGTGGGGGATCATCCTCTGCGTCGTAGTCATTCTGGTCATCTGCATCATCTGCTTCGTACACTGGCTCCTGCGAAATAATCATATGCCACGGCCTCTGGAAACACAGCTTCCGCGATTTCGAACGAGCTCCGGTCTGGGAAAGTTGGCCGTGGAGAGCATGCCGACCGTCACTTATCATCATCGGATACACTCCAAGCAGATTCACACGCAAGCCCAAATGACTCCATACATGTTTCGAAAGGCACGAAAGCCGAAACTCGAAAGTTTGCAGCGCTATTTCACGATGCCTAATTTGTCGAATCGCTCTCCGAATGTCACCGACCGAAATGCACGGCAAGCAGATGAACGCACTTCTCCAGCGTGTTCTATCTGCACTGAAGATTTTATTGAGGGAACAAATTTAAGGAAATTACCATGCGGTCACCTCTTTCATCCACAATGCATTGATCCGTGGTTGATAGGACGATCGCGGACTTGCCCACTATGGTCAGTTGTATCACCATCTCTGATGAAATCCAGCTGACAAAGCGCCTCTCTTTCATCAAGTCGCGTTGATCTGGCCACTTTGATCAGTTTGTCGAAACCGCAAGCAGTGCATTCATTTGGTACACGAGGACGCGCATATCATTCGCAAGCTGCAAGATAATGATACTACGAAATACCCATAAGACAATGACCAGCGATTTGCGACGAGGAGCATGGCCAGGGCGTTTCACAGTGTAATGCACATTCCCTTCAGATAAAAATTGCAAAACATGTTTCTTCCTTGCTGCGAAAGCGGCAATCAATTAGACTACATGGTGATCCATTCACGATCTCATAATAAACGCAGAGGTGAGTGTTGTATGGACTGCCCAAAGACACCAAAGACTTCATACCAACATGAATGAAGCCCAGCAAACTCCCTCGGCTTTTGCCAAATGAGCTCTGAGCCAGCCTCAAAGACTAGAATATGATTCCCATTACGAAATCTGTCTCATTTGCAACAAAACCTCCCTGCAGTTCCAGAGGCCGCCTATGAGGGGTAACTTTACCAGTTGCTGATCCTGTCAAAGCTCCCCAAAGTTACAGGGCATGTCCACACAGACCACACTGTACCACCGTAGTCTCTAAGCTTAATCGCAAGCTGAGATATATACTTGCCAGCTACAATTGATGCCACTACAAAAGGGCTGATGATCAGTCCCAGAACAGCATCGTCGCAGCCGTAATTTCGCGCTCGTAAAAATGTCAGCGAAATAAATGCCGCGTGGTCGAGACAATTCCATGCAAACCCCGCCTCGTAAATTATCGTCACGAGCCTGTCTTTGAGCTTTTATGAGCCTGGGTTCGTCTCAATTCTCCGAGGTGTGCATTTCATCGTAGACCCTTGATTCTACCCCCGGCGCTAAAAAGCTTGTCTGCAATAAGCACCCACTCGATTATCATTGCTGCAATTGATGTTAGATACCGACTGGTACTTCTTCTGTCGTACACGCCCTCTTGTTTCAGTCTGTCCCTCTTCAACACCGCTTCGTGCTCGTTTCTCGCCCAGTCATATCATGCTCACCTTGACTCACACCGCTGCTCTGTGCAATCTCGCCAGTGCTACAAAACCAAGCATCTGACACTGGCGATCCATTCCCCGCAAACAAAGACGCCAAGGAAATTGACGCGTACGTCATATTCACAGGCACTTGAGCTTTTGCCTTTCCGTTGATACGATGGAGCTATAAAATGCTTGAAGCTGGCCAAGCCGGATGCAACCGAAGGGGGCGCAGTCATTTCACTACACAGCCCCAAACAGGTCGTCATTTTTGTCAAACCCCCACCCAAAATTCCTGCATGCCATTCGAACTGAGGCTCGCTTGGGGTATCACGATGGCCGTTGAGAGAAGAGACAACTTTCACCACTGGACCAGTTCAGCAGATCAAAGGAGCAGTGCAGTGTGGCAATAAGCATAACCGCGATTAAGTTAGTTAAAAAGAGCTTTGTGGAAATGAGTGTGTCTAAAGGTCAACTGCTCTCTACTTGTAGCATAGCATCATCGACTTAAGGGCTTCGATCCACATAGCAGACTAAGATGACAGCTCCACCCCGCTCTGTGAATAAAACATGTGGTGAGACGCTAGTTCTTGGGGGCTACATCTTTTTCGTTGTCACCTGTACTCGATCTATATTTTCGTGAGAGTACGATGAGCCAAGATCTGGATGGCCTATCCTCAAATTTCAGGAACACCATCGAGCCAGACGAGCCAGACGAGAGCACTTTGTTGAATGATGCGACTGCAAGTTTCGGGACGGAAACAGATATTGAGCACGAGGGGGAATGGCCTCAACCCTCAATCTTTGTCACCCTGCACCGGTAATGATGAATCCTTCAAATTCTGCGCTGAATAGACCGTGCTGACTGTATATCGGATGCAGGATAAGAAAATTTGTACTCGCAAGCATAGGTGCATCTCAAGGTGCTATCCTCCGATGTGTCCCATCTAACACCGTTCACCAGATGACCCTTACTCTCTGGAGCAGCTGAAGAGTCCAAGAGTCAACCACCTCATTGTCCGTCCGTTGGTAGATCGTCTATATGACGAGAATGACTACTCCATTGGTGCGCCATACCCTTTTTGAAGACAATCGCTGAGACGTATCGCACTGCGTGCTGACAACAATCAGTCTATTGTCTCCTCGCAAACCGAGTACAGTTCCTTCGCGAGCAATCGAGCGTCATTGACCAAAGCACCAGCATAGCCCGCGCAACATTATGCGAACTATTAGCTATCAAGATCCTGCGCAACTTTCACGATGACAACCCAGGTTTAGACGGTCTACTCCTACTCTCCAAGATCCTGGTCCAAGGTTTTGACCCCTTTCATGGTGCTCCGCCTGAAGTTGAACAATACGGGCGCTATCCACAATGGCCTATTCAGAAGCGCGGCGGCCATGAGAGGAAGCTGACTGCACTCGAACTCGCGATCATATCCGAGAGCAAGAACTTTGTCAGTTCTTCAGGGTGCAGACGTGTTATAGATGCAGTGTACCGTGGCCAGATTGTCTACACGCCTTTGTCATTCGTCGATATCTTGCCGAACCATTATGAGTACCTCCCGGTGTCTTTGTACGAACCGCGCAAGGCGCCGCTGCTTGACCACCATCGCCTCGTGGTTCCGCGTACCCGATATATCATCGAACTGGTGCACTACATCATTCTCACTTTGCTATATGTTTATACGATGCAGTATCGAGATCCTGACAACTTGACTGGAAATGAAGTAGTCTTCATTCTGTACTCTGCCGGCTGGGTTCTTCACGAACTCGCTGCCATCATTGAACACGGGTGGATGATTCATTCGCAAACTTTATGGTCATTCTTGGACCTTTCGTACACTGTCATCTTCATGGCTTACATCACAGTTCGGGCCTATGAGCTAGCTGTAAGCAGCGTGCAGAATGGCTTGGCACATAATATACTGTGTCTCGCAGCCCCAGTTCTTCTGACCAGACTGGCCTTCAACATTCTACCAGACCATATTGTCTTCATTTCGCTCCACGCCATGATGAAGGAGTTTCTGATCCTCACATTTCTCGCCATATGGTGTTTCACAGGGTTCCTGTTAGCGCTGCAGTGGCTTTCTCCGGGAGATGGCTCGATTCCAAACGACTTCACCATAATCAAATGGCTGCTGTGGATCTGGTTCGGACTGGATGGAACAGGAATTGAGGAATCTGTTCAATTTCACGCCATTTTAGGACCGGCACTGACCATTGCCTTTGCCTTTCTCGGCAATACTCTGTTTCTCACGATTCTTGTTTCCCTCCTCACCAACCGGTTCAGTACCATCGTTACATCTGAGGATGTCGAGATCCAGTTTCGAAAGACAGTGCTGACGTTTGAGGGCGTAAAAAGCGATGCCATCTTCGCATACCCGCCACCATTCAACCTCTTTGCACTACTGATACTTCTTCCTATCAAACCATTCCTGTCACCTCTCGAGTTCTACTCGATTCACGTATTTCTCGCACGACTTGTCAATGCACCTCTTTTGTTTTGCGTCGGCTTCTACGAACGTCGACGCCTATGGACTTTTGGACCTGACGCGGCCAAAGTTTCAAGAATGTGGAAGTTCACCGGTTTCTCACCACATGGTGATATACAGGCTGTGTTTGAAGTCGATGCTCCGGCCGAGGTTCTCCGAGAAGCTGATGAGCTGGATGGACTGAGCGAGATGGGCTTTTCCGATGGCGATGCGGTATCAAGACTTTCCCGAGAAAGAGAAATCAGAGCACCAGTTGTATTTAGCCTGAGTAATGCAGGGACATGGTCCCCAGGACAAGCCCCCGTTGCTTGATCCAACTAAATAGATGCCGTATTGTTTGTATCTTCCCAAACCACCCTCCCCTCAAACCACGTCTTCAGCACTTTCGCTCCACTAAACTCACCACGACTCAAGTCCCGATCAACCGCAATGAAATTCGCCTTCTTTCCTGTCTCAATACTTCCCATCTCCGAAGCCTTGCCTACGGCCTCAGCACCCGCTAGCGTTATGATACGACAGATCTTTGCACCTCCAATCTCTTTCGTCGTCTTGCCCTCTTGCGTACCAAAGCGCTCCACGACGGCCGATAGGGCTGGGAATAGGTCTGGCGTGTCGGTCAAGAACCAGTCGGAACCTACGGTGACATGGACGCCAGCATCCTGGAGTTCCTTGAACGGCCATTTGAAGATGTGGGGATAGTTAGCTGTGAGATTTGTGTTATGAAATATCGCGGGTGACATTTCGGCCGTAATTCGTAAATCTGCCATTCGGGAAATGTCATCTTCAGTAGTCGGTCAGTACTTGCCAAGTAGAAGCAATGGACACGATCACTCTCACCTTGGTGAATGGCGTTGCAATGTGCCAGCTCATGCACTGGGCCTGAAGGGTTTGACTGTCGAACTCGCTCAAGAACATCCAGTGCTCGCCTTGCAGAGCCATCACCGGCACAGTGAATCTTGCATGTCAACCCTCTTGCATCATGCTTTGTCAAAGCTGACAACAGCTCTTCGAATGTAAGCAGTAGCCTGTCCTCGTTGGGAAGTCCATCTGCTCCAATGTCGCACTGCGTGAAGTGAGGCGGTATGGGCGCTCCATCCATCCAAAACTTGACAAACCTTGCATCAATGTGTTGACTACAAAACACATCAGCATCATCGATGAGCCGATGAAGGCTTTCGGCTCTCTCCTGAGCAAAGCTCTCCGGTGCATGAACAATGTGAGGGAAAACCTGCATGTCCAGTCGTCCTTCATTGTCCAGCTCTCGAAGGGCGTGAAGATAGAGTGTGTTAGCAGACGCCTCTTGTAGTGAAGTGATACCAAATTTGTGAGACATCTTGATCCCATAGATAAGAGCTTCCTTGACGAACGACACAGATGGCTGAGGCAGGCTCGCCAAGACCTCAGCTGATGCTGCTTCCACCAACTCCCCAGTCAACTGGCCATCCGGCCTCCGCATGTACTTTCCTCCAGGGGGATCCTCAACATCAGCGCCATACCCAACGCGGTTGAGAGCTGCGGTGTTAAGGGCGACATTATGACAGGAGACATCTCGAACAAGCACCGGCTGCTCAGGAAAGGTATCGTCAAGATATTTTCGATCCATCTTTCCATCTGGAAAGTTCTGTCCTGCGTAAAAGTTTGCAATGAGCCAATCACCTCTGAAATGAGCTTGTGCACAGGCACAAGTGGTCTGTCCTCTCTTGATGTTCTCGGCAATAGTTGCAGCGGTGCTATCTGATCCAATGTCAACTTCGCTCATTTTCTGCATCGAGGCTACTAGGAGGTGGGTATGTGCGTCGTGTATTCCTGGCATGACGAATTTATTGTCAAGATCGTAGATGGGTAGGCCATGCTCGTCAGCCAGGTCTTGGATCGCTTGGTCGGTTCCGACTGCCTCAAAACGCCCGGATGGGGAAACAATAAAGGCTTCGGCCCATGGCCGTCTGTCATTTACAGTATACACACGGCCGTGTATGAAAGCAGCACCAGATTGCTTCATTTTGATATGCGGATCTGTTAGTCGATACACGTATAATAGCTACACTGTGGACATGGAATCAATCCAGAATGTGTCTCCAAAGGTGTCTGTTAAATAATGTCGGACGTCCGGAACCCGGAACTTCGGAATCAACATCAGATATAATAAAATAAAGCACAGTAATCCTAGAAGTCCTGCGAGCCAGCCGATCAGTTTGTCAGGCAGATCAAGACGTCAAGCATGATCGGATCCTATGCAGGGATGCTAACCCCATTCATGGAAATCTTGCTACCCCTCAACACAGAAACGAAGTCAATCTCCCAGCACATCGCACTTTTTGCCCAGATTAGGAAAAGCGTTTCCTGCCAAAGCTGTTGGGACTTACTCTAAGTACTGCAACCTGACAACCATATCTCTGCCTTTCTCTGGGGTGGTATGGTTGATTCACGGGGTGCTGGATCTCATTGGATGCTAACGAATTCGTTCAGACAATGGGGAGCCAGAGTAACCGCTCGGAATGTTGGGTGCTAGCTACCTGGCATATAGTTCGGTAAATCTGTTTTATGAGAAAAGGTGGCAGTGGTAAACGCCGGCAGAATTTCGACAGGCAAGAAACATACATTGATATTACCCAGCTTTCTCCTCGCCTGGTATTTCAGCGATTGGCTCACCATCCGGCTTGCCCGCCGTAACAATGGTGTTTTGAAAGCCGAGCACCAACTGTGGCCTTTCCTCCTCTGTACTGAAACACTGCCAGGCGCTCTTCTTCTGTGGGGATTATGAGATTCACTGATTCGGTCTCATAGTTGCTGTTTGTATCCTCGCCATGTCGAGTACGTGTGGTATTACCCTGAGTATTTATTATCTAGTAGACAGCTACGCCCAGCTAAGAAATGATGACATGTCTACTATCATGCTCGTGTGACATACCATGTCATTTGCTATTTGGTATAGGTACGTTCTTCAGTTGCTCAGAATGATACGCACATGCAGACAGAAGTCATCAGAACTATAACTTGGATCACCAACTTGTGCCATAAGGATGACTGTATCTCGGCCGTTTTCATCGGGATGGCCTGTTTTAGTACTAGGATATCAAAATTGAGAATCGACCGTGGGAAGAGTTATCATGAGCGGCAAAAATTGAGCAGAGAGCTTTTGGTTAGTGAGATGGTCAATCAGTAAGCCCCAGAAACACCAAAAAAACATACAACAGCGGGGATTCGCTGGTCGTCACCGACCCAACTACTGATCCGCCCCTTACAGGCTTGACTATGGGAGAGCGGACGGGATCCCGTATTTTCCTGCAGGTATGGTCGTATGTGCTTATCGTTGCTGTCAATCAGATCTATACCCGGCAACTGGTCAACTGAAGATGAACCTGAGCAGGCTGGTGGTGGAAATCAAGCCGCTGACGTCACCCCACTAAAAGACGGCTTCAGGTTAAGTAGACGTCTTTTCCCTCAAGCATTCAAGTAGCCCAGACACAATGCCAAAGTTCTTGGTCCGATCATAAATATGGCATAACTGTATCAGGATTTGCAACGTTAGGCACTCTTGATTCAGGTTGCACTACCACAGCTTGTCATTCTCGTCTTAGCAGCCACCTTTACTTGTCGGGCTGCTAATTGTCCAACTACCCGTTTCCGTTATCACCAGGATACACAAGATTGACACCAGACCACTCCGCATCTATGGCGTAACCCGCAATGGTAATTAATTGGCTTTTCATCCTATCTCCAACTTCCGGCGCGTCATATGCATCTGCTGCCACGTATACCTTTGTGATCAAGCTGTACCGGTTGGAACAGAGGTTGAAACAAGGCTCCTTCGTTTATGCCTAATCCATCATCGGGCAAAGAATGTCCGAGGCAGCTGGCATTCCAGGCACCTTGTTTCGCCCCATGAGCTGTTTTCCTAGACATAGGGCTGAGATCTCCATACAGCTAAGGCGGCGGAAGTGGACTAAATATCATACTACCAGATCTGACAACCTAAACCCATCTACCCATTTATCCCCTCTATTAAATTGACACATTGTGTTTCTCTCACCTCACCAAATAGCCAGCCCAGGAGCTTATAACATGGTTGAACAGCTAGCTGTATCGGGCCAACATTATCCCAGTTTTCAGGAGGTCGTCCAAGGTCTAGACGACACTCAACTCGCCGCCAGCCTAAGAGGAATGGATGCCCATCAAGTTCACCGCATCGTTCAATGCTTGCATGGAAATCGACATCTTGATCAGGGCGGTAGGGTCATCCTTTCTTTCAATATCTCAGTTTGTTCGGTAATGATAACCTCTGACCACTATTCCCATTTATAGAAGTTCAACCGTGGCCTCGAGACGCGCAATCAATTTTAGAAGTTCAACCTTGGCCGCGCGACCCTCAAGCAATGAGCGAATACTACTATCAGAACCCATATCAGACCTATCCAGCAACAGGATGCTACATATACGACTGGAACTGGTATTACTATGACAGCACAATTAACAATGTTCCATATTGTGGGGATTATTACCTCAGCTATGAGTATTGGTGGGCACCTGTTGTATGGTACCCTACGTGGTATTATGTGCCGCTCACTCGTTACAGAGTCCCCAACAGGTCACGCTACAGAAGGCTTACATGATTTGGACCTTATTTGGTGGAAGGCTAGGAATGGGCAGTGTTTGAGAAAGAGATCTGGGCCAAGACTACCTGTTCAACTCCTTTGAGCCTTGCCGACTGAGAGTTGGAGTCTATCCCCCTTATATGTTAGATTGGTTGGAAGTTGACATCAAGGCCTCGACCAAAGTTATAAATCTAAGATACTTGGTCCCAAGTCCAGTCGGATTATGTGTGAAATATTGTAAGATGCTACGCGGAATCGTACGAAGCATTATCAATTTATGCTGAAATGTGAAAGATTTTGATTTCTTACGTTGCAGCCATCCTTTCCCATCAGGCTCTGAGCTGCACCACCCTCAACCTCTGCGGCTGAGCGGTACGGCGAATTGGGACTGCACCTTCACCGCACATGTTCTCATCAAAATGTCATTGGAAGCAACCTATTCGCTGATTACCTTTGTAGTCTCGGATTCGCGGCCCAATACTTGCCCCTTGACAATATATTGCCTGATGAGATTGTCGCAACTATTGGTACGGGGTTGGAATGAGGCTCTCTGACATCCTGGTCTGACGTAAGGTTACGCAATTGAGGGTGAACGTGCATGGGTTGGGCGAACATTGTTGATGAAAGTTAGCATGTGAATAATGCTGTTGAGGCCCAATCACCAGCTATAAAGACTGCTGTGACCATTAGTTCGTTCGTCTTCTGTTCAGAAACTCAACATACACAACTGAACCATTGACCAACTATACAGGAGCCAAGATAACATGAGTGATCAACTTTCTGTCGAAGAAATTGACGACGTGGAACTTCCGGGTGCCTTGCAATGACTTGACGATACTCAACTGGACGGCAATATTCAAGGCCTTGATAGCAATCAGATCCCTCGTGTCTTACTTGCCATCAAGAGCATGAATGACGAACAAGGCCAGCGCATCATTCAGAGGCTTGACCCCTCGAAAGATAACCGCATCCAGAACTTTGGTACGTCAATAGTTTTTCCTTACCACTGTACCTTCAAGTCGTCAAACACCGTCAAAAATTAGGAGGAGTCATGTTCTGGGGTACGAATATCGAGTCGGGCCCCAGAAAACCGAACCATCCCACGTTTTGTGACAAGTTCCCTCACAAGACAAATACCGGAAGGTTTGTTTGGGAATGCGGCTGGCATGACTCCGATAAGGCGGTGGACAACATCATCGTGAACTACTTCCTGATGATGCAGAACGGGGTCCTCTGGTCGCATGTTGAGGGTGCACCGAATGAGTACATGTGTCGCGCATGCGTCAACGACAAGCCGGAAAGTTTCAATACGTATGATTTGGATGACTTTGATGCTCATTTCTCTAAGAAACATGTTGTCGAGCCCAAAAGTCTGGATGATTCTATCAAGAGTTCGTATGGGCAGTATTTAGGACCACGTCCGGGCTATAACCATTACCCTTGAGCTTATACATGCAGTAGTAGCTGTACTAGTTATGTAGCTTCTGACAGGCTGGGTAATGCGGTGAGGGGAAGGTTTTGTCCAGTATATTATCTATCATTCATTACGATTAACTTGTTGTCTTTAGTATGAGGATCCGCTAATGGGAAAACTCACGGTCTTTGTGAAAAAAATGAGTCTATTGAAAACGACTGTCTGCCTCACAACATGACTTCGGATTTCTCTCTACTCGGCGCTTTTCACTCCATCTCTCTCATCTTCTTCCTTCCTATTCTCACGAATTGTAGGACCATCTAGGCGTTGCGATATTTCTCAGCTCAGCTCAGATCAATTACCGCTTTTAGCATTAATATCGTCTCCTCTCAGAAATCCGTGTGGTTGAGCTAGCAACGCGCGACAGGCAAAAGTGTCAAAATAATTATATGGAAGGCTTCTTAAAGCAACTAGAAAAGAAAGGAGTAAAGAGCATTATATTCCTACAAGATTTAGTCGTTTCCATCCTTCAGAACCTCCCGTTTTTTAGTCCTCCACTTGTACCCACCGTCGTCATTGGCGAATATGTCTCGTTTTACTACCGTCACCTGCTGTCTTGCTTTGTTCGCCGTTTCTGGCGTCAGTGCTGGGCCTTGCCGGCCTTCGTCCTCTGTTCCCATGTCCAGTCTAGAAATGACCTCCACCATCAGCCAATTAGCGGAATCGACAGCCGCGGTTGTCTCTTCGTCCACCTTCACCAAGCCCTTCGAAACAATCTCCATGGCTGTTTCCACCGATGTAACCAGTAGTACCTACTCGACTACAACTACCGAAGCGCAAGCCGGACCAGGCATCAGTTTGATAGCTGCCACTACGATCGCAACAACTACTACAAGCGCGGACATTGAGTCAGAGAGGATCTCTTCCATCACCACGGCCTCAACAACTACCGCAGACACAATGGCGACAACATCCGAGCCTACTACGACTTCTACCGCACCAGAAGAGCCCATTACCTGCGCTGATTTTCCCAATCCGTTCAATGCGACCAACGGCGATTCCTTCCAAATCGTGTGCGACACTCTGCCACGCATCATCTTCAGCATTGGTACTCCCATCCGGGGAATCAGCTTCAAGGCTTGCCTTGATGCCTGTACACAAACATCAGGATGCGGTGGTGCAGCCTACATAGAGGCTGATCAAACCTGCAAGATCTTCTCTACAGCACCAGGCGCGAGCCGTATCCCTGGTAATATCCTTGCTCTGTTGATTTGGGGTCAGTGACCGATTGAGAGTGATGGGAAGCAAATGGCTTTAAAATTAGATACATGCAAGGCATCAGGAGCGGGGTTTGTAAGATTGGTACTTCTAAACCACAGGTTGATCGAAAGGAGAGCATAGCTCTGGGTGAGAAGAAGTGAGCGCGTCTAGAATACAAATCTTATCCGATGCAGATATTTCTTTCATAGCTTCAGGCTACGTGACAACTCCGGAAGTCGGTGCCCATCATACATACGACAGCAACTCGTATCCGACACGAACAACCATACTCAATTATCTTACGCCGCTCCTTTTCTGGGGTTTGTCCTCATATCTCTGAGACAACAATCTTTTCACGAAGTTATGTTCTTTTCCGATACTTTGGTAGCATCACCCTTGTCAGATTCGCTCACTTCGATAGGCTCCTCGAGATCCTCCACAGTTCGGTCGCCATACTTCTTCATGGTGAGTTTGTCGAGCTAGAAATGCTTGGTTAGCGGTTGTCAAACGGCGGACTCAGCAATGTAACTCTTACATAATTGACCAGCCAGATGTAACAGAACATGACACCACAGCAAACAAGAAGCGAGATAGCACCCTTCTTCCAATAAGGCGCATCAGCAGCACTATAGAAGATGATGCCCCAGAATGTCCAAAGGACCATGGAGCCGATATTCATGGAGTACAGCGTCACACTGCGCATGGCATCATCACCTGTTCGCTGCAGGATGATGTTTGCCCAACCAAAGATAAGGGGGTTGACCATGTACGCTGATCCAGCGAGATAAAAGGCAAACATGACCCCAGCGTCAGACAGATTCCTCACGAGAAGCATAGCTCCTACGACAACCTGAAGAAGGACGGCGAGGATAGCCATTGGGACACGTTGGCCGGTTGCGTCCATGTGCCATGCTGCAAGCATATTCGCAGCGATACCAACAGCTTGCACGCCAAGAGGGTAAGTGTTGATTTGGGTTTGCGAGAATTTGTCGTTGTAGTACTTGAGCCAGAGAAGGAATGTGTTTTGGAAGGGGAACCCCTCTACACTGGCGCAGACAGGTGACCAGAAGAAGAGAATCCAGCTAACGGGGAGGTCAGAACCAAATTGGCAAGGGGTTCATGGAGAAACATACAACATGGGAGTAAAAAATACGCGCTTGATCAGAGACATGGGCATGATGTTGTGCCCATCGGTCTTAATTGGGGGGAGCCTGGAAACCGCCAACTTCCTCTCGTCTTGGGACAAATACTTCGCCTTCGTGATTTCAGGAATGTCAGGGAAGTAAAGGAAGCCGAACAAGGCAATGGGAAGGGTGATGATGCCGTCTATAGCTGTCAGCTCCAGTTTAGCCCAGTATACGACTCGACTTACCGATCAAGAACACCCACTGCCATCCTTGGAGGCCAGACATGCCTCTCATGCCCTTATGAATGGCTGTCATCATGACACCAGCAAACATGGTACCGACTTGGCCTGAGGCAGTGAAGAGGGCAGTTCGCTTGGAGATCTCTTCAGGCTTATACCATGCTCCAATGATATAGATAGTGCCCGCATAAGTACTAGCTTCAGCCAAACCGAGGAAGAATCTGATGACACAGAGTTGAGTGACAGTCTTTGCGGCGGCACTAGCCATCTATGATATGTGAGCTGGCAGGATTAGTAGCGCCGGTGTGAAGTTAACTTACTGTCAGACCAGCCCAGATGACTACCATGGATGGGAACCAGATTCGAGGCGCGATCTTCTGGATAATGATGCCATGGGGAAGCTGGCCGATGGCCATTCTACTTCATATCAGTAGCCGTCTTGCATAAGACTAATGAAACGTACCCTGCGGTGGTCACGGAGAGAACATTGTTGTAATCATGACCAGTCATGTTGAGAGATTCACGAAGGCCAGCGACCTGGATCGTCAGTGTGCCTGCCAACAGACTGGCTTGGTTAAGCTTACGTAGGCGTTGGCAAATGCCGCACGATCTGTGTATCATTTGGTCAGTCAGATGGTCTGAAGCAGCATGAAGGTTTGCCTTACCGAGGAAGTTGAAGAAGTAGCTCAGACAGCAGTATGTCTGGCTCTGTCAGTATCACCCATGAACCACATTGCCTGAGCTACATACCATAATGAAGAAATCTGGAAAACGTCAGGATCGGCAAAGAACAAGCGGTTACGACTGGACAAACCTAATTTCCTGACAAGGCGTCTCTCCTCCTTCGACTTTGCCGCCGCTCCCAAAAAGAACGCTTCACTGCATCAGCGTATAGCCCATACTCTACAAGTCGATACTCACTGCGAAGGCTTTCGCCAAATCCACCTTGTTCAGCCATTTTGATCTGCAAACAAATTACCAGTACGTTGAGATCCAAGAACCAACAAACGAGAAATGGTCAGACTTATCAATCGGTCACTCCCCCTCACGTTCTCCACTCTGATTATCAGATTTATAAGATAAACAAGCAAAATTTCTCTTCTTAGCCTGAAAGAGTGACATCGCCAATAAAGTTTGGTTGAACTACCGAAGCTAACGTCGTATTTTGGCGGCGTAGAGTCAGGAATGGTTTAGTGCGGAGTGGACCCTGAGCTGATGATGGTAATCTAAACTTGTTTTTGCCCAAGAGACTGTAGCATTTTGGAAGATTTGAGATTCAAGGGAGAGCATAAAGGGTAGCTTTATTGTTAATGCTATTCATCGCTTTGTAAAAGTCGATATCGGCTTTGCTTTTCCGCGTTGGAGGACTGTTTTGTCGCGATGCATCATGAGGCTTTTTAGCAATGGAGATATGCTTATTTGGAATTTCCCTTACGCGGACCAGTAATTTTACATGACTCAGTGGGACTGGCTTCAAGGGTCGGCCGCTGACTTAGGCTACCCTGCCATACGAGCTTATTCATCGGGGGATACGGCTTGGCGTATCCAGTCTCTCGGCTCGACACTAAACAAGGCCGGAAAGGTGTGAGCGATTTAAAGTAAGCATCAGCCCTCATGTCCACAATGGTTCTTATTTAAGATGAGACTATCGATCTTGGCGAGAACTAGAAGAAGCCAGAGTCTCTCTTGAACTCGGTGAGCCAGTCTAGATTATCGGCTGGAGTCTGATTCCATACGTCGTGGCTGGAAACCAGGTCAGTGGAGGTTTGCGTGAGAGGATCGTAATTCTTACCTGTCGTACATGATCCATCGTGCTTGATATTGGAGTTCTTCGTCAGTTGGGATGTGGCTTGTTGGATTCAGAGGTGAAATGGTTCTCGCGACGTAGCGGGTCAAGTCTCTGGTCAGACCTCTGTACATGTTGCCATCGTTCAGCGAAACGATCTTCTGTCCCAGAGATATAGGTGGCGAGTTGGAACCGCTCGGTGGTCTCCAATGCTCATGATCATTACTGGATATGGCAGGGAGACCGCCAGAGGAAAGTAGAGGAGGGACGAGGCCTTCTTGCGTGTTTGATGAAACAACTTCAGACGGCGGTAGTCCTACCCTCTCTCGAAACGAAGCCAACCAGCTTGTTGACCCATAGACCAAACCAATCAACAACTGGGTAAACATGGGCGAAGCATCAGGCATATGGTTGATGATCGAACAAGCCTCCTTCTGCAATTCGACATCTCCAATCTCCAGGTTCAACAACTGCAGCATGTCAACATACTGCCTTAGCGACGTCTCAAGCTTACAGTCCTCAAAGATATCTTTCTTGCTATGAATCTTCAATTCTGAGAATCGAGACCTAGCTGCACTCTTCATAGGCGTCATTCGTGCTTTGTTGACGATATCTTGTGTGCCCATTATAAGATCGCGAAGCCAGGATGTTGCTGTTGAGGGGTGTTGATAATTCATTTCCGCTCCGAAAATGATGCAGCAGGCTTCGAAATGAAGAGTCTCATCGGAGGGGATGCTGTGGTTGATATCGGTGTAGTTGGCGTAGAAATAGTCTAGCTCCAGCTGCAGTAGTTCAAAGGCGCTTGTTGAACTGTATGGCGCACCCTGCTGCGTAGAGAATGGGAGGGGTGAATTGCGCTCGTAATCTATTAGATCTGCACAATAGTAAGTACCACGCATGTGCTTAGCGCTACTCACTTACAGGGAGGCATGTGATTCTCCACCATATCGAGCGTTGCAGCATCAAATCCCCAGTTCCCTTTCCAATCTGCCATGGTCCTGCCCTCCTTAAAGTGCTCTGCAAGATGGTTCACCCGCTCCGACCATGTCGTCATAGCAATATCACAGAAACCGCAACGTGATATGACATCCTCATGCTTAGACTTCCATTCCTCCATTGGCCACTTCATAAACTCTGATCCGTGGACGAGACGAAGGTGTTGCCGTAGATGATCCTTTCTGTAGAATACCCGCTCTCCCCTTTCGCGTTTATGGCATAAGTCATGGTTATGTTCCTCGAAGTGCCTATTATCCGGATCTACAAAACCGCAATAAACACAAACAGTTTCGGATCCCTCGTTGAGAGCCGTTGGGCCAAGAGGGGAACACTCCCATTGCTCAAGAGAGAGATGCTGTGTCTTCTCATGTCTGGACCATGTATGTTTCAACTTGAACGTCTCAGTGCAAAATGTACACTGAAAGCGATGACAAGCAACAGAGAGACCTCTCTTTTCATCATTTCTGGTCCGTAGACCTCCTCGCCGACGCTTTTTGATGACTCTATTGAGTGACCGATTGGATGTATGTGAGTAGCCCGAGACTTGCGAGCTTCGACTTGAATCAGAGGTGTCGGTTGTCGCCCAGGTACCAGTCGACGATGGTGCCCTGCCGTGTCTCGTTCGCGTACCGTGGGGTTGGTCGATGGAACCACTTGCGCCGGATACTGCCCTTGCAATAGCAGCCATGGTGGATGGCTCGTCTTCAGGCGGTGAGTTCTCCCATCGCTCGAGTGGACTTTGTTGGACGGTTGGCGTGGGTGGTCGACGCAGGGGTATGTCCCGGGGGCTAGCCTCTGCCGAACTTGGATCCGTTGTTTCTGGTGGATTGAACTTCTTCCTACGGCGAGCATTGGCGAACCAGTTCAAGATTTGCTGTCGAGTCAATCCTGTCTGCCTCTCTATCGCTTCGACATCTCGGACGCTGGGGTACGGGTGATGTGTATGATTCGAGAGCCATTTGTTGAGAATGCGGACTGAGTTGAGAGAGAGTCGCTTTCCAGTCTTGGGCGGTTGGTTTGATATAGTGCTTGCTTCAGCCCATGCGTTTGATGTGATGGGAGCGAGAGTTTCGGTGGGCCCAAACGGAGAAATTGAGTTGACTTCTGGGCTGTCTCCAGGTCCCAGGCTATCTCCTATGCCCGAGACAGGGTGTAATAATTGAGGATTGATTTCATCACTGAACGGGCTCTGAAAGGAGGAGAAGCCAAGGTCAGAAAAGCCGGGCTGGTCTAGCAGGTCCCTAAAGTCAGGGAATTCGCTCGGGAGTACAGTAGTACCATCATTGGTGCTGGTCTCTCTGTCATTGAGTTCCATATTAACAAGCCATTCGCTAGCAAAGATGTCACGTCGACGTTAGAGACGATGAGTCTGAGGCGTCATGTAAGGTTGACTGGGCCCACTATTTTCTTGTCATCCTCAGCCCTTTCAGGAACTTTTCAACCAATAGCGCAGAAGATGACACAATAAGCTTCACTACGTCAACGTTCAACCCATTTAAAGTAATATTTCTCTATGTTTAATAATAATAATAAAGCCACGTCTAATCACTCTGACTTCGGAAATAGCCTTCAGACTATTGTGTTCCGGGTATGACAAGGTATCTCAATCTTTGGAGCAACGCACCATCCTCTTGTCCGCCCTTCGAGTAGCTTCCAAGAACAGCGCAGATAAAGCCATCGTCGCACCTCCAAATACTTGTGCACCCAAATAATTACCGTCCATCGCTCCAACCAAAGCTCCTCCAATTGGCGACCCAATCAAGCTTGCAATACTGCCGAGTCCAAAGACCATGCCCATTCTCGTCCCAGGCTGTTCTGTCCCAGCAGTAAGGTATCCAAGCCCTGCTGGAAACAAACTCTGGATGCCACCACAGAATATCCCACAGAATACAGTCCAGACATACATGCTCGGAACCGTCCTGACTGAAATCCAAGTGAAGAGGGTGAGGGATGTCGCAACCAAGATGGGGACAAAGACACCCAATACACCAAACTTGTCAGCAGCAAGACCGGATCCAAAGCGACCTATGGCGTTGACACCGTTGAAGATCATCAGAAGGTTTAGACCGTTGCGATAAGAAAGTGGTGGTGAAATTGACGTTCGAGAGAAGTCGACAATGCAGAAGATTGAGATGTATAGACCTAGTAGTGACTAGAAAACACGTTAGAATCATCGACCATCGGCACTCTCAAGCACTTTCGCTTTCGACACTTACCATGAATGTTGCAATTGCATAGTGATTGAATCGAACATCGCGAAACGCAGTCCAATCTACCCAGCCGGATTTACTTTTTGCGCTAGTCTTGGGTCTCAAGCAGATGTTCGCGAAGGCCAATGTAACGAACTGTATCAAAGCGATGAAACGCATCGTCCAAGGAAACCCCAAGCTGGAAATAAGCTGGCGCAAGATGCTCGAGTAAATCAACCCACCGGTACACGATCCACACATTGTGATCCCTACCGCCATTCCTCGACGCTTGGTGAAATATTGCGACATAACAGCGAGCATGGGACAAATCATAAGTCCATTACCCAAGCCGACACCAAGGCCGAGAGTAACAAACATGATCCAAAGCTCAGAGCCAAATGAGGCTGCAAGGATGCCAACAACATGGACAAGAGAACCTGTGAAGAAGGTAACGCGGAAATATCCAGCGTCTGTAAGACGGCCTGAGAAGGCCCCGATAAAGAAGTATAGAAATATTTGCATTGAGCCAATCCATGATACCGCAGAGGATGGCTCCCCAAATTCGCCGATGAAGTAGCTCTGTAGGGCCCCAAAACAGTTAGTGAAGCCGGAGGTGTTCATCACGACGAAGTGCGAGGACAAGACAACTATACATGTTAGAGGAATCGAAAACAGACTTGAGAATGCTTACTTAGGGTACTTCTGCACCATCCTGGCTCCTCTTCTTCTTGGAAGGGTTCTTCGCTGACTCTGAGAGATACCGATTCAGCAAAGCGAGCGAAAGGGGAACAGTCGTGACTCTCACTTGACTCAAGGTCCATGACGGGCGGTTGTCTAATGTGCATCTTTCTTTGTGAGAACCCAAAGGCTTATCGAAGCATTGAGGAGGAAACTTGAATATGTCTTGCCAGGTAAGTCGCCCATGTTGTGTTTTGCCCTTTTATCAACACTGGAGGTGGGTCTTGTCAACGGCAGGGTGCAGTGCCTCCTCCTTATTCACTAATCAATGACGCGAAACAAACCCATCTCGACCCTCTAAGCCTTGGTATAGACCTTTTGTTCCATGTCAATGACAAATGGGACAATCTTGTACAGTCACCCCAGGTCCCACCGACTCCCGTATCCGCATGATAGCCCAACAACCAGTACACTCCTGGACCTCAACCTCGACATCCATGATATCATAACTCTTCAAGATATTCCTACACACCCTCGTGACAATCCAGGCATGATACCAACTCGTAGATCCAGCCTCGACTATAATCAGGAGCTTCACTTGATTTTCTTGCAGTGCACTTCCGATGCTATAGGTCTCAAAGCAGTTCCACTGTGTATACTCCAGCGCACCGGTTAGCTCCTTTTGGAGAATTCCCTCAGGATCTGACCAGAGAACTTTCAATGGATGAGAATCTTCTACTTGCGACCAGTTGTTGCATAGGCCCGACCATTGGTCATCGGGGTAGTTTGATCGCGCGATGAGTCGGGGTGTGTTGCGCCAGAGACCGTAGTAGTCTTCTGTCTCGAGCGCTGTCGGGGGAGGGGGTACACCCTGTGGTAGGGCCTGAATTTGAGGTACCCGCACGGTTCGTATTGGCGTTTTAGGTTCCATGTCAGGTGGAGGGGTGCTGGATCCTCCTGAGCGGTTGGGAAGTGAGTCTTCCATATCTACTCCTTTGATGAGATCTGTCGAGTGGGATGGAATACCTTGGGCTTTTGGCGAAATTTTGATCAATCTTCTTTTCTGAAATGACAGGTCGAGATAATAGTGTGACGGGTCAAGACAGAAAGAATGAGCAATAGATTAGGACTTTATAAGAAGAAATTCATGGCGAACGTTTTGAACTGGGTTTATTATATCTTTATGCGTTGCTATTCCTATCACGACTCGATAGAAAGCTTTTTATATGAAATTTCTGTTACTTTCGTGTACGCTACTAGACTTTCAAGATTGGAGGTTGTTGATTGATGGACAGTTACATAGCCTTTTGTTTATCGAGTTTTAACATATAATACTGGAACCTTACTTTATTTTAACCGTTCAGGTACAAAGATCTAATCCGCTTTGCTTTATGTATCAGTTCTAAGTTTTCTATACCACCAAGATTCCCGACGAACACATTTGTTAATTTGGTAATAGTGTTCTCTATGAAATAGGTATCAGGACAGCGATTAGTGGCTCTAGCAATAGATTAACTCATATGGAATATGCTTTTGACTATTCGGTGAGACTGATCACGCTGCACGCACGCCAAATCTAATAAATCGTAGATTAAAATATATATATATATATAATTGCTCAATATTCTATACACTTTTATCCTTCTACCTTAGTCTACGCCAATGCTATGCCTGTGATATCCCCCAGCTCGGGAAACAGCACTGTTTTTGTCTTCGTCTTCAGGTCGACAGCATATACACCTCCTGACAAGTCCGTCACATACGCCTTTGCAGTATTCTTATCCAATGCAAGCCCAATCGTCTCGTGTAGTCGCCTAGCTAGAACCTCCCGCTCAAGCGCGGCGCTAAGATCTCCGATAGAAGCACGATTCAATGAATTTCCAGATGGAGGATCGCCACGATCTGTCCAGTACAGAGTTTGTGTGCTCTCGTCGAATTCCAAGTCAATAGGTTCGGGGAGCTTGTCAAAGACTGTCTCGACTTGTGTTGGGTTGTCAATCTTGGCTCGGAAGATACGCCCTTGGGATCCTTTTGATGGGCCTTTTTGTGACCAGTAGAAGTATCCCATTGACTCATCTACTGTGATACCAACGCACCAACGGCACATATCTTTTCTGTCCTCTGCACTTGAGCCAGTTGACACCAGAACCTCAACGTCAGATCCATCAAGATTACAGCGCATAACCTTCATTCCTTCTCTATCGCACCAGTACAACTTCCGACTTTGTCGCGCAAGAGTGATTTGCTTCGGAGTATAAACACCAACCGTACCAGTGCTCACAACGGTTGTTCGTTCGGAGCCGTCTAATCTTGAGCGCTCGATGGAGCCATCGTTGGATTTGAAGGTGGGACCCATGTTTGTCCAGTACATGAAGCCATTTTGGTGATCAATTGTGATTCCATCTGGCATCGTCTTCATCTGATCATGGACTGTACGAAGGTCGCTGCCGTCGGTGTAACATGATAGAATGCGACCTTTGGGATTGGGGAAGTTGGATAAATCTGTGTCGAGGATGTAAAGACGCGGTAGGCCAAGGGATCCCATGATGGTGGAATATAAAGTGGAAGGATTAATTATTGATGCTCAATATTGTATGAGAGTCGTATGCGATCGTGTTATTGACGCGCCAATATTCTAATCAGGCCTGGGCGCTCAAAAGTCATGGTAATAAAGGACATGTCTCCATTTTGAGGAGGCCAAGAGGCGGTGAAATTTCATCATGGCGTTCTTATCGGACATGAAGTGGACACAGATCCGTGCGCCGGGCTTACGAGTACAATCGGCGCCGACTTCGCGCCGCGAGACAAAACCTGCATCATGAACTCCGCTGCTCTGCCGGGTCCCCCGGGGCAAGTGGGGCGCGACCCGGCGTGGTGGGGCTGGTGATGCCGAGGCAGCCCCACTGCGGAATATGACGCAGTCGATAGCGGAACTCAAAAGCACCGCAGAAATTTTGAAGTTGTTCAGGGTAGCCCAAGGTTCAGAACTCTTCAGTCAACGATTTAGAAATGGATGGCCTGGAGTACTTAGTCGTGAGAATGTATCCGAAGTTCAATTTGACGGATTATGTTGCCCAACAGGTCGACTTCGAGCAGCAGCTGTGTGAGGCGGGCAGAGGGGAAGAGGAAACAACGTGGCAGTAGTGTATATAACATCGCAACAATAATTAAAAACAACGGATACACTGCGACAAAACCAATTGGCAGAATATGAACATGATGCATCTCTAATGTGTATTGGTAATAAGTCAAATGGTATCTATGATTCGTGCTTGCCCTTTCCCTCTGCAAAAGCATCCCAATCCCTCCTAACGTTTAACAACCTAACCAGCTCCTCATCCCTCTGTTTCACCAACCCCCCATATCCCCTCTCCCCAACAGCCCCTTTCGTCCCCTCAATCCACTTCTCTCTCAAATCCTCATCAACAACCGGGTTTTCCTTCGCATACCAACCCTGAAGAGGTCCCAACAAATGATCTGCAAAATGCTCAATGCCTCCCTCCCCACCACCAAGATGAAACAACATATTCGGTCCCATGACTCCCCATCTTAAGCCAGGACCATAAGATACCGCATCGTCAACATCTTGAACGGAGCAGACGTCTTGTTGGAGGATGTGGAAAACTTCGCGCATAACTGCTGCTTGGATTCTGTTTGCGACGTGGCCGGGGACTTCCTTTTGCAGGTGGATGGGCTTTTTGCCAAGGCTAGTATAGAATGTCATTGTCGTTTCGATGGTGGCTGGTGATGTTTGCGAACCGCCGACGACTTCGACGAGGGGAATAAGATGAGGCGGGTTGAAAGGATGACCGACGACACAGCGTTGAGGGTGCGCTGCAGCAGTCATACCCTCTTGGATAGAAGAACAGGTAAGACCACTTGAGCTCGTCGCGATAATCGCATCAGGCCCAAGTTTCTCTCCCATCTGCTGAAATAGCCTTCTCTTAAAGTCAATTCTCTCGGGACCATTTTCCTGAACGAAATCGACATCTCGAAGAGCTTGTTCAAGACTGGTGGTGAAGACAACATCTTCAGGCTTGGCTTCTGTGTTCTTGACAAGGCCGATTGATGATAGAACGGGGAGAGCATTGCGGACGAAGTTGCGAAGATATGTCTCCGCGGCTGGGTTGATGTCGAAGGCTTTGACTTGTAGACCTTGGGCGATGAAGAGGGCAGCCCATGAGGCGCCGATTGCACCGCAGCCGATGATTGCGACGGACTTGATTGATGACATGATGTGAAGATATGCAATAGAAGCAATTATTTTCTAGACTGATACAATTTCTACATGTCAATAGAGCAGTAGCTGCAGCATGATATTTATTTACACCAAACATCACAATCTAAAAAGACTGTCAATTCCGCCCTCCTTGCTCCCAGTCTCCTAATTCCGCATCTCCCATCGCGCTTCGGCATTTAATCTTAACAACGTCATGCATCGGCATTTGAATCAATCCAAGTGGCAAAATCTCCATCGGATCAACCCCCGATAATCCAATCTCCACGTGGTTATCTCATTAATTTCTTCTTTTTCAACTTCTAGAAATTTTCTAGATCTTTTCTAGTGCGGAAGTGTCCGCGTTTCCCCACTCTTCCGTTCCGTCCCTGCGTCATCGTGGAGAAAATACAGCAAATCAGCTTCTCGTCCCTGGAAACGTCTTATCTCGTGGCGGTTTTTTGAGCCTCATGTTGCAAGCGCGTGGAGATGGGATTCCACCCATTTTTCGTATGTCCGATTTCCGCTCGCGCTCGCGTTTGAGATTGCCGATGCGTTGTTTTGCGGATCGGGGGCCGATTATGGAGATGGTGACGATGCATGATTCTTGTGGAGTTGAAAAATGGGATCCTTGATGCTTGAAGATTTGTGATCACGATAAGTTGCTGTTACACCGACTTTGTCGTCATTTCAAATCCATAAAAGACGTTGGCCTGATCACCATCGAAGATATCTCCCCGATTTCTATCTTGATCTATCACTCTAGTTTACATCATCTCATGTTCGTCTTGGCTACATCCTAACTCATAACCATCAATATGTCACAAGAACCCAGAGTCCCAGACGTCTACGGGCCCGGTACTCATACCGACCGCACATTCGTCCCCGTCCCCCGAGACACACAGCGCATCTTCCGTCTCATCGCCTCTCAAACACCTGGCTTCACCCAAGATGAATCCATCCTCTCAAAGGTCACATTCACCGGCGATGAGTTCCCAGTCATCTCCGGCCCCATCAAAGCTGTCTCCGTAGCAGCTGCTCTTCACGCCATGGCCGGTGTAGTAGCCGATGAGATCCTCACTCTTCGAGGTGTTGAGGATAAGGACCGAAAAGTCACTGTCAACACTACACATGCTGGACTTTGGTTTGGCAACATCGCTACTGCATATGTTGATGGCAAGGACGTCTTTGCGTTGACCAAGTCCGGAGAGTTGAAGAAGCTGTTGCCAGATTGGGAACGAGGATGGGTTGATACACCTCTCAAATATCGCACCACAGGGCTTTATCCTACCTCTGATCCTGACATTTGGTACTCTCTCCACGGTTCCATGAACGCAGAGCCAGTCCTCAAGTCTATCGGCGTGGACCCATCTGAGGCCATCACCTCCAACGAAGATGCAGCCGCTCACATAGCAAAGTTCACAAGCAAACTCTCACCTGAGAAGCTTGAGTTCACAAACCTTGTCAACGGCAACTGCGGCAGTATCTGCTTCACACCTAAGCAGTGGAACGAAAGCGAGATGGGCAAGTCCCTCGCTGCTCATCCCCTCATCAATGTCAAGGCTCAACCTCACGCTATTCCTACACCGCCCGTTGCTTTCCCTCCTCTCGATCCAGCTGATAAGCGCCCGCTGGCTGGTATCAAAATCGTTGAGATGACCCGTGTTATCGCCGGTCCTCAAATCGGCACGATCCTTTCTAGCTTCGGCGCTGATGTTATTCGCGTTAATCCCCCTCACTTGCCTGATATCAACATCATGCAGCTCACTCTTAACGCTGGAAAGCGCACCATCGCTATTGACCTGCGAAAGCCCGACGATGCAGCTATCATCAAGTCTCTTATCGCCGAGGCAGATGTGTTCATCCAAGGCTTCCGCATGAACAAGATGCCTAAGTTTGGCCTTGGATTGAACGACATCCTCAAGATGGCTGGCAAGCGAGGCCGCGGTATCGTTCATGTTTCGGAGAACTGTTATGGCCCTGATGGCTATTATGCTGAGCGACCCGGTTGGCAACAGATTGCTGATGCAGCTGCGGGATCAGCATACGTCACTGGCCGTTCCCTTAACTTGCCCAACAATGAATCTGTCCTGCCTTCGCTACCTGTTAGCGACATGACCACTGGTGCTCTTGGCGCAGTAGGTACTCTTCTAGCCCTTCGCGATCGCGCCATCAACGGCGGAAGCTACGCCGTTCACGCATCTCTCGTCGCAGTCAACGCGTTCGCTCTTCGCTCTGACGTCGGCCTCTACTCACCCGAAACTGTCGCTGAATGCGCTAGGCGATTCCAGTGGGCTGAGATGAGAGGATCGCATCATGTTCTTGATCTTTTGATGACGGTTTGGGATGGCTGGAAGAGAGTCCTTGGTAAGGAGTTGTCAGAAGATGGTGGATGGTACCAAAGCTTTGAGACGAGCGCTTTTGACGGGAAGAAGTTGAGCATACTTAAGCCTGTTGTGAGTTTGAGTGATGAGGAGGTGACGCCGCGATGGAAGACACCCAGTGTTCCTTATGCTTATGAGAAGGCTCAGGGCATCAAGTTTCAGTAAAAGGACTGGTCATAGATTATAGAAGAGATGAAGTATAGAAATACCCATAGAGATAGAACATAAATTATTTTCACAGGAAGTTTATTCAAGCGTTGACTCAGTCTCTGGATCTAGCAGTGAATTGCTGTCGTGAGATATTGGAAGAAGTCAGACAGAGGCATGACAAAGACTAGCGACTATTTTAGCGTCGGGTTTGAGGCGGGTACAAGTGAGGTCACTTCTCACTTCATTTAGTCCAACAGCTACTTGGCGCTACTTTATTGATGATCTAAACACCAACGCCAGGTCTGTTTTGTATTTGAGATGGTTCGATTCGCGATGAGTCACTTGCCGACTTCACCTTGGTGTTACGCCTGGTAGCGATTAAAACACGCCAAATCTCTAAACGACACTGAAGCAATAAGGTCTCAATACTGAATTTTGTTCTTCTGCGGCCTGTGCTACTGCCTGCGCTTGGATCTTCAATCCTACTGAATTCGCGAATCAACTTATTGTAGCACTAATGGAAGACACGACGGCTCTACCGATAATAACGAGAACTGCTTACATACGAACCATTATCGACAAAGACAAAGAAAGAGAATATTACGAGAGCTGTTGGGCCAATCTCAGAATGCTTCTATGGTCATGGGTCGGTCAGAAAGTTCATAATGATCCTGCTGGAACTGGTGCTCGACGACTTCGCAGCTCACCTCCATCTGGTATCCGACACCACTACATCATCGGCCATTCCAATCCTTTCGACAATTTTATACTTGAATGGCTTTTGGAGAACTCCAGGCCTGACAGTTGGAGGATGACTCGCGATGACTTTGAAGTTTACCTTTCTGAGGCGCAGATGAAGGACCCAACAAACCGAGAACTTCTTCAAAAGCTTGAACAAGAGCGGGTGAAGATCACCGTAGTCGACTCATCCATCCCGACCGAATTTGAGACAAAAGACGTATGTGATGGAGTGATGCTCACTAAAAGCGATTACGTTCTCGAGACATCTCTCGAAAGAGGTTCAAGCTGTTGGATAACAACAGACGTACTTTACCGAGACTCTCTTCGCCACGGCCATCCCCAACGTTACAACACCGAAGAACTTGCAAAGAGATACTACGATAACAGACTCAAGAACAAAATGGGCCATACGCAGCGATCATGTTCATATCCTCACGGCAAATCCGACGCCTGGAAATTTGATCACGCAGAGGATTGGAAGAACTACGCATGCAAATCTTGCGGACAGAGATGTAAGCGCAGTAAAGGCTGCAAGATCACAGGTGAAGATTGGGCAAAGAGGAAAGATGTTATAGCGTGGGATGAAGGGGTTGATACCTCGGCGCCGAGACCGCCCGAGTTTGAAAGGGATTGGAGGATGTTGACGGCGGAGGACATATGTAACTACTGGGGGACTGATCCGATGTCTTATGAGAGGTTTAGGAATTGGAAGTGGAAGTCTGTTGACACGTTCACGGGTGAATGAGGTCATGCGTCGAATACGCTTAGATTGTTTTCATCTATCAACAAACTACTCCTCATAACTCATCACGTCATTTTCTAATCAACTCAACTTTGCGAGATAAATTTCTAGATCTCGTGAATACCGCATCCCAAGTGTCGAATACCCATCGCCTCAAGCTCGTCAATTTGGGCCAGATCAGGTCCGACACTTCGCTCCTGGAGACCTTGCAATGAAGCGGCAGTAGTCTTGGTCTTGGGGATGAGCTTTGTTCCTCTGTCGTCGAGGACAGCCAGGATGTGTGCAGCAGCCTGTTTATGTTAGAGTCGCAAGTAGTAAAGACCTGAGTAGAAGGCTTACCTTGGCGTTGATGGTGAGAGTCTTGGAATCGGGGTTGTCAATGGTGTCGCAAGCCTGGTGGTAGCAAGGATCCTGGGCAACGGCCGTACCCTGAATTTTCGTTAGTTGTAAAAGCACAATCGAATGAGTACACCTACAGTATGCAAGAACCCAAAAGGCTTGTTCAAATTCTGCCAGAAAGGCGCATAGTCACTGCCATTAGTCAAAACAGCGGGCGTGACCTCGATACCCTTGCTCTCGAAATATTCCGTAAAGATCTTCTCAGTAACTTCGGATCCCTTAGGAGCCTTTGATCCATGCGAGCTTCCATCAGTGTCAGCGACACCGAAGAAACCCTTGGAGACCATGTCGAAGTTGAGATAGACGAGAAGATCGTTGACGTCCTTGGCGGGAAGGGTGGAGGTGTAGTGCTTGCTGCCGAGGAGGCCGTTTTCTTCGGCGCCCCACCATGCGAAGCGGATTCTGTTCTTGGTCTTGTACTTTGAGAGGGCGAGGAATAGTTCGAGGATGAGAGATGAGCCGGAGCCTAGTTGAATTAGTAAAATCATGATAAGATACGGCAGGGGGAAATACCATCGTCGTTGATACCGGGACCGGCTTGAACACTGTCAAGATGGGCACCGAGCTGGATGGTCATTAGTATGGCTATTGATTATTGGAGTGAGTGACGAACCATGATGACATTACGAGGATCACCACCCTTAGTCTCAGCAATAACGTTCTGCGTAATCCTCTCCTCAATAGTCTGCGTTTGTTGAAAGTGCGCTGTGACGGTCTCGCCAGCCTCAATCCTCTCCTTGATCTTCTCGCCATCCACAAGGTTGATAAAACCAGCTGGGACATGCTTCTCAGGATCAGGCTGACTAAGAGAACCAGCAGTCACATTCGTCGTAAGATCATGGTAGATGATGACAGCGGACGCACCAGCCGCAGCAGCAGGGATCACTCTTCCAGCAAGAGTTCCGCCGGTAGGACAGCGGAAGCGCTGGACGAGAACGATTTTACCCTTCACGTCGAGATCATCGTACGATGAGGCGTCGCAACCTGCTGCACCTTCAGGACCAAGCGCGATCTCGGCGGTGATGCCTTCTTCGGAGGTTGAGGGTGAGTAGGTCAAGCCGTAAACATAGACGGGTGTATCATCAACCTTGAGTTCAATCGAGTCTACAAAGGCGAAGAGTGCAGGGAAGTTTTGTTTCCAAACTTTCGCGTTCTTGACTTTCGAGATGCGCTTGAAGATGTAGTCTACTGAAGCGTCGTATCCGGGAAGACCGAAGGCTCTGTTACCACCGTTGGCAAAGGCAATATCGTTGAAGGCCTCGAGGTTCGACATGAGGCTGCATATTGTTAACACTTTTTCACTGGTACGAGAATTGAGGGTTGATTACTTCTTGGTCTTCATATCAGCTTGGATCTTCTTAGACTCCAGCTTGTGAGTCTTGGCCAGGCCATGGCTGGGAGCCAGCGCCAGTAATGTGGCGACACCAGTGCTGAACTTCATGTTGATGATGTACGATACTTGAACTGGTCGTAACAACGAAAGCGGGGAGTCGCACGAAGGCGGAGAGTCTCTATTTATACAGATAGACAAGTCACGCTACCAGAGGCAATCGCAATGCCAAGAAAGCCAATCCATGGCGGGGAATCATGACGAACACAAGTTCACGGAAACAGTTTCGCTTCTGGAAGGTCATATCTAGCCAAGAAGCTGCTATGATGATCGCCGGCAGACTCATTTAGCGGAGGCCTTATCGCTAGCGGTGACGACTCCCAGGCACTTTTGCTTGCACCAACGAGAATCGAACATTTACTGCACTAAAATGTGACCAAGCCCGATCGACGTTGCACCAGATGAGGGTCATTTTGGCAAAGAACGATAACCCCGCGAGACCAAGAATGCCGAGAGGCTTTAATTGGGCAATGGAGAGTTTTTTCTTGAGGTTGCACTGTTTTGGAAGGTGGAAGAAGAGCTTGGGGACAGGGATCATGAACCATACGAATAAGCTTAAGATGCAAAAGTTCCTAGTACACGCTAGACGGGTTTGGGCGACGATTGAGGTGTCTCTTGCTTTGACATAGTATGTGGATTGTTCAGATAGCATCATGTTCGTCGAACTACACTCACTTGTTTTCCTGGTATTTGAGCAATGAAATGTTCTTTGTTCGCTGATATCTAGGACATACTGCTCTTTTTCAGTATTCCAAAGCATCGCCCTTTGTCTGCACAAAGTCCTTTAACAATTTTGAGACATGATGTTGAACATGAAAACAGAACACCGTATTGCGCGAATGCGTCTAATCTCTTAGTATTTAAGAGCCTAGGCTTCCGATTATTCTGTCTGTTCCCTATCTTGTTAACTAACACCAGAGTTACCAGTACCAAACAACAACGACACATCTGAAATTACAGCAATATCTGGCACCATGGATCGTAACAACTCTCTTGTCGTCCAAACACCAGTTGAGGAGGAGTCGGGAGGTGTTGCAATTCGACGACCGGATGTTGAGGCCGATGCGGACTTCGATATTCTGTCGTTCATTGAGTCTTCTTCTGACAGGCATGAAACTGGTCATGAAATGGAGGATGAGGAATACCGTAAGCAGGAGAAAATGCTCATGGATTCAGCCATCGATTTTGTTCTCAGTGAGGTTACTGATGAGAATGTCCAGATCGCCACCGTCAACCCTCATCCTAAGCTGTCGATTGCACACGATCTAGTGTCATTCCTCTTGAGCCACAAAGCTGCAACTTCTTACCTCTTCAGGCGTCATCCAATCCCTTCTAGCGCTACCCCTCAGCCGTTCCCCCTCAACGTGTTCATGGGTCAATGGACATCATGGACAAGTTTCACGCTATCCAAATCTAGGGAGGTCCAACCAGGCACTCTTCAATGCTCTCAGCCGATAAAACCTGGCGATATCGAAGTCATAACGGTTTCAAATGACAAATTCGTACAACTGATGAGTCTTGCAGACGGGGATGAGACGCTGATGATGACAATCTGGGAGACGCCCGATGCTTCGAGACATGTGCGTCCTCATCTGGAGCTAATGAAACCTAACTTTGGTTTAGTGGAAGAGATTGGTGAGAGAGTCATTGCTTGGAGAGTTCATGGACTTGATGTCTCGTATTACATGGATAGACTGGGATATCGCATTCCCGGCATGGTTTGGCCTCTCGAGGAGCTTAGCGAGGAGTGAAGATGCAATACTTTTTACTCGGGTCTTACAGGGTGCAGACTAGCGATAAGTATGAAAGCCATGGACATGGATGGCAATAGATAGAGATTAGCGCCTTAGGAAAAAAGTTTATAGATCATGATACACTTTTGAAGTTTGGGCTTAGACCTTGAAATACATCAGTGCACCTGTAAAGGCAACACATTACTAGACATGGACAAGGCACCTGAGTTCTTGTCAATAGCAGTAACACTAAGTGTAATGACCTCAAATATTAGAACAAAGTGAGATGCGTAAAAAATATTGATAGAACGTTGTTCCATGTATCAACAGGTTGAGTGAATCTTGTCCCCAGTACAAGACTGTATGTCTTCATTTCCCATTAAGTATTTTGTCACTTCCATGGAACTAGAGGATATCGAGAACCTGCACGAGAACTTTATTCTCTCTTCCGTGATTCTATACCGTCGGTCCGTAGGACATTTGGTCATGCATTGTGGAGTCTCACGTCAGCAATTCCTGCTCAAAGAAGGCGAATTATTAATTCTACAACTATGATATCTTATCGTATGCATTATATATTGCTCAAAGGCTAAATAAATATAATGAAGCCCTCTGAACTCAGAAGTACAGCGCAAATAACATCATCATGTTCATCCATCGGATCAGAGCTATTGTCTTTCTTGCGACCCTTTTCTATGGCAGTTGTAAAGCTAACACCAATGGATTGTCATATCCTACGCGAAAAGTCGCCGGCATATCAGTCATCAACACGCCAATAGTTCAAGATGCTGAAGCATTCGCGTTGGAGCATAGTACTTACCCCATCTACAAACACGTCATGCGGTCTTGGCTCTACGGAGTCCTCATGATCAATGCCAACGAAACCCTCAGTGACAGCATCGACCTCGAAGTCCACGCTGTCGCCACCCTCTTGCACGACCTTGGCTGGGACACGACAGAAGCGTCACCCATCATCAGCGCTGACCGTCGGTTCGAAGTAGACGGGGCTTTCGCAGCGCGTAAGTTCATACAAGAGCACCAAGATGTAAAGTTTTGGCATGAGAGGAATGTTCAGCTTGTATGGGATGCGATCGCGCTTCATACAGAAAGGTTTATATCATATTTCAAGGAACTTGATGTGCAGGTTGTATCGAAGGGCATCGCAATGGACTTTTCGGGACCAGCTTATGGTGTTTCGAGAGAGGACTATGCTGCAATTGCCAAAGCCTTTCCGAAAAGTGATCTCAAAGACAGTGTCAACCAGACTATCATCTGGCTTTGTGATACGAAGCCTCAGACCACATATGGTGAGTAATTCTGCTGCCTATTGCGTGGCCTCTACTGATATGTTGCAGACACTTGGATGCAGCCTTTTGGGGAGAGATACGTTGACAAATATGACCCGAAGGGCAAACAGAGAATTGATTTGATCTTCCAGCATCTTACGACTGGGAATAGTTGATGCCTGGAACAGGCTCCCTTTTTTGTAATACGAGCCTTGTTTCAAAACTAGCGAGTGGGGGCCATTATTATACGACGTAGCCAATCCTTGAGTAGCGGCTGTGAATTTCTCCGCTCAGCCACGGACATTCGACAAAGGTAGCATCAGATAAATAGTTAACCTTGAGTTATTAAATACTTAACCGCTTTTTTATACTTGCTTGAGATATCTCATAATGCAACTGGGTGACAGGAAAACCCTGCTTCGGAGGTTAAATCCAGGTGATCAATCAGCCACTCAACAGCGACTTCTCAGCAAGGCGCGTATTCCCGGGGTCGCGCAGTGGTTTTTCGACCATGAGAAGACACAGGATTGGCTGAGCGGGAGTGACGGTCGTGTGCTTTGGCTCGATGGACCAAGTATCTCACCTCCTTCCAATACTTCTTCGTGCCCGGCTGACAAAACTCAGGCGCAACTGGCAAGACTTTTATTACCTCGAGTCTTGTGAGCCATATTTTAGATGACCAGATCCTATCAAGTACCGGAGCCGCCGTATATCATTTTGGTCGGCATGAGCTGCAGTACAACCTCGCTGACTACAACCTTGCGCTGCGATCTATCACTAGACAGTTGGTATCACAACTTCCGGAGGTATCTACCCTGCCAGCCCGGATTCTGGAGACTATTGATGATGGCTTTGGAGATGCCGAAACTACCGTGGCTATACTGCAGATGCTAGCATCTGAGTTCGATAGGATTATCATCATCCTCGATGGGGTCGACTCCTCGAATGAGGCTGGTTTACGTGAACTGATGGAAATTCTGCTGAGGAAAAAGACTCGATTGCGAATAATGATGACCAGTCATAGTCCACCGTCCGGTACATTCATTGACACCTTTGGTATGAGCACGATCAGAGCTCGCGCAACAGACCAGGATTTGAGTCTATACCACGCGAAAGCTATTGACGAGGCACCTGTCAGTACGGAGGTCCTGGATGATTCTCATGCCAGGCTGTTTCCATACCAGAAACTTATGGATATGGCTGATGGCCGGTAGGTCTCGTTGCGTTTCTGAGACAACATCCGCTAAGGTCTCTTAGGTTTCTTCCTATCATACGAAGTTGGTTCACTAACATCGCATCGCAACCGAACACGGTTCTTCTCAGCCTGGTGGAGTCCTGGTCACCAAACTCTAGCATGGATGTCCCACGGGCCTTTTGCGAAGCTCTAGCCAATGAGATCCAAACCTCAAAACATTCAGACATGACCCTCTGCTCGCTTTACTACCTAGTCTACGGCGAAGAAAACGGATACACCTTTACTCCATCAATGCTATGGGAGGCTCTCATCGCCTGGGGTATCAGAGACGAAGACAACACAGTGTTTACTCTGACACAAATATCCAACGCCTGTGCTGACTTTGCTTTCATCGACACTGAAACGAAGATCATGAAGTTGCGATCTCCATTACTAATGGATTATTTGCGAACTGAGGTGTTTGGCGATAAGTACCACGCCCGACACATCAGGGCAACGTTTCGGTATTTGACAAGAGGCGACTACGAAGGCGCATGCAAGTCGTCTGGCGAGCTAAAAGAGAGACTTAGAGCTCATCCGTTTCTTTGCTATGCCGCTAGAACCCTTTCACCAAGCCTCGCAGCCTTTCCGGCATTGCCCTACGACAGAGATTTTCTAAAAATGACAGCTTCACATAGATCGGTAGACTCTTATCTTCAAGCTGCTGAGGCATGGCCGTATATCGATGAAGAGAGCTATGATGAGTTTGAGGCTGAAGAGGAGAGATGGCGTTGTTATACGAAAGCGTATACTCCCCTTCACCTCGCTGCTCATTTTGGAGCCAGAGAAGCATTGATCCAGTCGCTTGTTGATCGAGGTGACAACATTGAGGCTCAAGCGGCAAATGGACAAACAGCGTTGCACATCGCAGCTGAAATTGGAGATTCGTCACACACCGTCAAGCGGCTATTGGAATGCGGGGGCAATGTCGCTGCAGTTGATGAAGATGGACTTACACCTTTGGCTCATGCGATAGTATATGGATGCTTGGAATCAGTGAGGCTGCTCATCAGTCACGGTGCGGATATTAAAGCGCTAGATGAGGAGGATTTATTAGAATGCTCTCACGAGAAACCCGATGTGGCGGAGTTTTTAGTAGGGCTTGGGGTTGAGATGCCAGTAGAAGAGTCAGAGCAAGAAGAATAAAGAAGAAAGTACCAGCAATTGTAAACTACACAGTGATAAAAAGGAATTCATTCCGAATGTTTTGTCTCATGGTTGAGAATGGCTCTATGGCAAAAAACATACAACACCGGGGATTCGCTGGTCGTCACCGACCCAACTACTAATCCAGCGCTTCGCAGCTTGACTATGGGAGAGCGGACGGGATCCCGTATTTTCTACGAGCTTTGGTCGTATGTACCTGATAATGATGAGTCGCAGACTATATCGATTAGCTGTAGCTACATCCTCGCAGTGTTGCGAACCAATGGGGGCCATTGATTTCCAACGGCTTTGTTGAGGTCCTTGGCCTGACAGGCTCAACTCCCCAGCGCATGCTAGCAATACCCGCAAGGCGAACAATGGGCAACCAAAGTGAGATATGCATACCCAACAACGTCGATGTATTTTCACCATTTGCATAAATCTCGACTTACCAGATATTTGTTTCCAATAATGACGATGGCGCCGAATTGCTGCGGTGCCCCTCCTGATTCATCCAGAGAGGTAAGGCAGTAGGACTGATTCTCGGATATAAAATAGAGATCTCGGGATACTGCTAGAGAGTATGCATATACTTAAAGGTTTTAACAAATAGAAGTCTGCAATAATTCGATACTGCGGATTTGAGCTCGGCTTGATAACATATTTACCTAACACTTTTCACAGGAACCAGCAAATTATGCCATATAGCAGTTCCTCGTCCATTCTCTCTTAAAGAAGTCCTCAAGGCCTCTTCTCTCATAGCATGAGTCGTTCTGTCTTGACACTTAACCCTCGGTATATTCCTTGCTCTCTGCCGTCTGGAGCGAGGTCGTAGCCTTTTCCAGGCTCAGACATACCGGCTTGTTATCATCACCGCTGACTGAAGCTTGTACTGGCTCGTATTCATTGCCTCCAGGAGATTCCTGTTTGAGACTTAGAGCTCCAACACTGGAATCACGAGACTCGGCCTCTAAGATTTATTAGCCAAGGTTCTGTCCTTCTACATCTTGTAGTCATAAGGATCCTCCACTTCCTCCCATCACATAGATAGATCCAGTTTTAACCTAACGCCTCACATTTGTCCTCATTTGCATTTTCCTCACTCTTTATGCTGGCCATTGACGTCTTTTTCTTGTTCCTCCTCCTCTGTCTGACTGACAATCTCATAGATTCTGTAGCTGATGGTGTAATCGCTATGAAGTTGGCTTCGTCGAAATCCATATATTCTTTCAGGTATTTGAGGTGACACCTGAAGAATGAATTTTGTCGGATGCTCAAGAGTAATGAGATGCGAAGGTCTGGATTCTTCTGCAAATTACATCACAATTTCCAACAGGTCCACGCAGTTTCTTTGGGTCTGAGAAGGTTTGTTTGACAAAATCATATAGAATTGTCTCAATTTTGAAGTAAGGGACGTATTCGCATAAGCATACTCGACATCCTCGCAGGCCATCGAAAACTCCATGTGTTGTTTATACAGACGGCCCATAGCGTAGTTTTTAAACTCGTTGCAGAGAAGCTTATGGCCAAGACCCCAACATCTTGCATGAATGTTCGAAGATGACGGCGACGTGAAGTCATTATAAGTTCCATAATATAGCCATTCCACAAAAAGGCCAAATACTGCAGGATCATCATCCGGTAGGTTAATATGCGCTTAGGGAAAAATACCAGAGCCCGGGGACATTGCTTCCATGTACGGGGAATGGCGGGAGATCAATGCGATAGGAAGTGACCACATATTGGCTGCCCTGTCCTCGATAGTCGAGCCAACTGAGATGCTAGTGCTAGTTCCACGAAGTCTGTCAAGATTAGTTTCGTTTCATTGATCGTTTGGTGGCAGACATACAGATTCAAGGGCCTTCCTTGAGCTACTTAAGGCACGCTGCATTGATTGGTAAGAAGGTTTGTAAAAATATTCGTTTTCGTTTTGTTGTATGACTCCAACCTATACTCCCCGAGGCTGTAGTCTCTGTGATCTGGGTGTACATTAAAGCTTATGTAGTTAAGAAAAACCCTCAATGACTGACCCCTTCTCTTGGTATGGGCGTATTGGCTTCTCTACCATGTTTGGGATAGTAGTTGCGCTATGAATCAGTGTCAATAATGCTTTCTATAAAGGATATACCTTCAGTATGACAGATGTACCTCATTGTTGAAGTCCAAGATAAGGTATGCCAGAAAATGTTTCTATATTGGATTCTGTGTTCAGAGACTAACAAGGAGAATCTTCTCTTCTCTCCCGACAAGCTATCGCTTCTGCTGGAAGAGGCCTATTCACGAGTATCGGGGACATAGAGTCTGACGGCCGAATGCGACAATTGTTCAAAGAACTTTACAATACAAAAACAGGGGCGCGCACTAAAACAGGAAGGGCTGCTCGATGGCAGGTGGCCAATAAGATGATACGACGCGAAGAGGACTGGGGCTGTGCTACCCTGAAGATAGAACAGCTTAAGTCTGGGTGGGAGCTCGATGCACGTACTGGTGATACTCTTGCCTTCCTTGAATTCTAGAAGCTTATAAGTTGTCGCTGTATTCTTTCAACAATAAACGACTTCATTTCAGGTAAATTCTGGACTTCGAGATAAGAGCTAAAAATTTGTAGCAGCAAGCACGAGACCAAGTTCGCTATTACTCTCAGGCAGTTGGGGTATGAAGCGTTTTGGGTAACTATATCAGATAACTCCGTTCGAAAATAGTATGACATTCCAGACGTAAGTGAAGTGACATATCACTATCAGATTCCAGGTTGTTGAGACTGACTTGTATATACAGTGTATCTATTCTCTAAGCCAACATTCGATCCATAACTATTAACCCACTCTGTCGTCCCTCATACAAATTACGTCTAATCAATTCTTGAACGCCTGATTCATGCGCTCTGTTGACAACTCCCGATTCTTGAATGAAATCAGCCCGACTCCCCAAACGCCTTTACTGCCGCAAGTTTACTCCATGTATCCAGAAGCAACAGGCTCATCAATTCCTTCTTCGTGTCTTAAGTAGATTCTTGTCAGGAGCGTTTCGTGTTTGCAAAGCTTTATCAACTCACCGTTTGTAGTGCCTTTCTAGCAGATCCTTGCGATGGAAGCGTCTTTGACATACTGGGCATTCGAACTGGGGCTCTTGGTGCGAAGACTGATGCCGCCTGTTGTCTAGTGAGCATACTTTCTTTGTCTGAAATGTAAGTGGATAAGTTGTACCTTAAGTGCTCAGCACGAGTGTATACCTGATTTTGTCAGTAGGTAATCTACATCTTCTTACAAAACGGCGTACCTTTTGGCATTCGGAACAAACGTGAACAGGCTTTCCCTTTTTCGCCTTTGAGACTTTACCAGTAGGCGTGCTCTGAAAGTCGTCGTAACTATCCATTGAAAACTAGAGCGCTTGCAAAACGAACTAAAACATACAAAAAACGAGGAGCAAAAAAGGACCGAATGCGGCTGCGATAAATTGCCACCGGATATCCGAACATCAGCGCATATTTAAATACAGATTTCCCATGGCTTCCGTAGCAAAGCTGACTTCTCCGGCGGGCTTCGTAAGTGCTGTTTAACATGAGCCACTCGCTGAGTAGTCAGAACGAGGCTTGCTCCGTGGCGTTGACGAATCCCAACTCCTCAATCCGTCGATCACAAAAATAGACTCGGACCTTGACCAATCACAATCACCATGCGCCGCATAATCCCTGTGATGAATGCGAATTCTCAGCCTTGGGCAGGGGTGCGTGTGGGGGCTTGCTGACATCATCGTTTCGGGGCGCACGGAAGAGATTCAAATGCCGGGGATGACGTGGAACCCGAATATAAGTGATTAGATAAGATAATGGCCTGAACTGGTTTGGAATCAAGTGATACTTTACTTATTTTGAGGGACTTCGGCATGCGTGGGATGGAGATAGAGGTGTCCGAGTGTCCCGTGGTGGCTGGGTATACGGACATATGCCAAGGCTATAAGAGTCACAGCGTTTCACTGCCCCAAACCCTGTGAAACGGTTCGGACAATGCCAATTGACCGATCCTCAATTGTGCAGTTAGGCTTATTAATCCTTTGCTATCGTTCTTTTCTATTACAAGCATATATCTCAGGTAAGCAAAGTTTCATGCTCTTTCGACTTCTGGAGTTCGCTTGGTTTTGTTGTAGGCTGGCAAAGCCCATTCCTTCATCCATCCTGATTCCAATACCTGCTGCGCCTGAGGCCGATTCTCTGGCTTCCATGCAAGCATTCGTTTCAGTAAGTCCAATAGCGCAGCCGCCTCCTCTGAGTTGATGGTTTCCATACCCTCCGATTTCCTCGGCTCTTGTATCCACTGTCTGAACCGTCTGTCCCATGACCAGATATCCTGCTCGTTACTGAGCGCCTGGCCTTTGTTATCAAACCATTTTGAGCGCTTGTCCCACCATTCAGGCGGTGGAATACCCTGCAAGTGAACTTGTTGCGCAGTGATGTCGTCCTGGGAGGCGATAATGCCATCAATGAGGGAGCGATGGGCAAATAACTCAAATATCAGTCAGCTGAGGCTCCATATGTCTGATTTGAAGGTGAGCGGCTTTGTTGGTTCGAAATACGACTCAGGAGGGCGGACAACGAGGAGCGCATTGGACTCGCATTTTGTCTTATCTGCTGGCCGGAAGGCGACACCGAAGTCACTCAGTAAGAGTTTGGCATCGCATAGGGAGATATCATCACTTGGTAAACCAAGCCAAACAGGCAGAACAGCAGAAGAAGGCACGCCGGTTGGTAAAGGTTCTACAGACCCGTCTAGACGAGCGATAGGCTCCAGCTTTGGGGCACCGAACTTTGCATACAACTGGTCGATCGTCAAGTTGTTGAGCGAAGCTGGGAATCGTAACAATAGGTTGCCCAAGTGAAGATCTTGCGAGTGACTTTAGTAAGTGGTTGGATGAAGGGATCAGAAACTAACCTCCATGGGCATAACCGCGCGAGTGAACATGAGCCACAGCTTTTGTGACTTGGACAGCCAGAGACCTGACCACGTCTAGTTGAAATAAGCCTGAGTTAGATGAATCTTTTGTATCTATGAGGCTGCATCGTGCAGGTGTCGTGACAAGACATGGATGTGATCCGTTGGGCCCATTAACAGTGAAATAGTTAAGAACTCGCGGGTTCATTGTTTCATCTGTACCGGTCATTGCGAGCCTCGAGACAATATCGACTTCATCTTTATCCGCATCTGCAGTTCCAACCTTCACTGCAACGTAGGTGGATGAATTTCGGTCGAGGGCAAGCCAGGCGGTTGAGAATGTACCATGCCCAAGTTTGTGCACTATCTGGTAACGATCATGATGCAGAGTATCGTTAATCTGAACAGGATGGTAGCCTCCAGGCCGATAATCTTCAAGTATCTCGACTTCTTCGATGTACTTATATCTGACAGTTGGCGTAGACATAGCTTTGCGGGATGCGCTGGAGTAAGGTCGATGAGTTGCAGAAAACTGGGTATCAGATGAATGGAGGCGCGCCGGAAACAGGCGTCGCGTAAAAGAAAATAATGACAGGCGTATATATCGCCAAGTCCGTGATGATTCCATACGCGCACAGACTTCTCAGTGCAATCGCTTGCGGCAAATCGACAGAGTGGGGCGTATGCACCAAGGCCTTCAACGAAATCATGCCAATGAGAAAGAATGTTGGACTTATTTTTAGATCAGCAAGAGATTGACCGTTATGAACAGTTGAAAGGCTATAAAACGGTATGTTATTCTCTCAAAGCCTTCTTCTTGATTTCCTATCTCTAAGAAGTACACTGAAACACAGCTGGAATCAGTATGTCTACTGTCAACATTGTCAAATATTATTTTCATGCAAGGAACGTCCCTGTATCCGAGGAACGTACGCGGCTACCAAACAGTCAAGGAAAAGGTGCTTTACCCAAAAGCAATCCTTGTGCGGTATGTTTATTTCTTCCACGAATGGTCTAATTTCCACCTTGGTGATTCTAATAATCGACGACAGAAAGATCATCTATAAAATAGATATTTAAAGACATATCCAGGATTATTTAATCTATTATTTAATAATCACAGATAAGAATTTGCCTAAAGCTATTAGGTAGTCTACAACATTTATTCTCATGATGCTGAGTCTCAGCACAGGAGCTATTCAATTCAGTGGGTTGCATACTCTAAGACGCCACAACGCCCTGTAATTTAGCCCCGCCAAAGTCTTTCTTCCAACCAACAAAGGGCAAAACCACGTCACACAGCTGAAAATAATTTTCACATCCAATCACCACAGAAATGACTCTCAAACAGCAAAAAGAGAAGTATTAGGACTTCAAAGATGGTAATGCGTAATCAGGGAATCGAACCCTGGGCTCCCCGACGCTGCTCGAATGGCAACGGAGAATTTTACCACTAAACCAATTACGCTATTGGATGTTGTTGACGATCGAAGTGCAATTGGATCCCAGGCATTTACCGCCGGAAGCACCATCGCATGCAATTTCGATAGCCTCCCTAGGAAGTGGTTGTTGGTTGATGGAATGGTTGAAATCAATAGAGGGAGTTCGGGTCCAAGTTGAACAATTGCCTTTGCTGTGGCGTTTCATGGCGAGCTGAGTGTACATTCTCCCTGCAGCAAAACTGTCTCATGACAACCAACAAAGACATTTAATAGTATCGTAATTATTTGTTGCTTAAACAATTTCGCAGAGTGAGACATCTGGTTCAATTGCTCCGGTTGACTCTTTACTCCAAGCTTCCCCAAATTCATGCCGTTCCTCTTCACTTCTTTGAACACGACAAACTCGACGACCATGAAGCACCAGGTATTCATCGCCACTTTCCTTGCAGCGTTTAACAATGCTGCTGCAAAACAACTGGCACCAGTGAAATTGGAAACTTGGTGCATTACCTATGTGTCAGCCTACCTTGTCCCCCTGCAGGCTTCCTCAAACTTGACAGAGATTGGCGAAGCAACCAAGTACTCCAGCCTGGCACCAACTTTAGACGTGACAGCTGCCGATAATGCTTCATCCGTCACGACTCAAATAAGTACTGGTATATCTTCTCCATCAAACTGTTAGAAGAGCTAACAGCATAGAAGATACAAGCTCTTCAGCTTTTGAAACGCAGCTCGTGGACGACCAGTCAACTGAACCTCAATCTGGCACCGAGTCCACGGATGGCACTACAATCGTCCCAATAAGCAGTGTTGAAGCCAGATTGACCTCGTCATCAAACACTGCCTCAGCATCAAGCATTGTTACCGAGCCAGCTGGTCGATCAATCATCTTCCTCATATCCCTTCCCGAAAATGACAAACGCGATCTGAGCAGAAGAGCTACTGGCGGCTTCGTTGGCAATGAAAATCCGGGAGTCTGTACCTTCGCTGCTGTCTTTACCCTCTCGGATGATCAGCTCCTTGAAGATGGTATACCCATATACTACGCTGGCGAAGAGTTTAAAGAGCTCTCTGGACAAGGTCAAGCACCCAGCGATGCCGTCACAAAGACATTTTTGTCTTCGGGCGGCGGTCTTCAGTTCACCAATGCTAAGCTGCCTGGAGGTCAAGCTGGGTTCTGTCAGGATTCTAGTGGGAAAGTCTACATCACGTTTTCTTCGGGGCCACCGGGTTGCGTACCAGTTGATCTGTCGGTCTATGGAGGTATGTTATACTTGACTCCATCTGTTCGGTGCTGACAGTTTTGTAGTTGAACAATGTCAAAATGGCCGATTAGTTGGTCTTGATACCTCGAGGACAATCAGCTCCGATCTTACTGAATCGACACAGGATGTCACCTCAATAGAAGAGACACCTGTTCAATCCCAAACCCCCTCTGCATCGTCAGCCAACTCCACATCAGTTGAGGCTTCCACTTCGTCAAGCTCCTCAACGATCGGAAGTACCGACACTGCAACAGTGACCTCTGCAACGATGACTTCTTCATCGCATGGCTTGTCTACTACAACCACGGTCTCGCCACTGCTGTCGTCCCTGGATACCTCCGTGTCTTCAGCAGCAGACAGCTCTGGGGTAGAGGGGGTACAGTCGTCTTCTGTATCAGAAGAAGGATTCCCTGAGACAGCATCAACCTCGGATGCGGCATCATCTGACGTCAACTCAGACACCGTTACCTACAGTGATGGCTCTGCTACATCACAAAATATATCCGATGAGACATCCACGTCGACTGACAGTTTGGAGACAACAACCAGCTCAGACATGTCAACTGAGCCCGGGACCAGCGCTTCCACGAATGATGTTCCACAAACTTCAACAACTGGTGATATTACCTCCGAAGTTCCTTCAACCACTATGGACGCCTCTACAACCGAGCCGACTACTATTCCGTCCGTTGACGCCTGTGTTTCCGGCATAACTTCTCCAGACGGGGAACCTCCCCTCGACGTGCGTGAAAAAGAATGTTCAGACCTCAACGTCGTTACCGTCAGTCCTGCAACAGTGTAAGTATGATCAGCCCTGACCTGGTACCATGTCCTAACCACAATATTAGTACCGTGACGGAGGTTCGCAAACGTCATGTTGTCCGAGGTATTATTGTCGCCGAACATGTCATGCCAGCCACGAGAAACGTTGCCCCTCGTGATGATGATGACGTGGCTACTACTGTTTTTCCTACCCAGACGCCCGAGTATGCTACGTACTGCGATTCTGCAGATGAGTATTACGATGCTTGTTCGAGTCTTGGTGTAACGAGGTTTACGACCACCTTGTCAACGGAGACGGAGACGACTACTGATATTATCATTACTGTTCGGTGAGACGGAGGTACACTGGGTAGCCTGGTACAAAACTGTAGCTACAGGGTCTTTCATAAGGTTGATTACCACCAAATTGAAGCTCATATCACTACACTTGATCCTGTATTTAATGTTCAATGCTCCGCCTATCACATGATGAGACAAATAAAACATCCAAATGACCCCAACTACTGCAGCCTATTTCTGCGCCTTGACACGGCAGAGAACCCATCCGAGGTAGATGGGCTTCTTGCTAACAACACCATTTTCTGCAGTGAGATCCTTGGTGATAGGCACAGTGCCATACTGATCCTTGTACATCTGGCATCTAATCTGGTCCATCTTGGGAGGCTTGACACCCTTCACAGTAGAGTAGACGTTAACAAACTCCAGCTCTGTGAGCTTGTTGTTCTTCTGGTGGGTGAGAACGCCGAGAGGGACGTTGAGAGGAAGAGTACTGTCCTCTGGTTCGTTGACGGTGAGGATGGCGACGCCGACGTGAGGCTTTTCCGTAGGGATGGCGGTTACAGTCGTAGAAAAAGTGGCGAGGCCAGCGAGAAGAGTTGAGAAATGCATGATGAGTGAAGTCGTCTTTGGTAATGGACTACTTTGATGATTGAGTTGATTTGTTGTCTGACATCTCAATATGTTGGGAACAAGACGACTCTTTATACTTTGTTCATTGACATATTTTGGCTAAACGAAAATGCCAGCATCATGCATATTCTGTCAGGCCACGTAGCATTCGGCCAGTTCCCAATCCCTCCAGAGTAAGCAGCCTTTTGTCTTTGCTTCGAGGCTCTCGTTACCATGACCCTTGTCGTTCTCCGCATGGCTCAACCAAGTTTCAAGCCCAAATCCAATCAGAGTGGATTGAACGGGACCCCGCGCAGAGTGGATTCCTTCAATACTGGCAGAAACGAACAGCCTATACCAGGACACCCTCACAGCCGCTGCTACAATGGGGCAGACTTACATGAGATATTCATGTTAAGAACGAGAATAGGCAGCTGCAAAGGGATCCTGTAAGTAATGTATCGCGTGACATAAAGTAAGCCGACGTTAGTAGGTGACGCCAGAATGCGAGAATCCTCAGAGCGAGTAAGCTCAGTGGATAGAGTTATTTATCCGGGACTCCGAACCAACCTTGTTGAGCTGATCTGGATGACTGCATGAGGCTATGCCCTGGCTGAAAATCCTATATCGTAAGTCTCCAGAGAGAAGGTGCATAAAATCCACTCCGCCTGGTCTGAGCCAATGCCTTACGCCAATAAGCTTACAGTGCACGTTGCTGTCTCGTAATGGGGCAGCAATCGGACGTTTACGAAATTGCCGTCTTCTGCTTTGTATGTCCACGGCACTTTTATACAAGCCCACTCTGTTTTCTCTTTTCCAGCCCTCTGTGAACTGTCCCTTGCCTCATTGGTTCTCGCTTCAGATCACGTGTATGCTCTCGACGAATCTTGGTTGCAAGCGATGTCGATCGTCACTCCACTTTGAACGTTGGGCGCGGAGAAATTTCAAGATGATCAGTTTCTAATATCGCGCGCCTAAACTCCAGCCCAATCTCTTGTCAATGAAGGCAAAACCCGTGGATTGCGAAACTGGTCATTAAGAAAACCTGGCCTGGCACCAGGACATCGAGTTTCAACCGACCCGCGTCGTGTTCTGGCAAGGCCGATCGTGTTTCCTAGAGCTTTCAGGCTTCGGATGAACTGTTCAATTGGTTAGTCCCCGCGCAGTATCGTGGTACTTGGGCACTGATAAGCGCAGTTCTTCGCCATGGTACAGCAAGTCGCTGTAGCATTGTATGATCGGGGTGACTTCTCTCGCGGGGACAAGCGGCGAGTCTTTGGCTATGCGGCATATCACTGGGGTATCATCATCATGCCCGATGGTCACGAGGAACGAGACTACCACGCCTTCTCTGCTACCGATGTATCCGAGATCAATCCAGTTACTTTTCGTATGCACAACCCTACCATGACTTGGTGGCTCCGAGCGGAGGAAAATGTCAAGCCAGATGAAAACGTCAAACCGCTTGGGTGTATCGTTATCGGAGAAGTGCCAGAGGATGTCACGTTTGCCCAACTAGATGACTTATTTCATTCTATATCTTTACCGGTAAAGAATACGCATCCGCAGCAAAGCTGTGTGACTTGGATCATGTATGCCGTACAAGCCCTTCAGGAGCAAGGTTGGGTAATGCAGTTTGATCTTGACGAGTTCAAGGACCGGGTCGTCTCTTATGCCGACGAAAGGATGGAAGGATCAAGCTCACAGGTCATATTCTATCAATCCTAGCAGTGTTTCTATTTCTTTTTATGCTGCCAGTATACCCTCTCACTCCAGACTTCACCAGCTGGCTCTCACCCCACCCAGTAAGGGATCTTTGGAAAGATACAAGCCTCTTCTCCTACCCTTGAAGGCCGGTTTTGCTGTTGAACTTTGATCGAGGGCTGTCACGCTGCAGAGCCGTCTCCATGTCTCAATCCATACCCACTGCTTTCAAATTGAGCATTCAATCAGCACCCTTGTATGCCTCGGGGGTTTCTATAGAGGCTGATTCTGGCTTGAGATGAGTTCAATTTCTGACGATTGGGCAAGGAATAGTATGTGATCTACACTAGTGGGATATGAGACTGGCTGCTATACAGCGGAGAATATCGAAGTCATGATGCATGAATCCCAGTTCAAAGTTAGCCCAGTATTGACAAAGCATTACCTAATGTACACTTTCCTTGGCTTGTAGCAATAACAACTTTCCATTGATATGAACAAGTGTTATAAAAGGCGCCACCAGACTTTATTATCTCCACCATACAAAGAATATCCCCTAATCTCGATAATAGGTTAACGATATGGTGCCAGATATCTGCATTTGGGGTCTAGCGTCCTAGAGAAGCTGTATTTATGGTCTTCGATATTAAAGACGGCTTCGAATACGTTGTAGCCTAGCGATCTGATTGAGCTCTTTACGGAAGGCGTTCATTGAGTGATCAGGTAGACCAACCTCTCGTTCAGTGACTGCTCCAGTGCAGAACGTGATGTACCTTACGAAGCGGGGGGCAGGGAGATAAATGAGGTTGTTGTTACACTATTCGAAGTGAATATACGACATGGTGTATATAAATACACGGTATGAGACTGGCCCCTCAATTCATCAGATATACAGCTGGGGACCAGGGCAAGGAGAAGCCGAGAGCATATTCCAAGAAAGTCAGCTATCCTGCTTTGACCTCCAAGCCACAGTAGCGAGCGCAAGACGAATTTGATAATCTAATTGATTGCAAGCAACCATTTATACGGAGTACGCGAGGTCTTGGCCATTTCAGAGTTTTGCTTCAACTCGCAACTCGCTGTCGATAATTTCTTTTTCCATTGTGAAAATCTCTGGGCGTGACCGTGGCAGGAGATTGACGCTGAGGACTGGGCAGATGTTTCTCGGAAGAAGCTGGGCCTGCTATTAGTGTCCTGCATGCTACGTGTTCTGTGGAGCCCAGCTGAGCGAGCCTCCGTTCAATCAGCATGCTTGGAGAGGCTTCCGTCAGATTCGGTCCAAACAATTTCTGTTCAAGCTTCAATGATGACTGTTCATCATATGACGTACCCAATTATATGGACCTGATTTCATTGAGGGACTTTGTGGAGTATGAACTTGTCTATCTGAGCGGATATGAGCTAGGTCTTGACTTTGCTACCGTCCCCTCCTCTACACAATATCCCCCAGCCGTACTCCCCAACCCATCGGATTGCAATGGAGATAGGCTACTCCTCAGATCAAGATCCCATACCACCAACTTGAGAAGTGGGTCTGACCGGAATATCAAGAGGTCCCTTGATCGCGGTACCATCGTTGAACGTCAATGAAACTTCGTTGCGACTTCCGATGGTTCTGTTGAACTGCTGAGGCCCTCCGAGGCTATCAATAGAGTTGTACTCCAGGGTCGCAGTGTTGCTTTCGAAGGGCTGAGTAGGCGGGTTTGTGCTGCCTGAAAAGACGTACGGACTACCTTCGACGAGTAATTTTTAATCAGGAAGAAACCCACATTCCTTCATCCCAGCCTACCATTTATCGAGCTTATGAATAACACTCTAATAGTGGGCTGCTTGATTCATGTAGAATAGGCTCTGGGCTTGACTTATGATCTGCCTATTTTTTCTACTTCTTCCAGCCGTACTGTTGCGATATCTGCTAAATTAGAATGACAGCCAAGACGGACGCTTCTGAGAGTGCCAAGGCCAAGTACAGATGTACATCTACACGTAAGGTCTGAACAGGCTGCATAATATGGTTAGTCTCAGAATCACCAAGTGCAGTGCTCTTCCGGACCCTCTGCTAACAGGATCGCTGCAGCAAGTAGGTCCACGTGCCTATCGGCTTCGATTCATTTCGGGGCAACCGGGGAGATAAGGTTGCTTACTAGATGGGATCCGATACTTCAAATGCGATAAAAGTCGTCCTCGCTGTCATCGCTATCTCGTTGATGGAGTGATCTGTGATAGTTATGTACCCATCGAGCCCAAAATCCTGCAGGAAAAAAACGGTATCAAGAGAAGAGTACTATCGAGGCCTTTTAGCATAGTAATGCACTGCCTCTAGCTATTTACTACACACCTTTACTCCCTCAGGCACTTTTCAAGAAACGCTGTTCAATGCCCAGGGGCAACCAAAGCGTCGTCGTTCTAGGAGAACTATATCATGTGGCGTTTCCGCTATCTTTGGCCTCCCATATCGCCGGGAACCCAGAATCAGAGTTGGCCCCAATTAAAGAACAGCTATCACTTCGAAGTGAGATAAAGCGCTTCCCAGGATTGCCGAGCTCGTTCGAGATACCGCGATATCGGCGCCATCCAACCAGGGGTCTATACCCAGGGTTAACCAAACCTTTTTACTACCAAAACTTGCCAATTACTTAATAGAATCGGCCAGAGCATCGCATCTCATATCCTTGGATCGATCTTGTCACGGAAAAGACCACGACGGCAGCATCCTTCCTCCACATCTCCGTCGACCATTTGGCGGTTTGCTCCAGTCCGAGATAGCTATTAAATACATCAGTATGTAGCGTCACTGAAAGCGGAGAGAAAGGTCGGAGCATCACGTTCACGACGCCGTTAAGTAGCAGGAGATGCTGCATTATATTCCCGATATCTTCTCTAGCTCAAGTACTGCTCACTAGAGATATAGTTAGAAAACGATTTAGCAGAATAATAGCTCGCAGCTTAATGCGAAGGGTACTATGTTAATCTTGAGGCAAATCGAGGATATAGCAAACCCAGATTATCAGGCTACATATCGTGTCCTTATTTTAAGAAGCATAGGATATCAGACCCTCATGTCAAAGTCAGGGAACAGAAATCCACAAACGAAGAGAAAGAATCTACCCCTACAGGCATATAAGGGAGATAACTTAGCTCGCTACGATAAAGGCTTGCAGATATTCGGCAATATTTTCCTCAAAGAGGGCCACAATTTAACACGCAATATTACAATATCAATGCCCCTGTTGCCACTCTCGGGCTCTTTCTTTCCTTTTATTGCTCGTTGTAACCACGTTTGGAAGCATATCTTCTTCGTATACGTAATAGAAGTGTTTTAGTAATATTTCTTAGTGCCAAGATGCAGTTAAATATTATCTACTCGAAGATCATGCGTCCCTAGGAATTCCTTTTATTTCAAGACAGTTTCAAGTAGGTATTTCTGTCACAACTAACCCTGCTTGACCTGGCATCCTCTTTCTTTACCAACATGCCGTGATTAATCGGAACTGCTGAGATTCGCGGAAGCCATCGTCGGTCCAATCGACTTGGAAGAAGCCCGCTTCCAACAGCGTCGACTTACATTTATACTGATCTGCCAGTGCGTAGGTTCGGCCATCATTGAACCGCCACCAACCATCTAGTAAACCAAATACTCAGTCTAGCCAGCCGAGAGGCCGCGTCGGCTCCAGAAGACGTAGCATACCGCCGTTCCTCCGAAGCAGCTTTTCTATGTTAGTGCAAGCTTGCCCTAGATCCCGCGTCGCGTGGATGCAGTTTGATGATATGATGAGATCGTATGATTGCAGCATATTCGCTGGCGGCGGCTTTTCAATATCGAGAACTGTAAACATCATATTGGATTACCGCCTCCGGCCGTTATATAGCGCGCCAAACTTCTTCCTGGCGCTCGTCGCGAATGCAGAGGAAATGTCGATGGATATGTAGATGAAGCCGATATTGGATACCAATAGCTGGTCCATGGCATTCCGTGTAGCCGCGCCAGTGCTGGCCCCAATTTCAAGAACACGTAGCCTTTCAGTACTACCAAGTCACAATAGAAGTCGATGAAGGAACTCACTCATTATTCTGTTCCCAGACGCAAACATAGGGGAGCTAACGTAGACGTCTTCTGGGAGCCCAACTGAGGCCGCATCCTGGAAGAGCAACTGCAGTGGATCGACTCGACCGGAGAGGCAATCTGAAAGACGAGAACCGGTGACGTTGAGTAGCTGATGGTCTGATCGGTGCTTTGGCCACTCATTCAGGAGTTCGTGCTAAATGTCCACTGAGGGTCCGCACTGGGGTAGAGGCGCCGCAGTCCAGAAATGGATAGACTGTCCCTCAAGGACAGTGATCAGGCCAGCTTCTTCCAGAATGCCATGGAATTGAGACACAAACCTTTGGTATTTTGGTGTATGGTGCAGGGGATACAAAGGATCACCGGCCTGGAGCGTGCTCAGATCACAACCCAAGGTGCTGAAAGCTTCTAATATGTATGCAAACACTAAAGACGTCAGCTTTTTATACACATCGGCGAAGAAACCAGTAAGAGCAGTGGTCTGTGAAAAGGAGCTGGTGGCTTACTTGATTTGGGCGAACTCTAGACGAGCCTGGGTAATAAATGGTGTAGCCCGTTGCGAGGAGGCTGGTATCTCCATGACAGGAGTAACAGGGAAAGGACCATCAAAGAGGTTAGCGTCTGGCTTACTTTTAAGGGCTGTGTCTGGCAACACTTTTATATTTAAATTAAGACTGAATCGGAGCGTGTGTCATGCTTGCACCTGTAATCTCCAGAAAGAGAATATTACAGTGCGCACTGAACATATATATATCATATATAATAATCTTATTATCCTCCAGATTCAAATATGAAAAGATTATTTAAGGTCCCTCGGACTTTTATTCCATGTCTCCAGAATGAACATGCGGAATAACAGCGTTACTAAAGTTGCAGATATATATCGTCTGCAAGGCTTCCAAGACTGCTGGCATGTAGCTCTGCCACGAGCAACAAGTTATCGAAGATCGGGGGCCCGAAAGCTGTTTCTGAACAAGCTTGAGACATAATGGCAGGCATGGTAGCATCAGCTACGACTTCAAGGCCTCTCGATGTGTTGGACTGGATACCCAGGTAGCTATTGTCGTAGCTAGCCACCCGCTCCAGCAATTTCCTGAAAAACAACCCTTGAACGGTTGAGGCATTGCGATCCTCGCGTAGCTGCTCGCACCGATAGTAAAGACGGCGAAGTAGTGGCCGATGAGGGCCGCCCCAGAGAGGCACAGCCTTGTCCCTGCGTCGGGCGAAGGTAGAGTAGTCATCGCTTTGTTGGTTGATGAAGAGCTCGGTGGTCCCTACCAGAGATACTAACCTTGGTGCTTCCTGTATTGTGTGCTGGTTCTGCCTTGCAAGCTCCGATACATTGTACTTCTGTACGATAGGTAGCCAGTGCTCTGACCTTTCAAAGGTGTATCAAGGCAGCTCCAGCGGGACAAAACGGCGTCTCTCTGAAGCATGATACAGCCAAAACTGGACTCGTATTCCAGCATTCCAGCATTTCAGAGACTGATGATTGTGTTAGCGAAAGATCTCACTGGTTCTTCTCCCTGCAACAGGATAGAGTAAAAAGAATGGGACGACAAGCTTGGTGAGACTTGGCTTGTGAGCGCACGACGAGCCATGGTAATACCGGCGGAGCTAGATCTAGCCTTGAGCCAGGTGCAGGGAACCTAGCTTCTGCTTAACTCTGCAAATGGCGCAGTTAAAAGTAGAAAGGCTCGCGGCATTGCCGAGCAATCAGCTCAGGATTGATAACATCCCAGAATGGAGATAGTGGGAGGTTTCAGGGTGAGCTCTCCAATAAGTTGCTGGTACTCGGGAATAATGCAGTCCATCATTGGCTGAGTGGAATCCATGGGTGACGAGCAGTTATTTGACAGAAACGTTGCGTGAGTGAGCAACCTCCTCAAATTCGGCGATAGCTGCTTCAGTACCCACAATGACATGACGCAGACCGGCATTATACCAGGCAATTTTCACTTTACCAACCCCTAGAACTAACTATGCAAAGGCTTCAACAGTAGGGATATATGCTTCCACGCTGAGCATGCGACCTCGTTCTGAGCCCCATTTGTTCTGGATCAGCGAAGCCCGGCCATAAATCATTTTCAAGGCGTCTCGCAGGCTGAGAACACCACTAACGCAAAGGGCTGCCAGTTGGCCCAGACTATGACCAGCCACCGTCTTGATCTCCAGACCACTGCGTATCCACGATGCTGCAACCGAGTGCTGCAAAGAGAAGTGCATAGAGTGCAGGTCAAGTAAGTCATTGACGGGCTCCGTCTCGAATATACACGGGAACAAACTGTGAAGACCGATAGTCTGCAAGATCCGGTTGCATCGATCCAAATGGTACTGTAGGAGGCTCGAACTCAGGTAGGCTTCTCGGCTGTGAAAAGCCTGGCGACCTGTCTAGCCCGAGAAGACGAGCACCACTGGCTTCGGATGACATTGCGGCCTTGGTATCTTGGAATCGGCATCATTGCTATGGGCTCTGGAGTGAATTTGAACCTTCAATGCATCTACTGAACAGGCTGAGAACGCAAGTCGGTGACGGTATGACTCCTGTCGTTGAGCTAAGTGAAAGGCGATGCTCGGGAGCAACGAGGCTTTAGGGACATGACATTGAGTCTCAACGAATTCCATGAGAGTGCGGCAGTACTCGCGTAGGCTGGACTCAGAGTGACAAGTAATCAAGATTGGGTACTGATGAAGCTGGCTTGCAGACATGATTGGTTCAGGAGATACCAGTGGAGTTTGGCAAACAAGCATAGCTGCATTAGTCCCTGACGCGTCATAGTTGTTGGCCATTGCCGCGCGAAAAGGCTCTCTGCACGGCTCTAAGCATACAGGAACATCCATGCTTGCGTCTTTCAGCGAGGATATGGCGGGGTTGAGCACATAGAAGTTGGCCTGGGGCGGAATTTGACGATTCTGGAAGCATCAGCAGCACTTTGACCAGATCAGCCACTCCCGACGCCGCCCCACAGTGTCCTATGTTATCTTTGACTGAACCGAGATGCAGAGATGTCAAACCAGATTAACCATGTCCTGCAAAGACGTTTTCAATGCTCTGCCGCTCGATCAGGTCGCCTTTCTGAGTGCCAGTGCCATAGGCTTCGACGTACGACACTTGTTGCGGTTGCAGGCATGCCGTCTTCAGCACAAGTCGGTACAGATGACTCTGCGACTCAGCCGATGGCAGTGTGATTGATCCACTTCCCTTGGTATTATTGACGGCTGAGGCTGCGACCACGCCGAGGATGCAGTCGTGAACCGCCACTGCAACAGAGAGCCTCTTCAGAGAGCCTCTTCTCAGCAGAACGAAGCCTCCGCCTTCGCTCTGACGGTAGCCGTCTGCGCAAGCATCAAAGGGTCGACACTGAACAGTTGGGCTCAAGAAAGAGGTCGTCGCTAGATTTTGGTGCAACCTGGCTTCTGGGCCCATGAGGTTGCTGCCTTTAGCCAGAGCCATGGAGCATTGTCCCGACTGAATGGCCCTGCAGGCCGTGTGGATTGCTACCCCAGAAGACGAACATGCCGTGTCAATCACCATGGACGGACCATTGAGACCAAAGAAGTGACTAATTCGACCACTTGAGAAGGCCCTCGCAGTGCCAGTGAAGGAATATGCCGTTAGGGGATGGCTATTCACGTTATCTTCATAGTCACAAGAGACATGCTGATGTAGTAGCTCACGTTTTCTGTCGCTGAGGATGACGGACTGAATATCCCCCGGATGGTAGAGCTTCGTAGGCCGGATGAAGGCCAAGTCGATGCTGTGGATCCATATGCTCGGCTTCGCGGGGGGGCTTTCGGAAAAAGGCAGAGTCGAAGGAGCCAGCTGCCTCTAGACAACTGTTTACCTACTTATTCCGGATGTCTTCCCAGAACCGTTGGGGGGTCTCTGAATCCGGAAACGGGGATGATACTCCGATTATGGCAATGGAGTCATCACCATAGCCGTGATAAAATGTTGCGTCGGCCATTGGGGCTAACGACCTGCAGTGGCGTGATGGCCAGGACAGACCGGGGAATGCAATCAACAGGGCCAAGCGCTAGCACTCACCACTTGACCGCTATCATTCCGCCTTGGTACGAGCGGATGGTTATGTTGGGAAAATTGGAGCATGTTGAGGGACACGTCAAGGTCACCCAGCCTCTGAAACACAGCTTCGTGCGCTGGGTGATGGTAGCGGCCTTGCAGGTCTACCTGCTTTGCCACAGCCCCCATTTCTTCCAGGTCGCGCATCAAGGACATAGAGAACCTCTTGCAGGCTGTGATCTTAATACTGCTGGCATCTAGACGAACTCCAACATAAGACTAGGTTCAATTTAGCCATGTTTGAATGACATGAAGCAACTGTGCCTCTGCATCCTTCCGAGTGACCGTACCTGTGGATAACTACCGAGCACAGCATTCAACAGTTCCTCTCCACCATGACGTCGCCATGCGGCCAGCGCGTACAAATGCAGACAATTGGTTCTTATAGCTCGATCTCGTCAACATCTACCAATACTCCAACACACAACGCCAGCCTCACGGCAACAGCACCGTACTTGGCCACATCCGTGCTGGTTGGCGAGCACAAGAGGGCTATGGCAGAGAGGAGTCCGACACAGAGTCCTTGGATGCCCTTAAGCATGTTGGTATGCGGGTCCTAGTTCCCACAGTCGTTTCCTCACTCATGTCATAACTACTCAAGTAGATCATGTATTCCGAGATATGAGCAAGGATTGTCAACACTGCCAATAGTGCGTTCCTTGATGTCTGCCCCGCCGACGGCAAGGAGGAGTTGATGCATTCGGTCCATTCGGCCAAGTTTTGAAGCACTGGCGATGCATCAAGACGCTCCAGAAAAGGTTCTCTCTCCACTAGTAGAGACCAGAGTTTGGGAAGTTCTATGACTGCATCCCTCAAGTCTACTACGAGTGGGTTGTGAATGATACTGGAGAAAATGCGGGACATGTACGTATGTCCTGGGTCCGATATCACCGAACCGCAGATTAGCAATGAAGGTGATCTGGCGAGATGGTGTGCTGAGACTTTGTCTAGAGCCAAGAGTAGATTGCCTGTATAGTTGTTTGGAATGGAGTTTGAATGGGTTTGAGTTAGGGGCTAGGTTTAGGTACTGGGCAGAATGGCAGTATTGGATTTACGAGGAAAATGGATTAATATGAGTATTCCAAATGTTTCCAGCGCTCTAGTTGATTTGGACAGCCCGGCGTTGGCGAGCGGAAACCAGACCAGTTCCATAGCCAATTTCCCCTGAGAATAGGCATGATCCAACAACACCTGGTAGTCTTTTTTTCGCTTATTGGACAACTTAATTTATGGGGTATGATCCCTGAGCTGGCTCCCAAACGGTTTAAGGGGCGAGTAAAGGTCATGATGAATGTACCAATATGCGGTTGTCTCAACCACGTAATGTCACTTTGGCACATTTCAACCATGGGCATCATGGTACCGCCAATCACCCTGGAGTGACTCTAAACCTACACATCTTATCTTCTCCCAATATCAACTCTCAGAAATGAGTTTTGGGCAGCATGCAATCCTTCCAATCTCTCCCCATTGACTGAATCAGCCAATCTCATGAGCTGTTTCACGACCACAACAACCACATCAGCTCAAATTGGAGCCTCTTCTTACGTCCAGTCAATGTCCGTTGATCAAAAACAATTACAAAAACATTTTGGCGGCTCCTCCCGATTCACATCACATCACAACAGCAAAAAGGTTCGCAAATCACGAGGTGTGACTACTAATCCACCCTCAACGCAGAACGAAGAGGAATTCTACTCGGAGTTTGCTCCAAGTGCAAGGGTCCGCACCTGCATTGACCCCTCACCCAGGTTGGACTGGATTCGAACCAGCAATCTTCGAGTGTGTTGGGGGACACGACTCAATGTGCTTCCATTTACACCACCGCTACGGCCCTTGTCGGGAGGATGGGTTGTTATTTTGGTTTAAATACCATTGATAAAGCGTTCATTGGGAAGGTGAGAGGTCGGTTGGGTCGTGGTGATGGTCGCTCCTTTTCTTTCTGCGTCGCCAGCATGTCTTGTTCTCGTTTGGGGAGGACGGCGTGAACAGCCACTTGTGGCTCATGGCCCCACTGCGCAAATGAGAATTTGACGTCACAGCAGAAACACCAGAAAAAGAAATGATGACCGCCTGGAGAAGAAAAATAGAATGGCCGAATAATGGAGAAGGAGAAAAAGAGTGTGCGGGAATGAGAAGTTGAATTGTATAAATACCAGGTGCAGCACGTGATCGTATGCGGGGCATTATGAAGCTGGGGCTAAAGTGGGCAACCCGAATGCAAAGGGATTCGAACATACGTATCACAGATTAGTAAGTAAAGAAAAAAAAAAAGGCCGTAGCGATAGCTTTAACCATCAGGTTAAAGTAACACATTGAGCAGTGTCCCCCAACACGAAAGAGATAGTGTCTAATGTCTATTATGTAGCTAGCTTTTTGCACCGAGCGGTGTCGCCAGACAGCAGAGAAGTTGTTAAATAGACATTCTATAGCCTTTACTGTGTCTGTATTAAGCTGCTGCCTGGTAGACTAAGTTTCTCTGACTGAACTTGTTTTGGTGATGAGTCATGAGGTTGACAAGTATTGGTTGTCTTGGCATGAAGCTTTGAGGTTATTTACCGGTGGACGTACATAGACCCTGAAGACTGGAGCCTTCAACTCTCTGCTATTGCTTAACACGTTGGCCCTTCAAGGTTAAATACAGGGTTCAAGCTCACACGCACTTTGTGAGCTTCATAACTGCCGGTGAGGTGGCGGCTGCCCATCAGAATAAGGGGTTTCTCTAGGTATCTACCAATCAAGGTCAAATCGATGATGGTTCAAGTTCACGGTGCGCCATACAGATAGATGTGATCAGATAACATGTGCCTTTTCATGACTCCATTGCGACAAACTGACGAAGAACTATCGATGCGGTATGAGTAATCTTAAGAAAATGACAGATCCCTATCAGAATATGCCAGTTCTAGGTGAATCTCCAGGCCAGATCCTAGTAAGCGTATCGTGTAGCACCTGTGTTTCCTTCCCGATCGAGCTTCTTGTTAGTCTTAACAAGCCAGATCTTCATAGCCCAAACGCCCGCGATACACATAGTTGCAAATCCAGCATTGCTTGCCATTCCGATCAGATATCGCGGGCCGTCTGACTTGGGGTACAGATACGCAGTGTAGATGTACGAGGCGTTAGCGATGACGTTGACGATTGACAAGCTGACCGACTTCTTCTCAGCTGTCGAGCCAAGCGTTGCGGAAACCCAGCCAAGAATCATCGAGTTGACTGCATATGCACCGCTGGCAAACAGGAAACAAGCGATGTATCGGGCAGGTGTATTCAGCGTCACACAGGAGATGATGTATCCGACGAGTGCCATGCTCATACAGGCAGTAATGTGCCAAGTACGCTCGTTGAACCGGCCCGAAGACCATCCTGCAAGGTACCCAAAGAAACCAGAGACGAGGTAGGGCGGGCAAGTCAGAACCAGAGTGATGGTGCTATTGAAGCCAAGAGAGCCTACAACGGTAGGGAAGAAGTTGTTGAAGGAACAAGCAGAGAGATGCATGTTCTGGATGAAGCAGAAGAGCCACAGACGAGGATCACGGATAGCTTGGAAAAATCCAGCTCGAGCTCCCTTGCTCTCCTCCAGACCAACAGTATCGCGCAGCATTCGATCATGTGCAAGTTGTCGCTCCTCTTCGGTCAACCACCGAGTCGTTAAGGGACTGTCAGCCAGAGTGAAGATTCCGATGATGCCGACTGCAAATGTCAAGACACCTTCGATGATGAAAAGCCATTGCCATCCTTTGAGTCCGTGATGCCCATCGATCGTGCCAAATGTTGCCGCGGCGATCAAACCGGAAAAGGACGTCGCGAAGATGTTGCCTGAGTATAAGATCGACAGTCGCGTAGCAATCTCTTTTCGTGTGTAGAAGATTGCCAGAAGGTAAAGGGCTCCGGGATAAAAGGGGGCTTCGGCGACACCGAGGAAGAATCGAACGACGACGAGACCTTTGTAGTCTTTGACGAGGGCGGTGCAGGCAGATACGATGGCCCAGCCCATCATGCAGATTGACATGTACAGCGAGGGACGGACGCGTTTCGAGGAGATGAGCATGTTGGATGGGATCTGCATGAGCAAGTAGCTTGTCAAAGATTAGCATCGTCACAATGACAGGAGAAGGCATTCATTCATCATACCCGACGAAAAGGATCGAGATACACGTGTTGTACTGTGTTCCCTTGAGGCCAAGGTGATCTTCGAGACCGTTCAAGCGCGCCTGGGCAATAGCATTTCGATCAAGCTATGAAGGGTCAGCGTTGTCTCCCCCACAGCCAGGACCAAACTCACGTAGTTGAGGAAGTACATCGCCCAGAGAGTAGGCATGATGCGAAAGTCCAGCTTGCGAACAAGGCGAATCTCAGCCGGATCCGTCTTCTTCACCGCACCAGAGTAATCCGCCTCTGGGTCAACAAGGACACCAGGCTTCTCAGCTGCATCAGCAACAGACATTTCGACAAAGTTGTCTTCAGGCTTTTGCTCGATGCTTCCACGCTTGGAATTGGCAGTCATGATGAATTCTCAAATGGTTGTAGAGGTGAGTTGATTCTGAGGAAGCCAAGATTGGAGCGAGTGGTCTGGCATGTTATATATCTTGAGTCTCGTGGCTAGCGGGAGAACTTCTCCATGGGTGATTTTCCTGGGGCCCCGGATTCCCCCAGATCAACCTTTGCTAGATCCAGTCCAGACCTCGACGCCTCATACTCTCGTGGTCTAGTGGCGGAGGAAGAAAAGGCCGTTTGAGTGCGGGGGAGCAACATGGCTGTTGAAGGTGCATGTTGATGATGGGGTTGAGACGCTTGTATTTACTTGATTCAGTTAAAAGGCTTTGGAGAACCTCCGTTGGGGTCTTCGGAGTGAAGTGTGAGTCTCCATATTAGATGCTGTCGCCAAGCTCATGATATGATATTGGCTTGCAATTGAGTGCCACCAAGCTTCATCATGCCTCCTCCAATTTCCCTTCATTTACAGTATAAAGCGCTATCATCTGAGCCTATGCGCCATTGTCTCGGCTTGCACGCGACCAGTAGCCTATATCCTTTGAGCGCTCTTCTTCAAGGCTACCTGCTGATATTCCTATTTGTACTCGAATATTGTCATGATGCGGCTGATGATGCTGGGATGCTGGTCACGATTATCAATCCATATTTGTTGCAGCGTTGGAGGGTCTGGAATTGACCAATAATTGCTGTGGAGTGACCTGATCTCACGGAAGAAGAAATGTCCACGGAGACTTCATTGTCCGCCCCACGAAATGACACTCTCATGATATGGTTGCCCGCAGAACTGACTGACGACTCTCGCTGGAGAAATGGAGGTACGACTTGAAGCTATTACAATTTCAATCAGCCGGTTTGTTTTACTCGAGTGCTGAACATTGGTTGCGGTTTGTCATGCGGTCAATTAGTATAACTCATTTATGTGTCGTTGAAACTCGACGTAAAGGCATTGGTCTGAGTCACAGAAAACACTACCTATCTGTTGATTCAAGTTTGGTATGTACGGCTCTGGCCTTTCTCTACACACTTCTTATTGTCCCTCTTCAATTCATCGCATCTCTTCATAACTATCCTTAGTTTTGGTGTTTCTATAGAAGCTCAAATGTCTGAGTGATTACCCTACGGTCATTGAAAACGGTCCGTGCGACGACTTGCGCCTGACCTACTTTGGAGTACTTTGTGCCCCACCTTCGCTGCCCAGTAAACCCAAGTCACTTTGTTAGAAGGCTAACACCAAGGACTCTCACTGAGTTTGGAGTAACCTGTAGCATTAAACAGCAGAGATCGTTCGCTACCTATTAAATCCAAAAGTGATTCACCCAATTGCATCATTCTAGTAGTACTGAGTTATCATTCTCCAATTATCTGATGAAACTTATCTTTGAGTTGGACATGCAATATTCTGTGCCAAACTTCAAGCTTCATATCCAAGGCAGGAGTTTCTCCACGTTAAGACAAATACTTTCCTACGCAAATCACCCATCTTACAGGATAGACTTCATCAGCATGAGTTGGGTCCCCGATATACCAATTGAATTACCTGATGGCCGTTTGGTCTGTGGTACTCATGGCTTGCGGATGCTGCTATGTTGACTACAGTTTCACGGATGACGTCGTTGATGAAGACTCAATCGAAGGGCGTGTGAGACGTCCAGAAGAATATGAAGGACGATCCCGATCACGCTGGCTCTTTGGATATCGAGGGACTAGATTCTATTCGCCACATGGAAGTGTCTCGAGGCAGCGGATTAGTCCTGCCAACAGTCTTTGTACCGCCCCCTTCGGCAACTCCCCAAAGCCTGTCCCCTGCGGGCATTGGACGCAATGGTCACCCACCTGTAACACGATTTATTCGAGTGGACGATCCAAAGTCTTTTCTTATCTGCACCGACGGTGCATGCCTCGGCAACGGACAAGTTGAGCCTAAAGCAGGATGGACTTCTGTCTTCGGGCCTCTAGAACAAAACACCAATGCGAGTGTAAACGAACGTCTGGAACACCAGAGTCCATTGGGCGACTTCGCCCACCCAACCAGCAACCGAGCAGAGCTTCGAGCTACCATCGGCGCTCTTCGTTACAGGAACTGGGCAAGCGAAGGGTTCACCACTCTTGTCCTGGCGACTGATTCAGAATATGTCGTCAAAGGTGCAACAGAGTGGATTAGAGCATGGCTGCGGAAGGGCTGGAGGAAAAGCGATGGAGCGGTTGTAAGTAATTAGGATATGTGACAGGTCTTTCTTGGGGAGGTAGAGCGTTGGGATGAGTATGGTGTCAAGATTTAGCTTTGGAAGATTCCACGGGAGTGGAATACTGAAGCGGATCGATTGGCGAAAGAGGGTGCACAGCTTGATGAGGAACTTACCTTTAAAGAAAGGATGGGTATTTCACCATAGTTAGAAAGGTATGAGCGAGCGAGTGAGCGGTGAAATGCCGAACATGTTAATATTATCTACCGAAGCAAATGCGGTCCTGATTACAAGGAAATGTTCCTCATCGGCTTCTAGCTAGTCTGTCTGGAAGGATTGTGGACCCTACGTTTCAAGTGTAAGCCGAATATGCAATAAGCTTCAGCTATCAATATTAAGTCACGGTATCTAATTAAGCTTACATAACGATGTTTCTCTGCTGAAAAGCAAGTCTACTCAGCTTGACTCGCGCTATTGAATTTGAGGTCCGTGATTATACATTAGCGTCACGTCTACTCGCCATGTAAGCTATGTGAATGGTGGCAAGCCACAGGGGGAAGATAATGCGGAATTGCTTGCACCAAATCACTGGCCTGTCAAATTCGATTCCGCAACTGTACTTCCCACCCCAGTCAAGCATCCCTATAAGTGTTAACACAGATTCATTTGGTGGAAATGAGATTTCTCTTTGGGTAATATAATCAGACCATAAATGCAGGTTGGCGATTCTTTGCTGTACATTCAGGTTCCTCTTCTCTTGACCTTCACCTTCACTCATTTCTTGTCTTCTTCGGTCTCTCATTTAGTTGCTTAAATTCACTGGTCTTCACCATGGTCGCCACTCGTTTCTTGATACTCTCCATGGCCACTGCCGTTGCTGTAGCTGGGCCTTGCAAACCCCAAAGTTCTTCAGTCGTTTTCTCTGAAACAACTCTTTCCACCTCGTTCCTTGAGACTACTTCCACCGCAGTACCCAGCGAGACCTCGACGTCCGAGCCAACAAGCACTACTATCATTGAATCATCGGTAAACTCTGACGCCGAAACTATAACAACCACTGCCGTGACAACCTTCAGCTTGACAGAGACCACCACTGAGGCAGCCTCAACGACCTCAGAGGCTGCGGCACCTCCGCAGGATATTACTTGCCTTGCATCAGACGGCCAGTGCTTTGGTGCCCTCAAGATAGAATGCGGTTACATCATCACAGGAGGCTTCGGTGCGCCTTTCCTGTCGACTCTGAACGAATGTGTTGGTGCGTGTAATGGCGACTCGGGTTGCGCTGGCTTTTCTCATAATGGTGTCAATTGCTACTTGGTCTCAACCTATGACTATGCTACTGCGCCGGCGATTGGCTGGGTGGCTGGTAAGAAGGGAGCTTGTGCTCAGTAGATGGAACGGTCTGCTCGATGTGTCTTGCCGTCATGGGATCGCATTTACCAAGGTGCCGTCAACGGAATTGAATAATGGGTCCTTATTAGTACCTTTCATGTATATAATCTTGCAAACCCCTCTGTGAACCTAATCACTACACTATTATGGCCAATTCTTAAACCATGTCTCTTCAGTTGACCTTGATCATAAGGTTGGGTCAGTTCGCTCCGAATCATATAACAACATTCGCAGCAAGAGTAGGGATGACCTTGGCTTAAATTGTGGTCCCATTAAAGACGACTATATGAGATACGTATAGATTCTGGTAAGGATCATATCTGAAGGAATCAGAAGAACTGCCAGCAGAGGAAGTCAATGCCTCCTTTTAGAGATCAAGCAATATCATCTTAACAGTTATAGCTATAGCCTTGCATTCATCTCCTGGTAGCTCTTTACTTTTGAGTGAGCCCGTGAGCTGTGATTGTGAAGCAGAACAAGCTTATCTGAGAGATCCTTGCCGTCATTCATGAAACGCAACAGCAGGATACGGGCAATCTTTTGCTCAGACTTCGACTCTGGAGATATTTTGCTACACATACTGACCAGAAGCCTGCTTTCGAGGTTGAGTCGTGATAAATTGCTGTCCACTTTGAGTTAGCATATCTTTGTTGGTGTTTACTACTTGTTGGCAAGGCTTTGGTAGTGAGATATTTAGGCCATATACAGCTTTTGTCCATTGTTTCATGATTCAATTAATAGTGTATGGTACGTTCTATTTTTACCTCCAAGTATGTACAAGTATCACGCACCTCGATATTGCCCCATTGCGACCCGACTGTCTCTGGAAGAATGTGCCCTGTAGAAGAGCCAATTACGTGACTTGTAGAACCCGAAGTTTCAATTTCTGGGGGCTTGGGGTGAATGAGGCGTCTTTGAACATTCTTGATTGGCTCTGGTTTGTGAGGCAACTGGTTCGCTGATTGCCTCACCTCGCACCCCAAAACCAACCCCGCTGCACCCCAAAATGCACCTCACAACTCAAAACCCTCAATCTCACTCCCGAAAGTTCAGTGAACTTAAAACAGTCGTTGTCGCCTTAGCGAGCTGACCTTAGAGTAGACTGTTTCTTATCCAACATTCTTTTTCTTTTGCAATACTTGCGATAGAGCTTACCGCCTTCCCCCTCCCATGGCCAACCCCCAGCTTGGGCATGATCAAGATGCGGGAGAGGAGCCGGAATGTCTGCGCCGAACTCAGTCGCGGAGAGAGCAGCCATTTTTACGAAATTACCTCAGGTCTGAGATGAAAGGAGCAAAGACTAGCGACTTGAGGGTTGCTACGCCCGTGACTGACTCTAATAATCATCGAAAAGTACAGCCCAGGCGTCACAGAGCATACGTGGGAGACGACATGAGTGAACATAGGCTGCCAAGACAATCAGCAGACTCAAAGTATGAGATACCTCCAAGGCGTTGCTCAGCAAGATTTCGTGGGTCAGTATCACCAAGCAAATGTGTCAACAACGATAGCCCATCAATCGCCCCAAGGCGCCTTGCAAAAGAAACGACACGAATCGATCCCCTTCCAAATCCAGCCCCTGGGAGTGAGTCAGAGATGATGCGGCAACCAGAGACTCGGCCTATCAGCCACGATCAGCTCGTCGCTGAGGTCAAAAGCATTTACGCCGGCCTCGTTATGGTCGAATCAAAATGCATTGAAGTCGACAATGCTCAGTCTGCCAAGTCAGATTGCACCAATGAAAACTGGCAGGCGCTCATTGCGCTCCATCGCCAGTTATTGCATGAGCATGATGATCCCTTCAACATCTCTTCTGTCGAGAAACCGCAGGAGTACGACCTCGGAGCGCTTCTGTCCGAAGTTTCTCTACGTTCACGGAGTTTCTGCCGCCTGAACAGTCGATTACTACCACTTTTGCAAGCTACAAAAGGTACCCCAGCATGCGTACGGTTTGTCGAGTTCATGGCATTGATTGGCGCCCTCTCCAACTTCCTCAGAAAATACAGTTCGTTACTAGACTTCACGGACACACTTCTTACGGGCTTGTTTGATTTGATCACGTCAATCATTAGAAGGTTGAACTTGAGATTCAGATCCACATTTGAGGAGCTGAAATGCAGGAACGCATCAACTCAGATAATATTTGAGTTCCCCAATAATATGCGGCATGTCTGTACGACAATGCCGTGGACTATATTGCCTGCGTTGCTGGTACTATGGGGCGTCTGTTGGATGTTCATCATCGGTCCTGGTGATCTGCAGCCTGAGAAGTTTAACGCGCCTGTCCCGACCTTTTCGCCAGCTCCAGCTGGCTATGACTTTCTTGACAACTCTGGCCCAGCCTACTACGAATGTAACATGCCTTGATTTCTTCATAGAGAGACTTCTAACAATTAGCAGATGGCCTGCAGAGCGTTCTTATGCCTGAACCTAGTAATACAGGCTATGATCAACCTTCTACTATCGACAGTCTCCTGTTTGATAACGTTGGGGCCAGTATTGATCCCATTTACCTGGTTCAAGCTGCTCCTCAAGATCCAGACTTTTTGTCCTTTGACGTGTTACCAAGGAACAGTGCAGGGAACACGGAAACGCCCGCCAAGGAAGACTTCACTGGAGCGCTACCAGTTGCTGTCGCCCCAGATCCAATACTACAGGCCTACGGGGATGCGAACCGCCAAGAGCCATTTAATCCAACGGTTAATGTTGCATTGGTTGGTCAGGGAGTTCAAAATGCTAGGTACGTAGCGGAAGACGTACGTGGCGTCACAACAAGTGCTAAACTCAAATGCAAGCGGTAGCCAGAAGAGTAAATCTTACTTTGCATGTCCGAAATGCCAGCAGACATTTGCAACATCCTTCACTCTCAACCGACACCAGATAGAAGCGCACAAGGATGCAACATCCAGCCCTGAAAAGTCGTTCCCATGCCCTAACAGAGGCTGCAGGAGGTCCGAGGGGGGATCTCCATTCAAACGTCTTTACAACCTGAACAGACATCTTCAAGTTTGTAAACACAATCCGAATGTTTCAACCTCCTCGGCCGAGTCGGACGGAACGGAAGAGCAGTCATCGTCTCATCCAACTTCAACGCCGGCCTTACCTCATGAGCTACAGCCTGCGGAACCACTATCAGAGTGTGCATCCGGAGAGAGCAGCGTTAGGAAAAGGTCGAGGTCCGAAAACGATGATGACTGGAGTGAGGAATCCTTACTGAGAGAGATGAAAAAGAAGCTTAAGCGAATGGCTCAAGAGGTTAAAGAGAAGGAAGATGCATATCTGCAGGCTCGGGAGGGGCTGGAATCCATTCGAAAGTCCATCCAAGTCCTGGAGGATTCGCTCCGAAAGTCCTAGTCGCCGTTTTGCTCATCGCTCCGAGAAAGTCAGGCTCGGAAAATGATAGGATGGAAGATCAGATCAGATGGATTGGTTTTGTAAAGGGTATCTACATATGCAGCGCTCACTATACTAGACTAGGTAACAACTTACGCATATCTGCACGCTGAATATTCCCTCATTTGTTATTCGACAAGTCATACGATGGATCGACATGCCGGTCTTGCATCTTGAACGTGAGATTGCCGCTGTCTATATCTTAGCTGACTCTGGCTGACAGAAAACGTAAGACTGGCCTCCAGCAGGAACCAGCGATTTATCACCAAACCGAGTCTCAAATATTGTGTCCACCGTTAGGCTGGAAAACCTCGTGGATCCCGCTTATCCACATGGCAGGCCAGGATTGCAGAAATATGATATATCATCGCGGTCCAGTGGCCAAAATGAGCTTGCCTCGGCGTTACGACTGAGTACGTCAACGCTACTGCAACTGACAACTTGGCAGCCAAATACCGACTTTTCTGATCATGCAAGTTCGGCATGAAGCAAGGTGAACCCAACAAAGTTCAAGCATGCAGTTACCGGTGAGAGTTATAACGTTAGAACCAACAACAAACACTAGTATTTAGGTTAGACACATGCTTTCCGGAGCAGCACCGAGTTAATATAAAACTCAACGGCACGTGCGGGAGCGGACCGGAGGCTATCCGGAGCTAAACAACAAATTGCAGAAGGACCACTAGCAGTTCTAAAGTATTCGTAATACTAATGTCGCAGCCCGCACCAAACCGCAAAAGGATAGTCTACAAGGTTACTGCCTGGATTTTCAGGGCACACTAGACAAGACTATGTTACTCTCCAGCGGCGAATGCGTAATGGGGTTTGTGTTCCATCGTTGATGAGTGATTTTATTTAGTTAGACGAGGGCGTACGATTGAGCCTATGCTTGCTTGCTACAACGCGTTGCTGATACCCACTTGCTCCCAGCAAGAGGGTCCTGGAGTGCCTTTTGCGGGCGGGAGCCAGATGGATTGCAGGCATATTTTGCGGGCTGCCTTTGACAGGTGCTCTAGTGGTGTAACATTAGATATGCCTGAGCTGTCCGTGTCCGCGTCGCTTGGCATACTAATCTAATGAGATTGGGTTAATTAATCGTACTGAATACGTTTAAATATTAAAATGGATTACATCAATTCGCAAAGATCGCAGAAATGTCCCCTCGTTATCATTTCCTCATATCACTCACTATCATTAGCCCGGCACTAAACAGCAGCCACCAGAGAATGATCATGCTATTTTCAGAGCCGTTTGCGCTAGAGCAAATTTGCCCCAGTCATAAACCCTGTCCCTGATTAGCAAGGTAACGGTCTCTCCAAAGACTTGGACAGAAGGAATTGAATGGCAAGCAAAAAGACGTGTCGGGCTCTGATTTGGCTCAGATCTACTTGCAATCGTCTGTTGATCAGTAAAGCATCGCATAAGACACTAATTGCCACTTTATCGTCATGTCATACTGATCCGAGTCAGTATCAGATGTTAAACCAATGCTAGAGAAGCTACATCATTCTGGCTAGGTCAAGGGTCCTTCACTAAGCCTCACCCGCCAGCCCGCAGCTAGAAACAATCCGTGCCGCTGAAGAGAGCCGTTGCTCTAGGGATTCCGGGCTAGTCTCAGGGTTAGCCACCTGATGCAATCAGTGAAGGTTAATGGTGGTGGTTTGCGTAGCTCTCACCAACTCTATGCATGGTTGAGCCGTTTTCATTCGGTATCTCGACCTCTTTTGTTCTAGTGGCCGTTGTTACCTTTCTCCAGTGTTTTGCGCTGATCGGGAAGGCCTGAGAATACGACCCTGTTTCTGGAAATCTTGGTAACATTGAGCTTGGCGGTACCGAGGTTCTGGCTCTCGTGACAGGCGGTGTTGTAACCTTCAGAGTGTCATCAGAAGGTGTAGCCGCGGTAGCGCATGGAATCAATATTGAGTTTAGTTAACACGCTTCATACAGGTTTCGACGACGATTCAGAAAAGCTTCTTTGGTCGGGAACTAGAATGAGTGCGATTGAGCTGCATGGCCCTATCTCAAGCCATAACGTTTCATGTGTCCACTTGATAGTGGTGATCAACCAACTGACTTGAATCCAGTCCGCGTTATCACCGAGGCTCCATTCTGAATCCCACTTGTTGGTTCTAGAAACGAATTGGTATATTTATTGAAACATAAGAAACGTGAACTAAGTCCGTAAGTGCTAGAAATCAAGCGGTATCAAAGCTGCTAAAACATGGATATCCCTTCTACTCCGTAACACTTTGTTCATGGTATCGACCTCGTGTTCGAATCCTGGTGGCTTATCGAGTCTGCGCTGGTGACACTTCCTGTGACAGAGGTGCTGTTGAGTGACTCCATCTTTGCCATCTTCTTCCTCTTCTCAAACTCATCCAACAACGCGTGGATCGTGCCCAATGGAAACTCGTGTATCATGGGCCTTGTAGATGCGGGGCAGACGTTTGACTCGTGATCCTTGAACTCCTCCATCGCAAGATTCAGTCGTAGCAATTGTTTCCACGAAACAATCGCATCACCAATTAAAAAGGTCGGTACCCTGGCCATGGCCATCTCTTCGAGGATCCAGCGCCGGTGGAAGAAGTTCCTGTTGAGAAAGTCCGCAGTTCCAATGGCAGCGTCGCTTTGAGGGTCGAATAAGTGGATAATGGGAATTGCCCACTCGTGATGGGGCGAGTAGTTCTCAGGATGTTCCTCTTTGTCGCCGGGTTCTTGCCACGTCTCGGGCATAGCATTGTCAAATGCTTGGATGAGCTGGATGCCCAGATCTGTCTGCGGTATCTTGAGTCCCACCCAGCCCACTACCATCTGCGCGCGCTGGTACACGTGGTACATGATGACTCTGCTCTTGGAATTCTCCCTCGAGTCCATTGAGTTGATGCAGATGCAGTCGATCCATACCCGCAGCTTCGGCCTGTTGTCCACCTCTCTCCCGCCGAAATGCCTGAGAAGGCTCCTCAGCCAATTTGGTGACCTTTTCTCCCTGCCCAGACTCTCACTCGATTTGCTCACGGCGGGGTAGAAGACGGCTCGGACATGTTTGAGGGCGAGGGCGATGTGGACGGGGACGGGAATGGGATTTCGGTCGAGAATGATTCTGTCTTGGTCTGCGGGGTCGCCGAGTAATGAGGAGATGGCGATGAATTCGACGTCTCGGCTTAAAGGGAGAGTAACGAGGCGACAGACGACTTGGTCATTGACTGTGTTTGCAGGTTCAATCTCCAAGAAACGGACCTCGTCTTTGGAAGTGCTTAGTCTGGAGTACTGGATCCTTGGTCGTCGTAATTCGGATGCCATTTTCGTATGGTGATGCAATGCGATGCGATGCAGTGCAGTGCAGTGCCGTACCGTATCCGTAGCTACGCCGTAATGCAATGGCAGTCAATTAATGCGAACCGCTGTGACGGGCTGTTGGTTTGTCCGTCTGTTGGTTGTTGGTTCGTTCGCGTATGCACGTCGATGTGTCAGGAAGGTGAATGGCAGTCCACTCTCGGCACTGCTTGTCAGCAATATGTAAGGATAAACCCAAGAAGATGGTTCAGAGCAGGCAATTCTTTTTTTTCCCCTTCCCTCCTCCCCCTGGCCAAGCTCCCACTTTTATTACATCCCCGCCCCCCCCTCTCCACTAACCTGGTCTAGACAGCCCCTAGGAACCATCCCCGGCAAGCAGACGGAACCGTCCACGGAGACCATCTCTAGCGTCGTGCCGTACACCTTAGTCCTCCTTCTGCAATCAAACCGGACAAACAGACCAGATACAAGAACCAGGCCTACTAGGTGCTCTAGTGAGTATCAACCAAGAGCCAACATGCAGGTCAGTGGTGGAGTTGCAAAGTCCCTTAAACCCCGTATCTTCCGCTCCCACGCGCTTTCAAAAAGTAGCCAGTCCCCTACCAGGCCTACCTATCTTAAATCCTCGTTCACGTAGGCGAACAGCTGGTTTGCTACTTTACCCCAAAGTCCAAGTTATTGCCTTGCGGCCTAAACGAAAATCCTCCTACACAAAATGGTACCCAGCCTAATCACACCGCCTCCCAGCCGCTCTGGAGAAGCCACACCAGCAAAAGATGCCTGTCTGAACCCGGTCAACGGTGCCGAACCCGAGGGTCACTGGATTAAACTTCCAGAAGCGCTGTTTTCGTCAATTATGGCAGTGGAACCAGAAGTCAATCCCTTGTACAAGACATCGAAAGCTTTATCAGACGAATGGCTGAAAACGTAAGTCCACTTGGGAGAAGGGTTCAGCTCCATCCATCTCGGTAATGTTTGAGACATTGCTCGCTAACAGCCAGCCCTATTATACAGCGCATTGCGCATGAACGATAAGACAGCGACCATCTGGAGTCGGCTTGATATTGCCTACATGAGCGCAATATGCGCCCCGCATGCTGACCTCGAAACACTTAAACTGATGAATGACTGGAATGGATGGGTCTTTGCATTCGATGACCGTAAGTCAAACAAACAAGCAAACAAAACCGAGACTCCAATATTCTAGAACGGCCCGCGCCGCTTTTACATATTCCACAGCTGAAAAAAGTGGCTTCCGCTAACAGAACAATAGCCTTTGACGAGGGAACATTTGCCAATGACCCCATCAAAGCAGCTGAAGAAGTCATCTATACACTCGCGACCCTCGATAATATCCATCCCGTAGTATCGCCCGACGAGAACCCATTGCGACATACCCTCCAATCCTGCTGGATGCGTTTCAGAGAGCGATCGAGCCCAAGTCTACAGTACAGATGGAAGAAGCACCTTACCATGTACTGTGTCGGCGTACTGCAACAGGTTGGCGTCCAGCATAGGGCGACAAGGCCTACAATCGAAGAGTACATGGACATGCGCGCTGGTTGCGTAGGGGCTTATCCCTGCATTGGGCTCATGGAGTAAGTACCGTGCCCTACCATCTTATTGATTGCGATCCGCGGTTTCAGTCGCTGCACTGTAAATGTCACTGTGAAAGACCAAAGACCACAAGCGTGGTTGGAAAACTCTTCTAAGTTTTTTTGGCGGTTTCATCTTCGCCTAAGACTATCCTTGTTCAGGCCAAGCTGCAAGCCATCATTCCACGGTAGTTCGACTCGATTGGCGCCCAATTGGCCACTGAGCGAGAAAGTTCCAGGCCTCGGACTCAGCCAATCATAGCGAGAGAGCATCACTAACTGAGCCATTCAGGTTCGCTGAAGGCATCGATATCCCCCAATACGTCATGGACCATCCCTCGATGCAGGCGATATCACGAATCACCTGCGATTTAGTCACATTGTAAGACCTTCCAGAAGCCTTCCATTCTCCCCGCTAACAACGGCAGACAAAACGACTTGTGCTCGTACCGAAAAGATTTGATCCAGGGTGAAGAGAGTAACATCATCTTCATCCTGAAGGATCAGGGTATGACTGATCAGCAAGCCGTTGACCAGATTGGGGAGATGTTATATGACTGCTACCGAAGATGGCACATGGCCTTGGCGAATCTGCCGTTCTGGGGTGAGGGCATTGACAGGGATGTTATAAAGTTTGTCAATGGATGCCGAAATATCGCACTCGGCAACCTTCACTGGAGGTACATGCAGCCGCCTCTTTCAATTGGGTTTGATATACTGACGAGATCTGCAGTCTATACACATTCAGATATCTTGGCAATGACGGCCCAGAAGTCAAGAGGACACGCATGATGAAGCTCCCTTAGGCGAAGAATTATTGGGGACAAGAAGCGAGAAGCGAATTGCGTGGAATGATGTCGTGAGCTGACCCTTCAGGCGAGAACAAGGGGGTTTTCGCTTCTAGAAGGAAAGGGTCAAACCCACTTTAGATACCCGTATACGAGAAATTGACTTCTGTTTCAGTTGGTTGAACTTTCATCCCAGTGATTGTGGCTTTCGTACATGCAGTTTGAAAACCGGTTTGTTGGTGTTGGTTGTTGGTTGTTGGTTGTTGGTTGTTGGTAAGATGGGTTCGAAGTGGAATGCTTACTATCTCCGAATTCCTTGATCTTGGAAATATCATGATATATCGATATGTCTCGGGCGTTGGTTCTCAATGCTCAGATAGACAATTCCAATAAGAGAAACAATGTTGAAACAATTTTTATTGCCGTGCCAGACGAATAGGCTTAGACTTCGCCTCCAAAATCGAGGTTGTTCTAGAGGTAAAAGGCAGCCAACTCCGACGACCTGCATGAAGGGGCACCAATTTGTATCAAACAACAAAGCCACCTCTTGGCGTAATTATTTCTGTTCATATTCGTAGACATACAGTAAGCAAGAGTATCAGGATCTCAGCGTAATTGGTTTATCAACTGAGTGATCCAGGAGCTGTGATCTATACAAGGTTTTCCAACCAAGAGTCATGTATCCTCCACAGACTTATCCCCGTTCCACTAATGACAGTTTAACCGCGGCAGCAAGCTTCATAGAGCCAATTCATTGCAATACAAGACCATAAAATAAAATAAAAGCATGGTATTAAATGCATACCAAGACACTGCAAAAAAGACATCCAAACGACGCAGGCCTGATTCGAACAGACGCCTCCGAGGAGAATAGATTTCTAGTCTATCGCATTAGACCACTCTGCCACTGCGCCTTACGTAATGGATGTCAGGGAGTCCGGAATATTGGGTTCATAGCTCTGCAAACACAGCAAACTGAGGGGGGACTGATGCTATTCTCATTCGTTTCGTTCAATGGTCAACAAGTCCTGCCACTGCAATGTGATTAACCTGTATCAGTTGGACTGGTGTAGACATGGCTGTAGGCTAACTAATCCAAGTGTAGAAAGCATGCTTTCCAAAAGGCGGGTGTATAATACCCCATTTAATAATAATACCAACCAAATGGTAGCGCGTGAAAAACTTAATGAATTAATTGATTAGAGCAGGATGATTTCATATCCTATTTATCAGCCATCTTTTTGGCATGAAGAGGTGACTCTTGCTGCTATGACTGCTTTCTGTTTTGACATTAGGATACCCTATATCACTAGCAGGGACAGGTTAAAAACTAGGATATTATGCATAGAGTATTAATATAACACAGCATACTTGGACAATAACAGCCTCTCACATATTTAAAAATTAACATCTAGCGAGAATTAGTAATTAGATAATTATTCTCTGCAGTATAAACAAACTTTGTCTGCTACTATCATCCTCGTTGGTTCTGTGCGGGCTTCCTGTTCTAGCTTTGCCAAGTTATAAGAGCCTAGCTCATGAATGGAATCATCAAACCACAGCCAGTTCGAAGCAATCAGGAGCCAAAGATGACAAACAAACATCGCGGCTATAGACGCTCATCTCATCCCAACATTCAGGCTGCCGCGGTTATTACCCAAAACAGTCTAGCCACTCAATCATTAAACTTTCGGCTCATCGAAATCATAGCCGAGAACCATGTGATATCGTCAGATTCAACGGCTGCCGGAGAAAAACGCTCAATTCACTTCACTTCATAAAGCAAGTGAAAAGGCCCGATACTTATGAACAGCATATTTACCGTGCCGCACTCACGATTTCATCAGTATCATCTGGTGCGTGGAAAAGGACCGATGTGACCTGATGAGCTAAGCCCAGGGGAGCATCTCGAGTGCGGGGATGACGGGATGATCAGCGAACCTACCCCAGAAACGTCATGAGGCTAAATCGGGTTTTCTGGGGTTGAGGTTGCTATTGGTTACAGAGGTTGGAGATTCTCGGCGTAATTAATTCGATAGTGCAGTTGGAAATATGCGAGACGTGACCGTTTCGTGATGGGGAACGATTCCGCGTCTTTTTGAGTTGGATATATAAGTCGGATCATCCTTCCAGTGATCTGCATCAACAGTCCCCTCTGTCTTTCGTTCCCCACTGCCATTCTTTCTTCCGGCATTCACGGAGAATGTTTACTCAGATCTTGTATGGCCTCACGGCCTTGTCCGCCCTCCAAGGCCAGGTCACTGCATCGCCCGGCGGTTCTAGCCTCGATCGCTTCATCTCCAAAGAGGCCGACATCTCCATCAAGGGCGTCCTTGCCAATATTGGCGCCGATGGCAAGCGAGCTCAGGGCGCTGCGCCTGGTGCCGTTGTAGCAAGTCCATCGCGAACAGACCCAGACTGTAAGTCAATATCCAAGATAGTATCGAAAGTCGTTGACTGAGAGGCTTTCCAGACTGGTACACATGGACCCGAGATTCCGCGTTGACGTACAAAGTCCTTGTTGAGCGCTTCATTCACGGAGACAAGTCTCTTCAACGCAAGGTCGACGAATACGTCTCTGCCCAAGCCAAACTCCAGGGCGTCACCAACCCATCCGGTGGTCCCGAGTCTGGCGGTCTTGGCGAGCCCAAGTTCCACGTCAACCTCACAGCATTCACAGGATCTTGGGGTCGCCCTCAACGCGATGGCCCTCCTCTGAGAGCTACTGCATTGACTCTGTACGCCAACTGGCTTGTTTCTCATGGCGACCGCTCCAAGGCCATCAACAAGGTCTGGCCCGTCATTGAGAAGGATCTTGCATACACCGTCAAGTTCTGGAACAGAACCGGTTATGATCTTTGGGAGGAGGTCAACGGATCTTCGTTCTTCACCCTCTCTGCTTCTCATCGTGCTCTCGTCGAGGGAGCCGCTCTTGCTAAAAGGCTTGGCAAGTCTTGCTCCGACTGCGCAGCCAACGCCCCTCGTATTCTGTGCTTTATGCAAAGCTTCTGGACCGGCAGCTACATCGACTCGAACATCAACGTTAACGATGGCCGCAAGGGTCTTGATGCCAACTCTATTCTCTCGTCAATTCACACTTTTGATCCTTCCTCCAAATGCACTGAATCAACCTTCCAGCCATGTTCATCAAGGGCTCTTGCGAACCATAAGGCAGTAGTGGACTCTTTCCGATCTATCTATGGTGTTAACAAGAATAGAGGTAAAGGAAAGGCCGCCGCCGTTGGTCGATATAGTGAGGATGTGTATTACGATGGCAACCCTTGGTATCTTGCTACTCTTGCTGCTGCCGAGCAACTGTATGCTGCTGTCTACCAGTGGAACAAGATTGGTTCTATCACTGTTGATAGCGCGTCGCTTTCTTTCTTCAGTGATCTCGTACCCAAGGTTTCCAAGGGTACCTATCGCAAGAACAGCAAGACATACAAAGCTATCGTCAAGGCTGTCACTTCATATGCTGATGGCTTCGTCGCTGTTGTGCAAACCTATACCCCCAAGGATGGCTCACTCGCCGAGCAGTTCGATAAGTCGACTGGAACTCCCAAGTCAGCTGTTCATCTCACCTGGTCCTACGCTTCCTTTGTCGGTGCCGCCGAGCGTCGTACGGGTGTCGTTCCTCCAAGTTGGGGCGAGAGCGGCGCCAACAAGGTTCCCGCTGTTTGCGAAGCTGCTCCTGCCTGTGACACCACCATCACCTTCAATGTGAAGAACGTTGATGTGACGTCTGATCAGAAGGTTTACATTGTTGGCGGAATCACTCAACTTTCCAACTGGGCTCCTGCTGACGGCATTGCACTTGAGGCATCCACGAGCACCAAGGGCTTGTGGACGGTGAAGGTCAAGATTCCCTCTGATACCAGCTTTGAGTATAAGTACATCAAGAAGACGAGTGATGGGACTGTTACCTGGGAGAGTGACCCGAATAACAGTGCTGCGACGGGCAGCAAGTGCGGAAGCAGCAGTACTATCAACGATGAGTGGAGGTAGGAGTTGGCATGGTAGGGGTTGTAATTAGCTTCTGTTTAAGTTTCGATAGATACAAACGGCTCGATGATAAAATAAAAGCCAAAACAATACTCCGGGCCGATCTTCTCATATCGATGTATGCCACAATCCTTTTCTTATTACTGGTATCCTTTCTCTCATGGCACTACCAGAAAGTGCCGCATCTAATGTCTCACTCCGCTGAGGAAGACTACACAGCTTCAGGATGTTTGGTAATGAATTAGTCAAATCATCGGACGATTCAATGACTACTACGGCTACTCGGCACTTTGACTTCGTGAATTACCCTCTTGTCGAGATTATTGCAGACGATACCAGTAAAAAGTGGGTTAAACCTGCGTGCTCCATCGCCAGACCCAGTTGCCGCATACCAACTATTGGCGAATTGCTGCGTGCCATCTACAGACGTACCTGAAGGATTCGAAGCGAAAGCTTAAAGAATAAATAACACCAGGCTCACATGAATTCATTCGAACAAAGCTTTTTTTGTTAAGCATAAATCAAGTACATATGACCCATAGAAGGACCCAGTGTTAAAAACTTTAACGTAACGTCTAGCCTCGAGTTTTGCAGTTGGTACAGTAGTCCATAATGATAGTCCATGAGTTGGAAAGGCGTATATGTCCGCAGATAATAATACCGTCATTCTCCTTGGAACTCTCACGACTGTAGCGAGAAACATAGTCGCTGTATATCTTGTCATCCTCATACTTATTGATCGCTCTGTCGCAAGCCTCACGAAGTCCCTTCTTAGACAGACCATCGCCGGTGCCGCATTGTCCACCACCATCATTATCTACAGCAGTTTGACTCGGCAATGGAGTGGACACTGTTGAAGTTTCACCTACGCCGACCGACTGAGTGATCTTCGTAACACCTGGGATATTGATGTAGTCGAGTACGTAAGCTGACCAGACCAAGATCGTCCTGTCTATAGTGGTGGTGATGGGTTCTTGGATGGGCCCATCGGTTATCCGACAAAGTTACTGATGTTGGATGAAGTGAGATATCTGTAGTACTTGGTTCAGTTGCCCTACCGTACCGTCGTCGAAAGAGGTATCAGGATCAGACGTGGTGCCAGTGGATAGCTCAGTGGCAGCTGGGTCTTCTCCAGTTGGCTGGTGTGTAGTTCCGCGGAAAGATTGGCTGACTGATGGAGTGACGGGAAGTAACCCGGTCCAGTCGACTTCGATAGAAGTGACAGAAGTGCCACCGCCTTCGGACGACGAGACAGAGATGCTCCCAGTTGGATGACTGGAGGCTCAGAGGCACCATTACCAACGTTTCCATCTGTACCGGTTCCAGTACTGACGCCAGTACTCTCTCGAGAGTGAAGAGAGTGAAGCGTAGTGGCATCAATTAGTTGACGCGTTGAAGTTGGGAGGAGGACGCGAGTGGAAGTACCAACAGCGCTACCATTACCGGGTAGAATAGTGCTGGGGGAATGTGCGGCAGCTGGTGGTACCTCAACGGCTTGAGGATACCTCTTGAGCATATGAGTGTCACCAAGAAGATTGGCCTGAGAGAGTCCTGCCAAAAGACTGAAAAAGATTGCGCCTACGTTCCAGAACGATGTCATGTTGAGAAAATGAGTCGCAATGAGACAATAGGAAATCTTTGAGTGAGTGGTATTTGGTCAGTGAACAAGGACAATGAGACTGTATTATGGTAAGACCCCACCTTTGCTAGGTGCCAGCCAGTATGTCTGAAACAAAACAAATGGAACATTGCATAAAAAAGTCACCAACAACCAATAACCAACACTTAATACAATGACAGCCACAAATCTGTTGATGAGTTTTTCCAACTCTTCTCTGTCATCATCTCACAGACACACCGAGTCGCTTCAGAAATGGATTACGGTCCGCGACCGCAAAACAGACAAAAGATGGAAAAGTGGTGGAATGAGCTTTGCGAGGCTCAAGTCAAACACCTTCCACTTCTGCCTAATCCTCGACCCCGCGCTTTGACGCCGAGTCTGACTCCAGCCGATGAACTTATCTCCAATCTAGTGCCAAGACCACTGTACCAAGAGTCCTGTTTCCGGTTCAAAGTTCCGCCCAATATCCGAAGAGATATTCTTCGACTTGCCTTTGGAGATACACGTCTTCACATGTATTTGAATCGTGACTATCCTGATGTCCCTCCAGAACCAGATTCCAAGTTTCACTGCAGAGTTGTTACGGAGCCCGAGAACTGGGGCTACCAGCGCTTCCCAGTGACTGATGGAAGTCAGGCAGAAGTATGGCAATGGCGGGGCTCCAGATGTCACCGTTACCCTCCCAGTATAGCAAAGGCCCAAGGCCCAATGACTCATGGTGGTTCTAAAGGACCATGGATTGACTTCTGTCGTAATGGAGGCGACCCAGATATCTGTGAAGCTTGGAGGGAAGATGAAGGCCCTTCTGCTTGTAATATCGGGGTAATCGGTTGGCTCTTATCATGCAGACAGAAGTAAGCGAAACTCCCTTATTTGCTCTCGAATACACCCCTTGTTTTGGTACTAACAGATAATCGCAGCTACATGGAGACGATTGACATTTTGTATTCTACCAACATGCTGATACTCGGTGAAGCATGTATGGTCGAACATCTTCCCTCCCTCATCCCCCCTCAGCGACTCGAGATGATAACTTCTTTGGAAATCACCTGGACGCTGAAATCGTATTTCACCGCCGATCAAGACTACGATAATATGGATGAGAGACATCTGAAGTCCATATTTGATCTTCTGTCACCGTCAAAGTTCCCTGCACTCCGTCGACTTCACATCTGGTTCGCCAAAGATCGGGCAGCCTGGCTCAGTGTTCATGGCATCGAGGCTTGCGAGAAGGTTATCTTAGAGCACTTGGATTCATTTGTACAATTTAGGCGCGATCTACAGGAATGTGCGTTTGCGCTTCCTCGTTGCTTCTTCAAAAGGAAATACGCGGCTGCCAGAGGAGTGACCACGGATGAAACCGAGGAATTGAGACACTCCCTGCAAGATTACTCGTACCGACAAGTGTGGCGAGATCTCCATGGAGATATGACTGTCGTGCAGTTGCCGTACGTTGACAGCTATCCCAAAGTTCCTTATCACATAACCGCGAGGGATGATCAGGCTGCTGGATATTGGATTCTTGAAGCACCTTACGACGATCTGCCGGTTTATCGCACTACCAGTCCTCCTCCTGCATGTATATGTCTGAGATCCAGTTCACCACACAACCCTGTATCACCACGCAGCGCTCGATCAGGAAACAGTCCTAGGACACCATGCTACTGTCCTATGTCATCCGGGTACAGTCCTACATCACCACCATCCCGCCTCCCATCACCAAGCGGCTCAGATCAGCGTAGGGTCACTGAGATAGATCATACCTAGAGGTTAACAAAAGGCCAATTTGCACTTCGATGGGCTTACCTGCTTGGGGTCTAGAATTAGCTAATGTACCTAGACTGGACAGATAGTTCTTCTTACAGCTAATCAAAACCAGGGAGTGGGATCGAGGCTTTTGTGGCTGATCGTGGCCACAAATGCTTGTGTCAGATAATCATTGTTTGCGTAGACCTATCTATTCACGATTTTGATCCCTGCCTCTTCTCTCTGGGTGTCGACAATTATTGATCTTCTAGAAGCTAAAACTAATGACGATTTGGTGGAATGACGATAGTTCCTTTGTCGTGAATGAACAGACTTTCAAGCATTCCCTCATGTTCCAGAGTAGCCATCATAGACATGGATCCACAACAAGGGTTCAACATCCATGCACTTGTCAAAGAATTTCTCTTTCGGATTCGTGTCGTTACACAATTTGCACATAGCTTGGCCTGGCTCCTCAGGGTCGTGGTAACATTTGCACCTTCCTTTCCAATACTTTTGCTCAACAATACAGTCCTCGCACTAGCAAGTCGTCAGAGTGCCCAATGTCGACATTGGCTTGGGGCATGACATGCATTTCCCTACCAGCAGCCTTTTCTCTAGAGATTGTGCATTACACATCACACCGTTTTAGATCGTCTTTCGTTTCCCTCACTTTGCATTGTGAGCAGACGCCTTCCAGAACAACAACTTCTTTGTCCTCCCTACTGAGAAGCTCCGAGTACTGGTTGTTAGTGTTGTAATGAGGTTCGCAGTCATGGCAGAAAAGTGCTGGGCCGTAGGTTGATGCGATACACGTCATGAACCGCCCTGAAGGCTCAGTTTTGGCTGGAACCTTGGACTTTTTTGAAGGGTCGGGTATGACTGAATAATCGACAGGCTTGAAGAAAATATCGCGAGGAGCCGCGGCTTGCTTCTCCCAGCAGGCTTGGCATCTCAAACTGAACCAGGGTTCTACCCTCTTTGCACAGCCAATGCAATGTCTACGACCTTCGCAATAGAGCTGGGTCTGCGCCTCCGTTTTCATGTTGTTGGTATGGACTGATACAGTCGGATGCTGTAGAATGCTAAAGCTGGGCTGCAATTGATGGGTGATGTCGGGATCTATTGTGGTTTGTAGCAATCGCTGCAGTAAGGAGGGAATTATATAGCTCAGAAATAACATTCTTCTACCCACTGTTGACTTCGAGGTATCAATCAGAGTCGAATGGAAAGATCCATGGCGTGTCATTGACTCAATGAGGAACTTTGTCGTGATGCTTGTCATGGATTGATCTACGTTCACTGCAGGGCCAGCCTGGAACGCGAGCCCAGATACCCATCAGCTTCAGTGCCTCTGGACTGTGACTCGGGTAACGTAAGCCCTGATTGATTCTGGTATTCTCCGTGTATCAGCTCTCTTTGGATAACAGGTGTGATCAAAGGCCATCAGGGAAGGTCCGCTTCTCAGCACTGTCAAGTCATTCACTAACACTCTGCGAACCCGGCCATGGGACTCGGTCTGGATGGTGGTAGCTGCAGCGCTCATGATCGGGGGAGCTCTAAATAATGTATGCAGCTTTGTTGAACTTCTACTTAGAATACGATTGCCCCTCCATCTACGACAATATCCGTCCCGTTCATGTAAGTTCCCGCTGAGCTTGCCAACAACAACACCGCACCCGTCAACTCGCAAGGAGCGCCCATACGGCCACTCGGGTTCCGCTCTGCCCATATCTTACGATGCCCAGATATCCCGTCGCCGTCATTCAAGATGGTGTCCATATATCCAGGACTGATTGTGTTTGTGCGAATGCCATAGCGAGCCCACTCGGCGGCCAGACAGTTCTTGAGCGTCAGTAAGGCTGCTTTGCTGACATTATAAGCCGCTTGGGGCTGGGGATAGTTGACTCGGTGTGCTGAGATGGAAGACGTGAAGGTGATTGATCCTCCAGTACCTTGTTTGACCATCTGACGGGCGACAGCTTGTGCACAGATGAACGATCCAGTCGTGTTGATGTCAATGATCTTGCGCCATTGAGATACAGGCGTTTCCAACGTCTCGACACATCCAACAACACCCACGAAGCAGACGAGACCGTCAACTGAACCGAGACTTGCTACTGTCTCGTCAACAGCTTCTTGTACTGCCCTTTCGTCTGTAACGTCGACCTTCATCGTCGTGATTCTGGTGTGAGGGAAACGAGCTTGAAGAGACGCGACTTCCTGCTTGGCTTGTACTGGATTGACATCGAGGATTGCAAGACCCTCAAGTCCGTGTTCCAACAGAGCGTTGCATGAAGCAAGCCCAAGGGTACCTGTACCTCCAGTGACGATGAAGTTGCCGCGCACTGCAAATCGCTCCTTAGCTCCAGTGGCGGGATCAATGGCGATTTTGTTGCTTGGTGGTGCAGTCAAAGACGATGCTGAGCCGTCGCTGAGGACCATGGAGGGGACTGCTCTCGCAGTAAGCGCGTCCCTATCAGGAAGCTCTGTAGCACCGGGAGCCATTTTGACTGCGTCTATAAATCGGAGAATGGGGGAAAGATGATGAAATGAGTGTGGCTGGTCTGGACTTTTTAGTTACCACGAATTCACCTTTATAACCTGAAGCAAGTGCCCCACGTCCGATACTGCATCGGAATACTGTCACCCGAGAGGTTACAAAGGCTGTACATACAACGGTGGAGACGAGGTCCAATAGCATCTACAAGTTCGGCTCTTGTTCTATTGAATATTCTGCAATGTTCCAACTTTTCTACCGGTTCATTTCTGCGACTCTTTCTGGCCCATGACCGCAATGGATGTTATTTACGCACAACTTGAGCGACGCGCGCTGAGCCTTCTGGAGCAATCACACCAACAATCCTCAGATGCCAGGGCCATTATTATTCTGGCTGGCCCTCCAGGATCCGGAAAGTCAACTATCGCTTCTCAAGTCGTACAGAGAATCAATGCCCGCCATCGAACTCCGATCGCAAAAATTCTTCCAATGGATGGATATCATTACTCGCGCTCGCATCTCGACAGTCTTCCAAACCATGTCGAAGCCCATGCACGAAGGGGAGCGCATTGGACATTTGACGGCCAAGCGGTTCTTGACATGATCAAGCAACTACACGCGTCGCGAGAGAGACCATTCACTACGTTATACGTGCCGAGCTTCGATCATGAGATAAAAGACCCCGTTCCTGGTGCCATTGACATAAGTCCAAATGTCAAGATTGTTTTGGTGGAGGGCAATTGGCTCTTGTACAATGAGCACCCTTGGAACCAGATTGTCAATTATGCAGACGATACTTGGTTCGTTGATGTTGACCCTCAGTTGGCATTTCGGAGAGTTGCGAAAAGGCATGTTGCATCTGGCATTGAGAAGACACTAGAGGCGGCGATGGACAGAGCAAGGAACAATGACATGAAGAATGGAGAGGATATACGGCGTTGTCTGATTCAGCCGATCATCGAGGTCGAAAGTGTTGAAGACGCGTGAGCTACTCTAGTTGCGTCGAGTCAGTAAAACTGCAGTTTGGCTTCAATAAGCTCATGAGGCTAATTGGTCTACTTCGAGCTTCTGACCACCCCCATATTTGTCGGTCTCCAGGCCTCCGAAGGTGGTTACTCCGCACTTAGTGGCCGTTGCATGTGTCGGCCAACAGTGCTCCGATGAATGAATGACGCTAGTTCGAACCTTGCCCTCACGATAACTCCCCCTTCTCTTCGTAACAACGCGTGCATATGCGAGACTAAAGATGGGTCGTCCTCCGATGCACGGCTCTTCGAGCCAGCTCCGAGCTTGTCTCAATTGTCAGAAGCGCAAGAGCCGATGTCAACCTAGTGTCAATGGCCCCGGGCCATGTTCCTACTGCGCCCGCGCGGGCAAGGACTGTAGTTTCGTGAACCCACCTGACAGGACACGGCTTACGCGGAAGAATCTCGATGCAATAGAACAGCGCTGTAATAGGCTCGAGGCTCTCATCCGGTCACTACACCCGGGTATGGATATTGATGTCGCTCTTGGTAACCTAGAGGCTGGCCAAGAAGTTATCAGACGGACAGAGCAAGAGTCGGACGATGATTCGCCTGAGCACGAGGAACCAGCGCACGAGTACGAATGGAGTGAACCATCATTGCCACCAGATTTCGACTGTCAGAACGATGAAGCCGGAGCTATGGATGGTATGGCTACGCTGAACAGCCTTGATGCTGGATATTTAGGTATGTCGTCCTATCATCCATTTAATCACCTAACAAAATGGTTCAGAATCTGACTCTCACCAGGCAGTAGTTCGGGTGCCAACTTACTACAAGAAATCGCATCGATGCTCCCAGAGCTCGCGGCGTCAAATTCCCCTGCCACAAGTCACGGGAAATCTCCCAGCCAGACGCATAAGTCGAAAGCGTCACTTGATCCGCCAAATCTTGCAAATGAGTCATTGACAAGCTATCTAATCGATGCGTACTTCTTATTCTATAACGTCTCGTATCCGATCCTTCACGAACGATCATTCCGTCAGAAACTTGCCGCTCGGGGCATGCGGCGTGCTAAGTCATCATGGAACATCATCTACTACCTGGTCTTGGCCATCGGCCATTGGATATCGACTTCGGATAAACACCACGCAGTATCTCGGTTCTATACCGCGGCGAGGAATGCTCTGTCAATCCACATGTTGGAGTCAGGGTCACTCGAGACTGTCCAAGCACTTCTACTGATGGGCAACTACCTGCAGAAGATGGATAAGCCAAACACAGGCTACCAGTTCATTGGCATCGCATACAAAATGGCACTTGGGCTTGGGATGCATCGGGAAACGCCGAACATGGAAGACAACGTTGGGCTTGAAAGGCGGAGGCAGTTGTTCTGGGTTCTTTACTGCTTCGATAGCGGGTTTAACATTACAACTGGGAGACCACCCTATGCGCAAGAAGGCATCATTGATACCGCGATACCAAGAAATGTCGACGATAAGGTAATCAAACTTCGATGGCTTTGCTTAAAAAAGAAACGTTAAGCATGATATGCTAACAACAACAGGATCTTGAACCCACCATGCCAGTGCCTCCTGAAGTCAACACGCCAACGACACTATCCGCCATCATCGCACAAGCAGAACTCGCCAAGCACGCAAATTCCCTATATCTCGAATATCTCACAGCGAAAACAGCAAACACGAAAGTCGAGTACCAAGTCGCCGAGACCATAGAGCAAACCCTCACCGATTGGCGGCAGCGGCTCCCACAGTACTTTACTTCTGTAGACGTCCCAGTATGGTTCACTGGTCCACGGGCTGTTGTTTTGTGGAAGGAGCAGAACCTGCGAATTATCCTCTGGCGTGGAAGCAAGCGGAGCCATCCATATCTCCCCAACAAGACTAATGCCGAGACACGCTGTCTTGATGCTGCTATGCAAAGCATAAACGACATAACCACTTTCTGCAGTGCAAATGAGGGTATCCTGCATCTGGGCATTGTCTGGTATGCCACATACTTTCTGTTCCAAGCCGCCCTTGTTCTTGAAGCGAGCTACCTTGACCGCGAGGCCCATGACAAGCTCGATAACGAGACGACGGACTGGCGAATGATGGTCTACAAAGCGCAAAGTTGTTTGGTGACTTTCTCAAGCAGGAGCAGATCAGCCAAGAGGTGCTTGGAGGTGCTGGAACTCATAAACAGAAGGGCAGAAACAGCAGCGAACACTCGGCGAACTGTTCTCACTGTGCCCGAGCTTGTTGAAGAAGCCCCAATTGCGCTCCAAACCCCAGTACTTGATACTGAGACATCACAAATACCGGTGGATCTACAGACTCTTGGTGATGGGGATCTGTCGATGGGCGCCTGGACACTGAACGATGATGGATCAGATCCTACGATGAGGATGATTCTGGATAATACTCCATGGGGCTACCTCGATAATACACCTATGGACACCCTGTTCGGCGATTGGTTTCCCCAAGATACATTTGAAGGATAACAAGTTGGGAAGTTTGTATCTCGGCATTCCTGAACACTAAGGAAGTACATAACCACCGTCAATAATTATGTCTGATCCAGTGGTATAAGTGGAAGCGTCACTGGCCAAATACAGATACAAGCCCTTGATTTCCTTCACATGGCCCTGCCTGCCGAGCACCGACATACGATAAGCTTCGTTGAGTGCCAGTGGACCAGCTCCCATCTTGGTATCGAAGAAACCGGGCGAAACAATGTTGACGCGGGCGAATTCTCTCCACTCGCGAGCTAAAGACTTGCCAAAATGCGTCACGAATGCTTTAGTGCCATTGTAGATAGGCTGGTCAACAGGGACGTTGACGATGTGTGCGCTCATACTAGAGGTGATGATGAGAACACCGTTGCCTTGGCGCTTGAAGACTTCGCCGACGTGTTTGGAGCAGTAGACAACGCCATTGACTGAGAAGGGTCAAATGGGCACTCGGTGGGGGACACGGGATGGACTTGACGTACCGTTCACGGACATTTGTTTGTCGAATTCGGGGAGAGTCTGTTCCAGGATTGGCTTGCTGATAGCCATTCCCGCATTAGCAACGAAGACGTCTATCCTGCCAAAGTCCTCTACGACTTGCTTTACTGATTTTTGCACGGAGTCAGCGTCGGATACTGCCGTCATGTTAGCTTCGTTCCATTACACTTCAGCACGTCGCGAGAGACATACCGTCGACTTTGTAAGCAGCAGTTTTGATATTGTGTTTTGTCCCGAGATCTTGGGCTTTCTGGATAGCTACATCATTCCTAAAAAGAAATGTCAGTCATTGTGCAGAAATCTTATTAGGCGTGGTACGACTTACGAGTTGTACCATAACACGACATGAGCGTTGGCCTCGGCCATTCCCTCCGCAACAGCATAGCCAATACCGTCAGCGCCACCAGTCACGACAACCACCTTGCCAGTCATCTTGAATTGCTCCAAGACATTGGTAGGGGTGTTGGGAAAGGGTCTAGGGAAGCCATCCCGTAGGACGGTACAGTCAGATTCGTTCATAGACATTTTAGTGGCGATCTTGTAGTTTGGTGTAGAACAAGTATTGGCTACATTCTCAGTAATGGAGAGAATATTTATAGGCTTATTGGTGATTTGTTGATCTCCATCACTGTCGGGGTTCTGTCGCCCGATACAAGCACAATAGCGCAACTGACTCGCTCCCGTGGCTGGCTTGAGCGGGGTCACGGCTCACTGTGACCGACACCATTGAGAGGTCAGTAAATGCCGTGATTGGGTGTTTGAGTTCCGTGGGACTTGCCGTTCGGTGACCACAGATTGGCTTCTTGAATCTAGAACTGCCCATGTCGGAGTTTGCTCTCCCTTCGTGGCCATCTGTGTCATCAGGGAGTTGGAATCCGGGGCAAGAGGCAAATGGCATGTTGAGGACCGATACCTTGCGATATGGTTGATTTGAATCTGGGAAACGTCTATAGTTGCTGGACCAAGATAATAATTGTAATGGCGGTATCTGATAATGCTTCAGAGAACAAGGCAAAGGAAGAATAGTAGAAAGTGAACACAGTAGGCCTGAACGGAGACTACCTGGACCTGCCCATCTACATCATCATCGGAGTATCCCTTTTGGATTAAAGGCTTTGCAGTCGGCCATCCTCTCCGCCGCCGCTAGCGATTCCGTTTCGATAGAACTTGAGCCTTGGTCCTAGCTCTCCCCGCACTTGAACACCAACCTTGAAACCAACCTTGAACCTCTTGATATTGATCCCACTAGTTTGGGACCTAATCTCGAAGAGGGCATTCCCCGCGGGGAAGATCTGGGGTCTGGAACTCCCCCGGAGTTCAGTCGACCGTAAGACTATAAATGGACAGTCCTCTGCTTGAGATGTTACCGTATCTATTTAATCGACTGGCTTCCCTTTTACTGGGATATCTAATCTATCAGACCAACTTCAATCTCTAGTGCCTAATTGCCCAGACCACCATTGCAGCAACATGACTTCCAAAGATTCGGAGAAACCGACTGTCGTCCACGACCCAGAGCCGATTGACTTCTTTACCAAAGAGTCGCTGGGCATGAATAACCAAGTATACGAGACCAAGTTTGCAGGTATGATCCCATCAACCTCAATATCCTTATGGCCACTGACCAGAAGTCTATCAGCCCTTGGACGATGGGCCGTTGTCAAGACCTTTTGGAAGGCTCTCCTTTTCTGCATGATCTTGAACTGGGCAGCCTTGAACGATGGCGTAAGCGTAGTTCTCTGCTACTTCTCTCTCTCTCTGCTAACAATCCTCTGCAGTTCCAGCAACAGATTCCCGGTAACGTCATCCCGATGCAAGCCTTCATCAACACCATGGCCGATACCACGATCAACGGCAAGCCAGCCGTCAGCGCTCGAGTCGTCTCCTACTGGCAGGGTTTCGCTGAGATGTCCAAGACCCTTGGCATGTTCACAGGTGGTTATTTTGCCGATAGGTTGGGTAGAAAGTAAGTCTTTCTACTTGCTTGGCTCTGTCAATATGCTGACTAGTCTCTTCAGGAAGGCTCTCTGCGGTGCGATCGTTATACTTCTCGGAGGCTCTATTGCCGAGATCACAGCATCTGGCTGGAAGAGTTGGCTTGGAGCTGCCGTTCTCGTTCGGCTCGGTGTTGGACTTGCACAGTCAATCCTCATCACATATGTCTCGGAGCTCACGCCTTTCCAGATTCGAGGTCTGATGATTGGTGCTTATCAGCTCTGCCTTGGTATCGGACAGCTCATCAGCGCGATTGCTACGCAGCTCATTACTATCCATCAGCCGACCAAGTGGCGACCTCTTATTGCCACTGAGTTTATTTTCACTGGAGTATGTATCTACCGTTATCATTGTAGCGTCGGAAACTGACTGTCCTCTCTAAGCTTCTTATCTTGATGGTATGGCTCGTTCCCGAGTCTCATATCTACTACGCTCGAAAGGGAGAGGACGACAAGGCCAAGAAGTCTATGCTAACACTCTACGGTAACATTGACGGCTACGATGTGGTAAGTGCTTTCTCATAGACATATACAGCTACTAGTATTGACATTGTCTCCTCCTAGGAACACGAGTATCGTGTCATCCAGCATGGTATCGATGCTGAGAGGCAGCTTCATCTCGAGTCCAAGTCCTCGTCCTTCTTTGAGATCTTCGACAAGCATAACTGGCGCAGGACATTGGCCGGATGCATGGGTATTTGCAGTCAATGGGCTGCTGGAGCACCAATTGTGTTTTCCTACTCAACAGTGAGCATTTTCTGCAATCGTGTATGTTGTCCAGAGCTGACATGTTGCCAGTACTTCTTCGCTGTTGCCGGTCTGAAGGATCCCTTTCTCGTCACCATCATTACGTGAGTACAGGGGTACCAAGTCTGCCACTTCCCCTCAACTAACTTCACTAGATTCGTGCTACTCATTATCGCCATTGTGTCATCCCTCGTCGCGTGCGAGTTCATCGGTCGCAGACCTCTCCTCGTTGGGCGAGTACAAATCAGAAAGCAGATGAAGCCTTCGCTGACCGACTATCTAGTGGATGTTTCGCCATGATGCTTTTCAATGTCGGCCTCGGAACTACTGGATTCTTCAAGAACACGGCCTCCGATAAGGCGGCCTTGGGCTGTCTTCTCCTCTGGGTTATCGCTTACGGCTGCTCAGCCGGACCGATCGGTTTTGTTGCAGCTGGCGAAACCTCTACCCCACGTCTACGAGCCCAGACGACCTCATTCAATTTGGGCTGCTATGGTCTTGGATTGTAAGTTACCTTTTCCGATACATGTACTGTTGGCTAACCTATCATCTCCAGTGTTGTCTTCCAATGGACCGTCTCGTACATGATCAGTCCGGATGCTGGTAACCTTGGTGTCAAGGCTGTGTTTGTCTGGGCTGGATTATTGGTACCCACGACTGTTCTTCTTTGGTTCTTCTATCCCGAGGTCAGTGCTACCCAAATGGCTACCAAGCGATTTATATTAACATTCTTAGACCTATGGTCGAAGTTACTGGGAGCTCGACGAGCTTTATTCCCGAAATATCCCTGCTTGGCGATTCAAGAATACTCCAACTTTGGTTGACGAGAGTGGTGGCAAGAATCGAGCTCTTATGTCTGGTCGAAATGACCATTCGAAGAACCAGAATACCATGACTTGATCGATACAAGGATACTCATCAAGGTAAAATGAATGGTCTTTATTAAACCTGGCTCGGCATCTAAGCTACTGAACTGTGCTATCGGTGCCGTTTCTTGTACCAATGCACGAGGTCGATGATTCCTCATCTCTTCTGTTACCTTCCATGTATATATAAGTATTTCAGCCAGAACCCTTCCCATTTCATGCAACCAGACAAAATTCACGTGATAAGCAAGAGTGAAGATGATAACTGAGATTTGACTGTATTCAAGATCCTGCCCCGTTCAAACCTCAACGCTGCCTACTGACGAATGAGAAAGCCAGCCCATCGCCGTATATGAAGGACCTTAGACCCAGTGAGTAGTAGCGCCATAGTTGCCGCCATCAGCAGGGCGAAGAAAGTCACTTCGAGTGATCTTGCCATCAGCCTGTCGACGTCCCTTGACAAGGCTAGTAGAAGTAGCCTTGAAGTCCGCATCCTGCCAAGATCCACCCTTCTCCCAGTTGTTACCCTTACCCTTCACCGAATTGAGCGTGTTCTGCTTGCTCAGGCTGCTGGAGCCGGCATTGTTGGCAGCAAGATTATTCTCGTAGGTAGCCTTGGAAGAGCGTTGGTTGAAACCTTCCTCACGGTTCTTCCAAGCAGTGTTGTGGATGAGAGTCATATCACCGGGCATGTTGTTGTCGCTGAAGCCACGGCGATTGCGGAAGGAGAAGTTGTTGCGAGCGACATGGTTGACGTTGGCTCGGTTGGCGGGTGATCCACCGCCGAGTTTGATGCCAATGCCGTCTCCTCTGTGAGGGTTGAAGTTCCACCGGTTCACGCCGTTGTCGAAGATGATGTTGTCAAGGATGGTGACAGAAGATTTGAACTCGTATAGATCGATACCATCATCAGAATTCTCGTAGCTGCGAATACCACGGATGATGTTGCCAGCGCCAGAGCCTTCCTTGATAGCCATACCATCAGCATTCTGGCCATTGTTGCGTGGATCAGCGTTGTTGTAGGTGTCAAGATAAACGATCTCGTTGTTCGAGATGCTGTTCTGCATGTGGAAACCAGTCTCGTAGTTGCTGTGGGTAGTCAAGCGCTCGAAGTAGTTGTTGTGTGAATCCTTCACGTAGACACCGTAAGGGCCCTTGGTGAGAGTGATGTGGATGAATCTCCAGTACTCTGCCTTCTCGACATGAAAGATACCGCGATCCTTGCCAGCGAGACTGGCGCCAAGGGCAGCCGGAGTACCAGGCATCTTGTCACCGTCAATGATGACTTCTTCATTGTTGTAGGACCTGATGGTGTACGGCTTGCTGGAGGAGCCTTTCTTGGTGAAGTGGATGTTCTTAGAAGGGCGGTAGGTACCCTTTCGGAGATAAATGGTGTCTCCTGCACTAGCAGCATTAACTGCAGCCTGGATGTCGGCAAGAGGGGAGCTGCTAGAGCCGGAACCACTGCTCGATCCATTAGGGGCGACGAAAATGTCCTTGGCCAGGGCTGCAGGCAACACGGCGAGTATGTACTTGAAGAGAAGCATGATAAAAGAGTGTAAATGGAAGCGAGTCAATGAAAGAGTGACATAGAAAGTAATGAGAAGAATATCTTGGTTCAAGCTCACATTTGGTTTCATGAGGCTTCATCTTTCCTTTTGTAGCTCCAACTACCCATGCTTTCACACGTCCTTCCGAAAGCTCGGGTTTCCAGCGATGCCACTGTCATTATACAAATGGCACTTGGCGCCTCGGCACTCTTGGCTGTGTGGGTTGCTGCAGAAGACTACGAGTAAGAGCTCAAGCCAAAGCCAAGATGCAGTAAGCTTAAATTTCCACAAATGACGGAGAATTTCATCTCGAATCTCTAGTCACTTTTTCCTGGCCCAAGCCACGCGTCATATTTTACAATCGGATGTGATTCCCATAATGGTTGTTGCGGAGCCTACTGTCCCGAGTTTTGATTGAAGCCAAGATATCCAAGAAACGATCGGGCCGTGTCAGTCTGTCAAGACTCTTGGCTAGTTTGAAACCACGAGAGAAGACCTTGGCAACTGTTGAATGCGACATTGACCAATGATATAAACCCCACTCTAATCTCAAGGCAGGTTGTGATCGAGTTATTTATCCATTATCAAAAGTTGATTGTCTTATGTTCAAGATAGAACGACTATCGATCTCATGAGTGACAACTCAAGCAGTAAAATGATACAAGCTTGTATTCAATTCCTGCTAACCGTTTCTATTACAATTGCCTATAGCAAAGTACCATTTTAATCCAGCTGTATAATCTATTATTCCAATATTATCCTGTTCCCATCACAAGAGCTCCTCATCAAATCATCCATCTCTATTGCGCTTTCCGGGTCAGGCGTAACTATCCATCTTCGTTGCTTAGTAGGCGTAAACCAGTTCCGGCCCCAGAGTACCGTAGTCCCCGGAGCCGTAGGGGTTCGATGATGTGACCTGCTGGCCGTTCACATCGCTCACGCCGAACCAAGCAAGTTCCTTATCTCTCACGGCGGTGATGACAGCAAAAGCAGGAGCAGGCTCGGTAACATAACCCCAAGAGATACTCAAGTTCGATCCATCAGTGCAAGGTTCGTTGGCCCAACTTTCTGTAGCAGCATTGGAGCCAGGCATACGGATGATGGTACATCTCTCAGTCTTGCCATCAGCCTCAATTATGAAGTTATAGTCGCATCCATCGTCATCTTCACCGCAATAACGCGTGAGATTCTGGATGGCCCAAGTCTTGCCGAAAATAGGCATGGGGCCAGGGTATATACCAGGCACTGGTTGGACGCCGTTGGTCGGGACGGGAAAGGAAGGGTGAGTTGCGGCTGAAGTCACAGTGTAGGTGATATGAGCTGAAACGCAAAGTTCTGGGTGAGCTGGGCTGCATCCCCCAGGGGCAATAGGAATTGGGGTGAAGGTCGGGGGAAGTCCCGTATGGTAAGGCGGTGGGCATGATCCAGGATGAGCAGGATTGCAACCTCCTGGAATACCAGGAATGGGAGTGATGGTCTCAACAGGAACTGTATCGTTCTTGCTGGCAGATGGAATCTCTGTCTTGGTGGGCTGCGCCAGAGATGCCGTGGCAGAAGAACAGTACTCGCGGATTCGTGCACTGTCTTCGCCAACACAAGCTGTCAGGGTGCAAGAGCATGCTACTTCTGGTGTCCCAGCTGCGATGCAAGCGTTGTTAGCCTTCTCACATTCATCGTAGGATGTAAGAGGAAGGGCCAACGCGGCTGAGACGAGAGTCAAGACTGTGATGAGCTTGTTCATGACTGGGAAAGAGAGGTGGCTGAAGTTCAACAATTAGGTAATGAGGTGTGAGGATCAAAAGTATATTCGTTCTCTGTTGTGCTGGAATGTCGTCGGTTGATAATGTTTCAATTTCGGATGACATGTCTCGGAGGTTATATAGTCGCATGGTGAAGAAGCCTAGCGTTGATTTTATTAGCATCCCAACCTCGTGCTTACTGTGCCATTTTCTCCCATGACATACCCCAAAGTTTGAGCCAGAAAGGGCCCTCTGTCAAAAGCCTCCACTCTTCAAATGGTTTACCAATGCTGAGACGGCCGACTTATGGGTTTGACATCAGAATCGCACTACAGAAGGCCCAGCCACTATCATTATGATCGTTTTACCTCTTTTACAGCCGAGCTACTGCTGAGCAACTGATCATTTTCGTGGCCAGCTACTCAACCAACCTCCGATCTACACAATGGCTCCGCTAACACGAGAGGTTCATTGAGGGTCTAGAACGAACGTAGCAAAGACGTTAGTCTTACTGGCAAGCGAGAAAAGTCTAATTGACGCTCGACGAATCAGGTTGGCGTGCCGTGCATATAGCACGTTGTTGAAAGGGATGACGTAAACCTTAAATCGATGGTTGCCAACTTCTGGAATGTGACTGATATAATAAAGGATACCATGTTATCATCACGTGGTATTGTGTACATGTTTTTCATCTATCACTGTCTATTTCCTTAGTTAAAGGCTCGTAGCTATGAGGCAAACCAGAGACTTGGTTTTCGCCTTTGGTCCTTACTTCCTTAATTATACTATAACTGACTCTTCCCTGGCAAGCCATTTAGGGCCAAAAATTACTAATTGACTACCGCTTTTCTCTTATACCTCTCTATTTTCATTGCTTTTACAACTATAATATATTCATATTATACAGACTTTTACTTAGAGCTCGGCCGAGGATTTCTGCCTGTTCCTGCTTGATAGACGCTGTTGCGCCGTTCAGATTCCAAACATACTGCTGAAACACATTCTAGTAAAATTGAAGACATTTTGCTGATCGTCTTCGTAGTGAGCTACCACGTAGCTGGCATTGTTGGGACGTTGGAAGCCATAACTAACGGTGCCATTATATGGACCGTCAACAATATCATGATGGTCGATCTTGTCAAATTTGCCGCGCAAGCATGCCAACAGATCAGCCTGTATACCTGGACCGCTTGTGAACTTTCCGCAGGGAGTCTTGCGGGTCTCAATGCATGCGATGACAATCACGGCAATTCCAAAGCCCAACAGGACGCCGGTGTAGAATTTGTACCAGGTTGACGATATGCAAGGCAAGACAGTAGACTTAGCTCCCTTGATTCCCAGGTACCAGGCTGTTATCAGAGCAGTCATTCCGATCACGCCTAGGTAGAAGATAATCACCACGAAAGTTGTCGTAGTGTAGAAAGTGTCTCCGTGCGGGACCATGAAGGACAGGGCCAACCCCAGGAGAGCGAGGAGCACTAGAGCGTATGTGCATCGAAATGTTCTGCTGCCCCAAAACCTTGAGTTGTGAAATCTTTCGGGTTCAATCGTCGCAGGATTGGCAGCCAATAGCTCGAAGGATGTCGTGCTGCAGCCGATGGGTTGTGGAGAACCAGCAGGGATGTCCTCCATCGAGGCGAATGAGAACTCGTCCGTAAGCCAGAGACAGCTGCACAGCCTCAACAATCCGAAAAGTGCGATGGGAAAGAAAATGATATCGACAGCCATCAACAGTGTGAAACTTGGGGCAGAAGGGTCAATTTGACTGCCCAATAGCAGGATTATGGCCTGCATGCCCTGAACGGTAATAATGAGAGTCTTGATCGCGTCTCTTGACAACAAGGTAACCCTGTCTCCATCGGGTAGTTGAACACAACGCGGTCGGCTGTACGCGATCATCTCTTCAGATCCATCCCAGCCTTGGTCAGTCCAAAACAAAGCATTGCTGGCAGCCAGGTCGAATCTATCCCAGTTCTTAGCCCGAATTCGACGGTCAGTGATTGCTCCGTATCGCCAGAGAATGGAAGTCGGGTTGTAGTGGCATATTCTTTCATGCCAAGGTGGTCGACTCAGAGAAAGATAAGTCGGTGAAGGTGCGCCGATGAGAACATGCGCAATGAGCGGAGCCAAACAAAGAGTGAGAAGAGTGATCCAGTCAGAAACGGCTATCTCTTGGCTTTGGTACAAGAGAGGATTAATAAACACAGTCATCCTTGGTCTCTCCAGAGGGCTCTGGATATCGACTTCTGGTTAGGGAGTAGGACAACAAAGGAAGTCTTGGACTGAGAAATTCCCCTAAAAATAAGCACTATGGAAAGAATTAGGCTTCTGTAGAAAAGAAGGTCACGCTGAGGTGAATAATAGTATAGACAGCTCCACCTATGCTGACATCTGAAACGTAGTGCTGACAGGAATAAGATTAATACTTAGCTAAACGCTTGGATAATGTGACTATATGTGAAAATCCCAACTTTGACCATCAAAGCAGACAAGCCGATTAGGCCAAGATTAAACAGAGAGGAAAGATATTTTAAAAAGTTATCTTATATTATAATCCTATTAGGCTATATTATATATATATTATTTTTTTATTAATTATATTTAAAAGTTAAAATACCTATTTAATAATATATAAAGTAAAGTAAAAGGTATTAAAATAAGATAATAAAATAAAATACTTATTATTAATATAATATAATATAAGGTATTATATATTATAATAAAAAAAATAATAACCTTAATATTAAGTCTTAGTAGATTATATAACTATTACCTTAAACCTTAAGATCTAATTAAATAAATAGCCTTAATTTATAAGTATAAAAAAAGATATTTTTCTTATTTTTAAAAAATTAAATACCCTTTTTAGTATTATCTTATTAAAATAATTACTATTAAGGCTTTAACCTTAAAAGATTATATTAATATAAGCTAAAAACCTTAACTTTTTATTACTAATTAATTATAATATAATAACTTATCTTATAATAAGCTAAGTAGGTATAATAATATTATATTAATTAAAGCTTAAGGAAGTAAGATTTTAACTAAGGGATTTTTATGAGAATATCTAAGGGGTTATTATAATAGTTAGGTTTCCAAATAGGTAAACTAGTCTATACTAGGTTTATATTTATAAATAACATAGGGCATAGTGCTAAGTAATATAAGGTATTATATCTCTTAATAATTAAGTAATATATATTAGGCTTATTAATATAAAGATGCTTTATTAATAGCTAGTAGGCTAAGTTTTATTTACTATTAAATAGATATATATATATATTAATAACTATAACAAGGACTAATAGGGTCCTATGGCCAGTCCTTAACTATTATAACCCTAGCGGTTATATTATATATATCCTATAAAAACTCATATAAGGCATTAGCCCCTTAATAGCTATAGGCTAATTAGAGCTAAATTACCTTATAAATAGGATTATAATACTCCAGGAATTATTATAATTTAAAATTACTATAATTTAATTACCTTAGTAATCCTCTTAAATTACTTCTAATATATAAACTATATTTATTAGTACTTTTATAAATTTAGCTTATTAGCTATTAATAAGACTTCTTTATATTAATAAGCCTAATATATATTACTTAATTATTAAGAGATATAATACCTAACTTACTTAATACTTAATGCCTTATACTATCTGTAAATATAAACCTAGTATAAACTAGTTTCCCTATTTAAAACCACCTTTATTATATATTAATAGCTCTTATTTAAAATATATTATATTAAAATAACTAAGTAATATTATACTACTAAGATATTTAATACTATAAATACTAATACTAGTATTAGCCTGGCACCCCCTTATAATAAAGGACTACTTAGTATAGCTAAACTAATTATAGAGATTATTATATTATATAATATAATTAACTACCTATAAACCTAGGTAAATAAATAAGTAGCTATAGCCCTTAACCTAATATTAATTATTTATATAAGATATAACCTAGGTAAATTACTTAAATTACCTAAGCTAAAACCTTTTAAAGGATAAGTAATAAATATAATACCCTTTCTTACTAGGATAAAAATATACTTTAGCTTATTCCTAATTAAATTATTTAGCACTAAGGCTAAAGTGCTTTTTATAGTACCCCTAATCTAAGGAAATATATAAAATTAATTTAAACCTATTCTTAGGGATTTCCTAGAAAATAAAAATAATAAAGCTATTTAAGACTAGGAAATAATTAATATCTTTATAAACTAGGATAATTTTAAAATAGCTCTTAAAGATAATTTTAAAGTAGTTAATAAGGAATAATAAGTAGTAGTAGATATTATAAAGATCTAATAAGATAAATCCTATATAGCCTACTCTATAAAATGTAAGTAACTTATAGCTAAGACTTAATAAGATAATAATACCCTTATAGAGATTTATTATAAGGGATTAAAGGAAGAAGTTAAGGATAAATTATATAAGGCAAATAGACCTAAAACCTTAAATAAGTATATAATTATAATAATTAAGATAGATAAATAATAATATAAATATAAAAGAGAGAAAGCTATTAAATTAGGAAAAGAAAGAAGAAGTAACTTTAACTTATATTACCCTAACTAGGGATAAAATAATAATTATAATAACTCTTAAAACTAAGGCCTATAATAAGGTAACTAATAAAATAATACTATATCTAAAATATAACTAGGACCTATAATACTAAAAGCTATATAATAAGGAAATAAAGGACTTAAAAAACCCTAAGATATATCTAAAATAAAATACTATAACTATAATTAGTTTAGGTATATGGTATATAAATGCCCTAAACTATATAAACTGCAAGAACTAAACTAAGGTTATTATAATCTTAGCAGTTATGTTATATATACCTTATAATTTTCTCTACTTAACCTGCTAACTAGGAAAGGACTAATACTTATAGGACTAATAGCATTCTAGGATTATATTATTCTAGGATTAATAGCAACCTTACTTTACATTACTCTTATAACATTACCTCTAGTATATAAATTATATTTATTTATATTTTTATAAAACTTAACTTATTAGCTATTAATAAAACTTCTTTATATTAATTAAGCCTAATATATATTAAATCTACTATTAAAAGATATAATACTTTAATAAGCTTAATATTATGCCTTATGTAATCTGCTAATAATAAACTTAGTATAACTTAGTTTATTTATAGTTAAAAACTAACTATTATATATTAATAGCTCTTATTTAGATTATACTATATAATACTAAGTAATATAAATATAATAGCTACTTATATTAATTCTACCTAGTAATATATTATACTCTATGCTGCTTTAATACCTACTAATAATAATTAAAATATAAATAATAACTTTAAGAGTAATATTAACTCTAATATTACCTAGCTTTATTAGTAGATAATTAATATAATAACTAAAATAAATAACCTTAGATAAGCCTTAGTTAAAGTTATTATACTTTAGGTATAGCAGGCTATTAATTATTAAAATATAATTTAAGAAATATATTAGCTTACTGCTATTGTAGTAAATAAGAAAGAATTAGGAGAAATTCTTAAACCTAATATACTTAAATTATTTAATAGAAATCCTATTAAATTAGCTACCTTTTTTACTTAATACTAAGCCTATATAAGCTACTTTTTAAATTAATTTACTAATAATAGTAATAAAGTTATATATATATTAAGATATCTTAAAGGTAATACTATTTAATAGTTTTAACTTATATTAAAAGAAATTACTATTATGCTAAAAGATAAACTACTACTTAAAGCCTTTTAAATATATAATAATTATATTAAGTTTAAGAAAGCTATATAATAAGTATTTAGGTTAATTAATAAAAAAAGCTAGGTAAAAAGAAAAATTAAAATACTTTAATAAATTAAATTTATATTAAAGTATAAAATTAAATTTCTTTAACTAGCCACTAAGCTAAGATAGGACTAAGAACCTTTTATATTACTTTTCTTTAATAAGCTTAAAGAAATAGTTTAAGTAAAACTCTATAAGAAAGCAAGACCTAAGATATTAGTTAATTATATTAGTAGAGCTATTAAGATTAATAATATATAATTCTAATAAAGAATCTATTATAACTAAAATAACTAAGGATAATAAGGAAATAAATTATATTATAATACTAATTAAGGAAAGAAATAAAATAATAATACTTCTTATAGTATTAATTTTAGATTAATAATTATTAGAATAATTAAAAAGAATAAGTTTAAAATTACTTATTAGAATTATAATAAGAAGGGATATTATAATTTAGAATATAAGAACCCTATTAAAATTAACTAGAAATATAAACTAATTCTTAAAAATAAGAAAATTAATATAATTAAAAAAAATAATAGACCTTAAATAGTAATTAAAACTATTAATATAACTAGATTAGGGTATAACCTATCTAATCTAGGACTTACTACTAATATATATAATTTATTTCTTAGTAAGGAGGAAACCCTTATTAAATACTACCTTAAACTAAAACTAGAATAATAACCTATTCTAGGGCATATAGCCCTAACTATAGAAGTTTTTTATTTATAAAATAAGAAAAAAAAAAGAGAAAAGAAATAACTAAGAATAAAAGAAATAATAATAAGCTAAAAAAGATAAAATAATTAAGTTAAAATAAATACTTATACCTAAACACCGCCAATAACTCACTAAAGGAAAATCTATTTTTATAATTAAAAAAGGAAAGAAAGTTACCCTTAACCTAGATAATAAACCTAATACTAAAAAGATTAACTAGGAAATTAATAATATTCCTATTAAGGTTATATTAAAATAACTAAACTAATATATTAATAACTTAAATTACTTAGAATCTTATAAAATTTAAAAAGAATTTAATACTAAGAAACTTTAAAGTAAAAATAAAAAAATAACTTAAAACACCTTTATTATGCCCTAGTATAATAAATTTAATTAGCACTCCTAGATTAGTAAATACCAGAAGTATATAAAACTTACTAGAAAATAAGTAATTATAAAATAAGATAATAATATTTATATCTAAGCTTATATAAAAAAAGTAATAAAAGACCTTATTATTCTAGAAAAACGCATATAAGCTAAAAGGGACCTAAGGAGGTATTTAACTTACTTAAATTATAAATAAATATCTTAGATATTATATATATAATACTATTACTTATAATACCAGTAAGATAAGATAATAAATAACTATTTCTTAGTATAAATCTTAGAATATTAAAAATAAAAATCTTATTTAATTATTAATATACTAGGATACTAAGTTATAAAGAAATATAAAGGATTTTAAATAATAAAACTAAAAGCCTATATAAAGATATAAGAAAGAGCTTTAATATATATTTAAAACTCCTAATATATTACTTAATAAAGTAAATAAGTATAATAAGAAATTAAG